TTTTCTTGAATCTTATCCAATTTATCAACAGGGGTCCGTTCCTTGTGATGGTTCTTCTTGTGTCTCAGAACATCATGACATGTCGAAGTAATTGCCTCATTAATCCCCTTCCAGTTGCTCTCCACAGTAGTGTCCTCTCAACTGAGTAGATCGTGAAAGACCTGGAACCGATTGCTCAAGGCTATCTTGAATTTGTTAAGTTTGTCGGTATCCCGAAGAAAAGCCGTATTAAACTTTTGCGATGTCGTCCGCCCGAATGTCCAGTGCTTATTGAGTTTCAATTTCATCTTATCAACCAGCAAATGATGAGCTGATGCTATGTCAGTTCTCTCTTGGTTCTCACATCTTCCATCGTCCTCCTGAACGTTTTTTGATGCAGATATGGTCGATTTCGCTTTGCGTAGTGTGATCCGATGAAGTCCAGGTGGTTTTGTGTATGCGTTTATGTGAGAACATAGTGCCTCCTATGACCAGTTTATTGAAGGCAAATAGGTTCGTAAATCTTTCGCCATTTTCATTCCTTTATCCCAATCCGTGTCGTCCCATGATGTCTTCATATCCAGTGTTGTCCGTTCCAACCAATTCGGCTTTCATCATGAGGTGTCATAATTCTTCTAAATGAAGACCTTCTGACTCCCAGGGCAGAGTTTAAAAGGTTTGAATAATTTTTTCTGGTTAGCGTTTTTTTAGCGAGTTAGTTTTCTACGGGATGGGGACGCTAACCCCATGCCCAACCCTCCTCCTTTATCCGGGCTTGGGACCGGCAGTAGCCCCCGGAGGGACTCCAGGCGGAGTTAAGAGACTAATGTACTTAAGATATTTTCTATTATAGATTATAATGTTTAACTCTTATGATGTATTTTTAATAACTCTACTAAAGTAATAATTCTTATAATTAATCTTGTTTATGTTTGCATTATTATTAGTAGATCAGAACGAAGTGTAACCATATAAATGGAACAGTCAGTTAACAAACAGAAACTACAAACAGTCCAGTTACAAAACTATTTCATTCCAACCTTGGCATTTAGGTCTCCCATCAGAATGGTTAAGTCCTTTGTTGTGCACTTCTTGACGATTAATTGCAGTTTATCGTAGAATTGACCTTCAAGGTTTTCATTGTAGTCGTTGGTCGACTCATAGCATTGGATGTCGTTCATTGCAACTCCCTCTTACTTTGTTTTGGTGATTCTTGATCCATGAGATTCTCATCCTATAAGTGCGTTTTTTGCTTGTTTGGATAGTATCAATGCAAATCCTTTTATATGTGGGGCATTTTCTTCTTCATGACCGGAATATAAAAGAAGCTTCCCTGAAGCTCGTCGTTGTTGTCCAACTTGCGTCCAAGGTGTTTCACTGATTCCAAGCACTTCAAGGTTGTATCTCTTTATTTCCGCAGCGGTTTGGAAGAATCTCCCATACTAAACGAGCATTCTGTGTACCTAAATTAATGGTTGCGCTGGTTTTCAGAACAGGCATCAGCTTAGTGACTTCCGAATGAACTCGGCTTTCGTCATGAGGCGTCATAACTCTTCTAAGTGAAGACCTTCTAACTCTGAGGGACGAGTTAAAATGGTTTGAGTTTTTTTTTCTGTTAAGCGTTTTTTCAGCGAGTTAGTTTTTTACAAGATGAGGTTGAGCATTTTTTAGTATCAGTCAAGGTAGTAAGCCCACTGTGTTTACTAGTAAATATTACATAAGACAGTACATGTAAGCATCAGTCAACAGACTAATAGAATAGTGATTTATCGTAAGTATAAAAAGATCGATTAAGTTAAAGTTAATATGAGAGATAACAAAAGGCCGCGTTTCTTTAGTCGCTTTCACCAATGTTAAACTACAGCGGAGATAAATATTGGTACGCTGGAAATAATAATAATAATAATAATAATAATAATAATAATTTATTCTCAAATAACAGTTTGTTACATGAGGCATGCCAGTTTACAGGCAAGATCAAATTGATACAAATGATACAATATACACTGTATTAAATTACATAGCTGGGTTGAAAATTTATAAGACATGAATGTAGATTGTTTTAATCAGTATTACAGTTGGCGCGCTCCACGAGAGTTGCGTTGCGAATGTGCGACTGATGGTCAGGAATAGGTCCATTGAAGGTATGAGCTTCTAGAAATCGCAACCTTGTTGAGAAAAAGCAGTTAGTCGTGTTATGCGAAATTACACAGTGCTCGTGTAAAATATGAAAATCATGTAATAAACGCCTCATCTGCCCATCTTTCTCGAGTTGTCTTTTACATAATGCATGTCTCTTCTAATCCTGTTGCTATTCCGGTTGCTCTATATTTCTATCCACTTTCCTTAATTTCAATCTTCTGCTGGTTAACAGTTCACTTCCAATCGCCGCTACATTTCACTTGTGTCTGTCCATCCGGATGTCCATACTGACTCATCCTACATGACGTTCTAAAGTTGTGTCTAAGGGATCCTGAAGAACACACTTAGGATGAGGGTGGGGTAACATTTCTAGTCTGACAAAACATGAGGCTTCAAAGAGTGACCACACTGGTATGGCTAAGCAATGTCCTATCGATTCTTTCCTACTGCGTTCACTACATCTATCCTTCTCTTTCGGTGTCACTGTTTTATTCCTTGATTCTTATTTTAAGGAAAAGAGTGTTGCTGTTGTAAACTTTGCTTCCTCATTGCTTGAGTAGATCGAACTGATATAATCTTTGTGAGCTTTCCCTTATAGACAGGATAATGTTTGTGCACTTTTAAGTCAGCACACTTACCTGAATTTTTCAGACTTAACTGTACATATCCTCACTTAACAACGTTTTGCACTGTATGAGCTTTATTTTTCAGTGTACTTTGTGTACTTTATACCTACTATCAGAACCATGCCGAGCCCATCCATTACACATTGATCTAACCAGAGCGGAAGGATAAGTGTCTGACGTTTAAATAGACGGAAAACGGAATAAAAACTGTATCAGTTTAGAAGTCACACCAGGTATGGCAAAAATTACAAAATAGTTCTAAGAGTAAATATTCCATAGGTACCTAGAGCTTTCCAACTCTGCTGTCTGTAACGCCTCTTTAAGCGAGGATCTCACAGCCAGTCAGAAGGGTTGTCAAAAACAAAGAGGTCTGAAAATATATTTGGAAATTGGTCGACATGTTTAGAGAGATTATTACAAACTGACCAGTTGTTGTAATAAATGTCCTACAAACATTTAAGTTATAAGAACTATATCCCGACTACGTACATCCGTTCTGTTACTCGATTATCAAGATTTGGGAAAGAACCACGATATCACATGAAATACACGCAAACGGCTTAGTCTAACGTATCAGTCTCTTCTTAAATTAGTCATTTAGTAGAGTTCATCTTTTGTTTGGTTTGTGCCTAAACTAAGGATGCGCTGCATGCTAGGCGATTTAAATAGTTAACATTTATGAGAGAATGGGAAAAAGAAAAGAGACAATATGAAACTCCATCCGATGACTCATTAGGCTTGTGAAATACATTATTGCTCAGTGATGAAAGTAGTCAAAAACAATTAACTGTGTAACAATCGCGAGATAACGACGACCTTATACCCGGAACAAGAAATTCATCTTAATGAATTATGTGGCCGAATTTCAGGGAGACTTCGAAGATTTAGTTACTACCTCAATTATTTGTTACTACATCGTAGGTAAATCTGTGTAATCTGACAGAAACTACTTTTTGATACAAATAGAGTTCTAACAACAGGCAAAAGCTATCGGGAAGCAAGATAAGCGACTACTTTATTCTTTATAAACCCATAACATGATTAGTTTATATTATTTAAATATTCAAATATTGGCTTTGGAAACTAGGAGCGCTGTTTGAAATGAAGGTCGTCCTGTCGGTTATTGCGTTTGCAATATTTGTTCATCAAGGACATGCCTTAAAGCCTGTTAGTTGTTTGTTTTTATATAACTAAGGTGTTGTGAGTCGGGTTGTATGTAAAAGGGTTAAAAATAAAGGTAACTGTAATCAAGTATGAGATATAAGAAACTTCCCAAGCCCCGAGCTTTGGGGAAATTTAGGGGAAATCCCCAAAATTTTCGTAGCGCATTTTTGCACACTAACATTTCATCGACGTTATATAAATAAGCCACACAGTAGTACCAATTGGTATGGTTATATGCCTATATCGGTGTATCCATAGCAATATGCGTATGTATATACATTTCCAGAAATTTTGAAAGTTGCTGATAACAGGTACACTATTTACGAGCACAATAGAGACATCTTGAGACAAATATAATTCAACATTTGTTTATAACACAAGTTCTATCTTTTTTGAGACCTCAAACAACCAATAAAAAGAAAATTTAATCCAAAAAATGGATAATAAAAAAGACGTTCTGTTTAAAAGTAAGGGAGGATCCCAAAGTGCAACGCGTCAAATAGTCATTTCCGCCTGTCATTGGGAAATAATGCGAGATTCTTCCTCTCTGTCGCTTTATGTTCGACCTGTCATCAAGTTGTTTATTTTCCGCCTTAATTCATTCAAAATCGTCTTCCTGTTTGGCTCCAAAGTCCTGTGTTTGCTTTAATTTTCATTACTAAACACGACGACTACAACCAACCACATTAAAAAACTATGCGTGGTTAAAGACACTTATCAACACGAAATAACATCATAGCGTACAAGGAAACAGATGCTCAACCAAAGATCTCTACGTATTGCACTCCGATCTGAAGATAATTTCAAGTCATAGCTCACAATGTTTATTAGGTTTTCTGTTCTTAATCTTATGGGAGCTGTGTTCGATAGATGGTGTATTAATGACTAAGTCAGCTCATGACAATTTGTCCAGAATGAGTTCCAGAGATATTTCGTATGCTTTAACAGCTTCCAGATGGCCTACCTTACGTCCTTAATAATATGAAAGGGTTTTTGGCTTCTTAAAATGTGATATTGATTTCATCAATACTCCAATGTGTTAGTCCATTTCAACCTTCTAGTTATTTAAGACATTACTGTCTCTTACGGCTGATATAACTGTGATAATAGTAAACGGAGTCATTTTCAACATCATGTTACAAACCCAAATTACACTTCAGCGTGATTACTATTTGTCGTTTCGGGTAAGCATTAAGCACCTGCAACATCATCGCAATAATGTATGAAGACGAGATCTGTGCAAAGTTTTGTATTCGCTGCTTTTGTGAATGATTTGAACTCTGACCTGTTACTGCGCCACATCTAACTTATCGCTATAAAGTGAGTTAATTGTGACAGTTGGACGTGAATTGGACTGAAGGACTTATTTTTTCCGTGATAGGCAAAAATGTTTAAACTTAACTAGCTCATATATTTTAGTTAACTGTTTTTAAAGGAATGACCGTTTCAGTTGATACGACCACTTGATGTAGGATACTGAGTTAAGATCGAGTACCGGTTGATAAAAATGTGAATCATAACTTGTTTGAGTGTCTAAAACGTGTATTATGTATACTCAGGTACTATTTACCTTTACGTTTAATCCTGACTAAAGTAGATTGAAAGAGTGCTAGGGGCGACCAAACCACGACAGAAAAATTCCACGAAGTCATTTACTCTTGGTTTAAGTGCTATTAGTAGGTATATACTGCTTGCCTGGGATTCATTGGCACTACTATTAATATTACTTTGGTACTCGTTTACCTCACAATACTGGTGCGCTGTGGTAATTTAGGTCAATAGACGTAGTTTTCAGGTTGTATGTTGCTTGTGACTAGTTGAATGTCTATGGTGATAAAAACCATGGGTCAGCTTAGTTCATATAATTTAAGTCTTCTAGCATTTAGGAGTTTTACGTCAATGTAGGAAAAATATAACATAAGTAAAGCTGTACATCAGTAGTTTATGTTTTCAATATGTTACTCGTACTAATCCTACTCCCCATTTAAGGGTTTTCACTAGTGACGGTATTAGCTTTCGCTTCATCCTTTATGAAAGTACATGTATATATCTATATATCTATTTATATATAGTTACAAATGCTATTATATATGCTTTTCATTACCTATATTATTATATTTGCTTATTTGTATTATTCAACCTCGATTTAGTCAGTAGAGATTCTAAAAGTTTACAAGGGTGATAATGTATCAAGTCATCGGTGCTTTTATATTTCACAGACCGGAAAGTTGGATCCATTTCTAACGACGGTAAGTTTTGGTCAATTTACTTTTCTAGTGGCGTAATTGCATTTGATTCGATTTTTATTCGAGCTAAAAACGTTGTTAAATCTTACTAGTTCAGAATAGTTTGCTGAATTTATTAAATGTGTACCTTACATACGGACATCAAACAATAAAGTTTTATTTCCTTATTCAATACACTTTTCGGACATAGAAAGATCGTTAAATATGGAACTATCCTTCTCCAAAATCTTTGATCATCAGCTTACTGTATCTTTCCAGGGCCAAAATTTTACAGCTTGATCATGTATGTGGATATGACTTGAGTAGCAAATCCAAACTCGTTTGAAATTATGTCTGCTCCAAATTATCGTTCGCTGCTTGATGTAAATCAGTTAGTTTTGAGTTATCTTCAATTGGTTTCGATGCTTACGTTTATTAGTGAAACTAGGTGCACTTTTTTCCATAAGTGTTTCGCACTCTGCATTTTTAGTAGGACTAAATCGTTTTCTGCTTGTAATGTCAGTGTCAGAGCTTTACCTAGCCAATAATGTAACAAAATGCCACTGCACTATTATATTACAAAACTATCCCCAGGTAGTGGTGATAAGGCAATGTTGACTAGCATATATGGTATGGTAGTTTATGGATCTAAAACTTTGGCTTTTAAGCTACTTGGGTTTTAGCAGTCAGTTATCATCCCTAGTCATTAAGTGGTTTGTTTAATTCGATCCGCAAATGCCGAAATACTCTCACATGGCCACGTTCATGCAACCACTGCCAGGGAAGTCCTACTCACTGCCTTCTCGCGGCACCGGTGTTGTCTACGAAATCGAGAGTACGAAAAGCGAATGTTTGGCGCTTTAACCGGGTTGGTGGACACGGAGGTCACCGGCCAACATAGGACTACATCAACTTACGTTGCCCCACTGCCTTGTAGATCAGACCTTTAGGTCGAAGGTTCCTGGTGTGTCCCAATAAGAAAACCATCTGCTTCGATTTGAACATCCGGGCAGTGTCACAGCACACAGAAAAATCAAGTGATTTGTGTGGTGCATATGTATTCGGCGTCCCTTTGTACCACTATTTGTGTGTTCAAATAAATAAATAAATAAATTCGTAAACAAATTCTTGGAAATATTTTCTCATTCACTTCTAGTTGTACTTGTTTCCTCTGCAAGTTTTGAATTTCTAATGTATTAACGGGGTATTTTCGTATGAACATAGGGTTTTCCAGTCAGGTTTTATTTTCAGTATATTGTATTATTTTTTTATCCTTCTGTATCACTCGTCAGCTACTTGTCCCACAGCGTTTCGTTTTTCACTAAGTAACATAATCGTTTCTGAAATGATATATGTTTCCACTCCTTCCTATGTTCCAATTTCGAGGTGGCAGTCGAAGGATTGTTGTATACTTTCATTCGTTGGGTTTTTATTGATACTTCAAAGTATTCTTAATGATTCCAATTTTCTCATGATATATCGGTGTCCATACTACTACATACTATCAGAACATAATATAAAAACACAAAGTTGTAATTGGTTAGTCATTTATCAACTAAAAATTTATTTTTGTGATTTTTTGACCTATACTTTTATCATTTTTCTGACTTTCGATGTTCGTGTCTTTCAAAAAGTGAGTATTCTAAACTTAGAAATTGTAATGAAGATTTTATACTAGATTATAACCCTCCTTTCCTTAGTGATCACATCCCTTATGGATTTCGATTATTTCCTATAGTATTTTTCACATATGAACTTATATAGTCTTTATGAAATAGTGTTGATAAAAAGTAGTTCCGAGTTTTATGTTTTTCATTAGATGATTAATCTACATCTTTCCGGTATAACAAGAAAATTTATCATTCTGTTTTCAAACTTGAAAACCGTGGAATGTGATTTATGAGTTCCAAGTGTTATAATACCTCTATCCTATTAAGTAGTTCATTTTCACTCAACTATCTAGTATTAATTTACTTCACTAAATAGAATAATCATCTAGCGGTTTTTATACCTCTCGTGTACCATACGATTGTTCACTCTGTTTTATTCTTGTGTCATGCGGATTTTATCGCTCAACTGAAAATGGTCGTTTAGTGTCAATCATTGTTGCACTAAAGTTGGCAATATTAGTCAACGTATATCATCCAACGAATGTAGTATGATCAACAGACTAAGTTAAACGTCACATTTTACTTAACTGCTTCTTAGATATTTCAATGTTTAGAGCACGTCGACTTGGTTACTAACTAAACCACTACAAGTTAAGCTGTTGATACAAACCGGTCATAAGAAGATAACCAAAACTGTGGTTAACGTTTCCGATTTTATCTAATTAAGGTCAATCCGTGATATAATTATTAGAATACAGCAGAATAACATACTGAATTAATTACTGGCCAAAATAGTCAAAATATGTATTTTAAACTTAACGACTATCATGTTGAAATAATCAATAATTTTGTTCTTATTTGTTTCTTATTACTTGAATAATATCTGAATTTTCAATTGAATACATTTACTTCACCCGACTTTACACTTAAACATGAATTTTGATTAGAGTATTACGTCATTTATCCTAACAATCTCAATTAATTAAAGCCTATCCTTCCATATGATGTACTTTTTTCATCATAAACATGATCGAATTGTCTGTCCAATATTGATTAAATGTTTTATGAATAAAATGCAACTCACCAATTGCATAGAGATTTTTAAACTAACTTTTTTATCATAAACAATAGAACTATTTAGCTGTTTAACTTTTGGTGGTGAGAATTGAGTCCCATTCTATGCTATATAATTTTCATGTTGCCTGTACTGAAGTAGATGGAGAGAGATTCAAATGTCCAAGATAATGATTTTAAGATAAGTCACCGTTTTATTTACTATCAAAACCCAATATTCTACAAAAGATATGATGCAAAGTCAACATTTTAATTCAGTTGTTGCGTCCAATATGTGAGGAAAACATAGTTTTATTCTGTTTAAGATTATTAAACCAAAATTATACCTGTAAATTTTCCTGAGTACATTTAATAAGAATACTGTTGTATTTTACGTATATAATTTTGTTGCAGACAAAACTGGAACTGGTCAATTTTGTATCTACTACTAAAGATCATCCTCAACCTTCACCATCATCATCACTGGCTGTATCTGTTATGTGGAATAATTTTAGTGATAGAGAAATATTATCAATCAATCCACAGCTTCTAATTATTGTTTATGATGGGGAATTAAATTCAAAATTAAAAGTTATATTTGAATCACATGCATGGGAAGTATTCAAAAGATCCAACTTATTTTTGGATATCGATCAGTTTAATGAGATAATTTATGTAAGTGTATACTTATTTGGTCAAATTGTTGTGTATAAATCAGCTTGATTTTTACATTGATTTCAAATTCTACTTCAATGATACTCTTTATCAATCTGATCATAATTGTTTCTGGTTTCTTTATTAAATAAATCCATGAATAAAGATTTATAAAATGTTGACTTTGTTTGTAATCGATGCATGGATTATGTAGCAGACGTAATCCTTGAATTTTAGAGATTCAAGTGTTATGTTTAGAAAACTATAGGAACTAACCATCTAGATCTTTTTCTTCTTGTGAAATTCTGTTAACTTATATTTTGCCTGATGTGTGAATTTCTACAAAAAATACTTTTGTTAAGTATGAGAATGATCTTACTGTATTTACTCCGATTTCTACATCTTTATATTCCCTTAAAATGAATGGTTCATTGTCTCTCATTGAACGATGGTCTGTTGTTAATGGTTGTGTAAGTAAAACGATGTCAAATGTCGCCTGTCTTTGTGTAAGTTTTTAAAAAATCTCTTTTAGTCTTCTAAAATTTTTGTTAATGTTAAAGAAAGTTCTCCGTCTGACTTGTAATACGAAGAGGCTTCATTTAGCTGATGAGTCCCGAATAGAACGAAGCGCGCGACCCGGATTCCATTGTTAGCCACCATCCATCCCTGCTTAGAAGAGGCTACATGTTTTTGGCACTACTCGTTATTTAGTTTTACGATTTGTAAGTTCCTCTTAATTACCTGTCCACCATTATTGCTTCCTTGTATTTTGAGAAGAGATTTTTCTATGTTGCTGAGAGTGCTAAAGGCAGTTATTAAAATAGTTGGCGACTCTTTTGCTGTCATCATAAATATGATTATTGATAGGCATTTGGAAACAATTGGCAAGTGTTATCTTACTAAATACTAACAATCCACTACATTCATGTCTTTCTGTTTGTATATTTCTCGGAAGAACGAGTTTCAGATACATTAAAATCCATTCATGAAACTAAAGTGCAACAACTCTACAACAATATCTAGTAAATATACTACGCGACAAACAGGTTGTAAGAGCTGGTCTAATTAAGAACTTATATTCTTTAACATGTTACCAATCCATGATTGAAGAGATTTTCACTTTCTTAAAAATATTTCATTTAATTGTAGAATATATATGTATGAGAAAGTTGTTGAAATATTGCATGCTGAGACTCCCGTATTGTGTAATATCTTTATTTTTTATGTAGCTTGTTTACTAGGTATACTTTCGTTTACTTGACTTCGAGTCACTAATTATAAGGACCAACCATTCTACACGGTTATCTAAACCCTAAGTAAGTGTAGCGCGACCAAACCTGTGACCTAGTCGCTGAAAGTGAAAATCCTTAACTACAGAGCAAGTTCCCTACTAAGAGCATAAGTACATATTAGGACTACTCCATTTAGGAAGAAGCTCTTATCCATCGATTGCTTCCTTCGAATATTGCTTTAGCCAGCATTTATTAACTATTCAGAAATGTCTAACTTTTTATCTGACCTTGTAGAATCCTTTCGCTTGCCAATTATATCTAAAATGTGTTCATAGACAGAAAAAGAATCAAATGAAACTAGATAATTAGTGGCGTTGAGTAGTACAGTGTCCAGAAGTTGACGATGATGAGATATCGATACATTTGCGCCTTTGTGATTGGATATGAACCATAATAAAAATGTTCCCAACCATAAATTACGATTGTCTCGCAAATTATAACCAGGAAACTTGTCACTGTCTTCACCTTTCGGATTAACAGTCAGTGATTTCGTTGATTAGCACTGTGTTTCTGAATATCCTTAGCCTTTTTTACAGTTTGCTTCTACTCCAGCAAGAGAAGGAAATATGAAACAACTGTATGACAACAAAGAAACTAGCAGGAAACTGTTGTAAACCAGGGAGACCGATCAAGGACAAAGAAGGCAAGCCAATCACTGAAATCAAGGGCAGAGGAACAGATGGGCAGAATAATTTGATGAAGACTTAAGCGAACCATTTCCGTTGAATCCACTGGACATCGGAGCAACATACACAGATAATTCTATAGATGTCACTGCACCAACGATCGAAGAAAGCAGGATGACGATTAGATAAATTAAGAGTGGGAAAACAGCAGTACCTGACAATATACCATCTGAGGCACTAAAATCAGACATAGAAGTGATTGCAAACATGTTACATACTCTATTCATAAAGATTTGGGAGGAAGAACAAGTGCCGATAGACTAGAAAGAAGGACACCTCACCAAGATTCAAAAGAATGGAGATCCCAGCAAGTGTAGGAAATAAAGGGGCATCACACTACTACTAGTACAAGGATGAGTTTTCAACAGTGTTGCTGAACCGGATGAAAGATGCAGTAGACGCCCAACTTCGAGATCAAGAGGCTGGATTCCGTAAGAATCTGTCGTGCACAGACCAAATCGTGACACTACTGATCATTGTTGACTGATCGATTGAATGTAACTCGTCACTATACATCAACTTCCTTGATTATGAGAAAGCATTTGACAGTGTGGATAGGACAACATTATGGAACCCTCTTCGAAACTGGTGTGTCTGAGAAAATCGTCACAATTATACGGAATACATCTCCACAACCTTGTCTGTTTTTATGTGAGTGTATGTGTGCACTTCTTATGCTACTCATCACATGTCTGTAACTTATTTTTGTTCGGTTATGAAATATCGATTAACGCTGGATTTAATCTTGTTAGCTCACACGTTTGCTCCATTTCGCGTCATTTTTTCGCTTCTCTATCTGATCAACGACTGTACGAAATATACGTATTCAAAAATCCATTCTCGTATTTGACTTATTTAATTCCGTTATTCACTAATCTGATTTAAGTCGATAAGTTTGTACGAGGATTTGGCAGTATGCATATTTCAGTAACGATCAATATACGATCAAATTGGAGTCAGATATAAGGCCACTAAAGACTTGTTGTTCAGTCAGTAATAATATTTGATTGAATGTTTTAGAATCATGAGAGATTTCTCCTTCACCGACAAACATATATGATTTCTCATTTATTAGTGTATAAAACGTTAGCGTGGTAAGATCATGGATCTCTTTATTATCAGCTCACAACAGCCTATATCACCACCACTACTGGTTTCGTTAACTTTAAATAAACGATCATATAAACTTACTATGTCTGGCGCATGCATTTTAGCTGTGCTCCTTTTTATTTTTAGAGCAAGCGTTCTAATCAGTCTAATATGAATATTTCAGTATCCGTTTTCCCATTTATTTCAAACGCTATGGCGTATAAATTTCTAATTTGGATTTTGTTGTATGGATTTGCTGTGACTAGCATCTCATTGGGCGCATGGATAATTATTGTTAACCATGAAAAGCTGTAAGTGAGACTTCGTTGTCATATGTATAATAGTTAGATTTATATTCCTACGTATTGTTCTTTGATGATGTTTCGTTTCTTGAGCTGGGTGGCTGAGTTATGAAACTTTTTCTGTTATTCAGGATCATACCAACAGATCTTACTTCAAGTAGAAGTCAGGTGTTTTGTTAAAATTTATTTAATTAAAAAACTAATGACTAATAAAGTCAGTTTTACTTAAATATAAACATGTTCACACTGTAGAATAATCAGAGGTAATGTATGGATTCGATATGTAGTGATATTTCTGTATTGAGCTTTCAACAGTAACTGATACTGACTCGATCTGTGTTGAGTCATGCCAGCCATTGCATATTCCAAATTGATGCAATTTCCAGATACATGAAAAACGTGATAAAATGACTGTAAATTTTGAGATTTTGTGATGGTAAATCGTGTTAAATCACCACAGTGATGAGGTAAGCTGAGGTGAATGATCACACTTGGTTTGTGTACACGCGTTTCGAAGACACAGCATACAGAACAAGGGACTATAATTTAACAGAAATACTTTCATCCGATTTTGGAGACAAACAGAAAACAAATCCAGTTAAACACAATCATATGTAGTGTTTTTTTAATTCACTAACTTTTGTTGTTGTAACACATATAAGCTAAGAACATTGTTGTTAATAATAATAATAATAATAATAATAATAATAATAATAGCAATGGCTTTATTTAATATTATATTTTTGGTACAATTTAAAATTCTCAGCATAGAGTATTTGAGCAAGTTCCTTTTTTACTTATTGATTGATCTTGACAATAAATATTGAGTGATCCCCAGTTAGATGTTAGCGGTTTAGGAATCGATACCTGAATAATTTTCATTCTTTTCATTGCCTATTACCAGCCAACACAATATCTCTGATTGTACCTTTAGTACCTTGCAAAGCTATAGGTTGCAAACATTTTATATACGCTCCTGAATAGGTAATGAGAATAATAGACATATTAATGTTTTAAAACGAACAATACAGATAACTTGTTGAAATATTTAGATGGTAGGAACAGGTAGCCCAGATATTTTAACAGGCTGCTTCACCATATTATTCTCAACTAGATTGTCATTAAGGTTTACTTTAATATATATGAAAATTTATCTGAGTATATTAAAATATTAAACTAATCAAAGAAATTTACGGGTCAATGATCACAATCAATTAGATTGCACAACTAAAAAGTGAAAAGTACAAATCAGTATTAAGAAGACAAATACACTAGTAATGATAAGAATCATACTATCATAAAAGTTTTAGTCAATAGTTAAACTATGGAAGTAGCTCAAATTTGAATAAATAAACTTTAAAATCTTATTTATCATAATAATAACCACATAGTGATTCTCTGTGAAGTGTAATTAATCTACCTATCAATGATGTTGTTATTATTTTGGTTTGATTACTACACTTTCAACCATTAAGCCATATTTTTGTATTTACTGCATTTTTGTTATCTTTTCTTTAGTATAATGCGAATATTTCCGCGATTCATACAATATAAAAAAATAGCTTATAGATTTATATTTTATTAGTATTTTTTTTCTTTTTGTCTTAGAAACTTCGTCCTATAAGTTTAATCTAAATTATTTAATGTAACTCTTGTTACTAACATTAAACATTATTAAAATTCTTGTAGTTTTTATTTCAAGCTTCATGTGTAAATCATTTGTTTAGTAATTAAAAAAAAGATTATAAATGACACAAATAATTAGTTCTTCATTCAACTATTCATGATACCTTTAGATTAATAATATATATTATAGTTAGTAATAAAGTCAATATGAACCATATGACAATGAGTTAGTAACAGCAAATATCTATATTTAATATTATTTATAAAAACAACTAATGTATATTTGATCAGAAAAATAAAAGATTAATTCGTGTTGTTCCGTTGTACTATTTAAACTTGGATTAATTTTAATTTGGTTATTTATTCTTCTCTGAAGAAGTGACTTACACTAAGTCACGAAACGTCAGAAAATCTAATTTTTCTATTCATTGGGATAATACAAATATATTATTCAATTATTATAATTGTCTATATTAATATATGAATAAAAAATGGAAAATGTTTTGTATAATTTCATTTGGTTTAATTGAATATTATAATCGAGGAGAAAAAGCGTGTAAACATTTCTCGACATAATGGTTACGTTTAAATAAGTGAATTTTTATGATTTTCACTGTATGTAACAATTAAAATCTTGAATTATTGGAATTGATTTAGATCGTTTTTAAATACCATAAATTCAGTATCCAGTTTTCGATTATATGTGCAAAAAATAAAGCTTTTTACTATTTTGTGTATTGATGAACTTGTCTAGTTGCTGGCCGAATATAACTTGGTCAAAAGGAGTTTTTGAACTGGTCAATACACATAGCAGAAGTTGAACTTGACAGTTCATCTCCATATCATGAAGCTGATGATTGATTGCTTAGATATTGGATTATGATTTCATTCTCTGTGCTTCATTTAAACTTCAGTTTTATTTATTTTTTAAAATACAATCAAATTTAATGCTTAGTAGATAGGTAGTTTTCGTTAACTCACCATTGTTTAGTATTTAATGCTAACTAAATTCTATCAAATTTCTATATAGCTACTAGCCTAAATGACTTGTTATCGGATGTACTTTTTTGTAGGCATTGGGCAGAAAACCTAGGTCCATGACTTGACGGTGATTACTTCCAACCACCTAATAATTGTCTGTTATCAATTGTAACTGCCAGAAACTCGTTTACTTATTGGCACGATTATAATTTATAGGTGAATAATTAGTTTAATTCATAGTTTATCCGATCTCTGCCATTCACATTCTGACGAGACAAGTTAAATATGAAGCCTATCACCAATGAGAAACCTGTAATTGTAATAAGTCTTCAATGTTTTGTTATTGATTGTATTTGGGAAAAGAAAGAATAAAACTATTATTTAGGAGTGAAATCGAAGAATTCCTGTTGTGCCACTCTGTACAAGCACTATAAATGTCTAAAAGTTATGAAATATTTGTTGTAAAAGATTGTATGGATTTATCTATATATGGATATAAAATTAGACACAAGTCTAATGAGACTCTATAGACTAAACAAACGACTAACACCTTGAATACATTGGAAGATAATCACATAAACGTTTGTCAGGAATATTTACTGAATTTACTTGTTTAACCTTTTTTTTATTTACTTTGATGATGTAGCTTACATTAAGTCATGAAACGTTAGAAATACAGTTTTTTCTACTCATTGGTATATAACAAAAAATATATTCATTATTACTTCATTTTACTGGGTTTTTTTTCACGTTGGCATTGGAGTTGATAACACTTTTCAATCCCTACTATTATTATTTTCATCACCGTACCTTCTCGATGCAATTGCTTACATTTATGTTCGAATGATTAGTAAAGTATTTATGTTAAAGTGAAATTTAAAATTTAGCTTACGGTATTATTTCAACATACTATCGAACTGTTTCAGCTATCGAACACGTTGATTTTGTATAGGTTTGGGCCATGCATTCTAATCTATCAGTAATCCATGTCAATTGTAAATAAAAGGTAAAAAGATCGATCAGTATTATTCAAGTCATGAGTAATTGTTTATCACTAATAATCTCAAATTAATCGTATCGATTATCGTGTAACGAAACATAGGTATTACCTAATAATATCTGCGGTTTTCCCGATGAATTTTCAAATAATTCCCTGCTTGTGAATATTTCTCGTTCATCTGAGCGATGGTGTTGAATAATTTTGTTGGTACAGGTCCAAAAAGCACGACGAAGCCTCCAGAGGCTCTAAATGAGCTGAAGAGATTCCGTTCAATCATAATCTGATAGAACCTTATGGAATATCAACGTGGCATGCTATGATTGGACAATTGCATAGCTTTCCTCCTTGCTGATTGGCCGGATTATAATGATGTTATAGCCAATATTAAGAACTATTAAACCCCTGTTTTTCTGTACATTTTTGACTTCTATCCAATAATCACTCCTCTCTGCCTCTTCCGTACTTTGATTTGCGACTGTGAGGTTATACAAGTTCGAGTACCGATAATTGTATACCGTATTCTACCGTAATTAAGTAGAGGATGTAACAAATTCTTTTGTAAACAACCCTTGTTGTCGACATATGTGTGACATTTCATTATGAGTGACTTGGGTCGTAAAACTGTGTTTGGTTGCTCTCTGTTATTTGGTTCAGTTGAACTGTGAAGTACTCCACACATATATCATGTTTGATGTCATTTTACAAAAGTATTTGTTCATATTTCAATCATATCTGATTAAATTAACTCTTTCTTTCCTAGTGATTGCTTCGGTGACGTTAATCTGACATAGATTTCTTGTTTCTGTTTTATATTATTTCCAGGTTACTAGATTACTCTAGACATCAAAGTTTGCTACCAAAGTTCAAATCTTCTTTGTATTTATATATTATCGTGTGTTTGGTAATTTCTGTTACACTCTTGTTGCTAACTTACTTCCTGTATGATGTAGTAGGTAAGCTTGTTTATACAATGTAGTCTAATTTTATTATATGGTGAAACACTTTAATGATTTGCTTAGAGTTTGAAGCTGTTCACTTCATGAAATGTTAAATGTCTAATTATTAGAATTATTTGTGTTTGCCAAAACAATTAAGTTTTGTCACTCGTCATCTAGTGTTTACACATCAGTAATTCAATGCATTGTGTATGTATGGGATTTCCAACTACTTAAAAGCTTTGAGATCATAAACAAAGTGGTGGAACAAGATAAAACTCGATGCAATGAAAAATCAGAATAATTCTGTCTTTTTTATTGACACAGTGACAGACAGTGATCATAAATCCCCATGGAACAGGTGTCGATGTCTTAAAAACCCGACCCTGTTATCTAGAAGCTCTCCATACGATACAAACCATGTATCTACAACACCATACATTAATGGTCTTCTTATATTGCATGTGATCGCCATTTAACTTGTCTTTTACCAATCTTACTATATCCAGTAACCGGTAGAGTTTACCATGTGTAAAACAGGCTGAAACAATCTCAGTCTGCAGCATGAAACACGTCGAATGATTTCTCTGCTTAATAATCTACAGTCAGCCACCAAATTTACTAAATTATAAAGTGTGGTGATTTAGATTGGTAATTAACTGCAATTTATGTTTATTCTAGTGATAAATATCTTTAAATCATATATCAGAATAAAGTTTTCAACTGTAATGTATTATTATTTGATTTAAGAGAATGTACTGTTGAATCATTGGTGATCATACATGTTGTGGTTTGGTAACTTTCAACCTTGTCTTCCATTTTGTCAAATATGTGTTGGCTGAAGTTGTCACATTTTGTGTCTGTTGAAATTAATAGTGTCCAATAGCTTTAAAACGACAAACTTAAAAATGATACATCAGATGCAAGTGAAATTTAGGAATGATGTATACATAAATGGTAATATGATCAAGATTTAGGTGAAAATAAACAATCAATGCAACTACGATTTAAACTTACAATAGTAGATTATAATTATCTTGTGGATCTTAACCAGGATATATATACTTTTCTTTGCTCAATTTGAATTATATCACTATCTTATTGTAACTCGATGTTGTTATCAGAATACTTGTATTCTATACAGTGTATTGCACTAAATTAAGTGGTGATTGGGTATGAATAATTTATTCTAATCTACTACCTAAGTCAGTAAATGTTCTTAATAAATTTAACGTATTTATGTAAGTGTCGTGTGCTTATCACCAGTACCATTGGGTTGATGGCATATCATCACCAATAGTACTTCAGCGACATCGGATCTATCAAAAACTCATGTATGTCGTCGACTTTTAGATGCTGTTTTTCATATTCGTAAACTAATACAGAGTGGAATACTACTCACTACAGTCGCTGTTTAATTAGCAGATGAATGTATTACATGGGTCATAAATGGCTTAAATTCATCATTCAATAACTCATTAGAATCGATCAAATACGTAAAGTTATCAGTGTGCTCAACTTCTTCGATTCCTAATATCAACCGAAACGTTATAACAGTCCAGTTTTGAAGCAGGATTTTTATATAGTAGATTCTTAACTGCATACAAAGGATCTTCTTACAGTGTTACTCAGTGGTAAGTGTAACTCTTAATCGACCAGTTGATATACGTTTTAAAGAGTAAGCTCTTAAATTTTAGACAGAGAACGGAACTAGATAAAGATTAGTAGATATTGTGAGAGTTTGTTTGATATATTAGATTTCGATGCGTGCACATTATACTATGTTATCGTATTAACCGTAAATAATCAAATGATAAACATTTGTATCACTCAAAGATTATCTCATGCACAATATTCTTCACAAAAGAATGATATACTTACTAGATATTTTGTGATCGTACTGCGATTTTCATGGTTATTTTCATTTGGATGGCTTCTTATACAGATATTCTCTTTGAAAACTCTTGTCTTCAGCACTTTGCTTTATATTTTAATGAATGTTTTGCATAATTCTCCTTTCTTTTAGTATATCTCCTAATAGCACTATTTGTACTGGTAGGCGCAAGTTCAATTTCGACATTCCTTACATTTGTTATCCAACGTATTGCTCCTGCAACAACCAAAACGTGAGTCTAATTTTAGTTTCTCTCAATATTCATTTGATGTGTTAATTATATATATATATATATATATATATATATATAAACTGTGGAGGCCTGTTTGAATATCTGAGCTACCTGTTCCTACCATCTAAATATTTCAACAAGTTATCTGTATTGTTCGTTTTAAAACATTATTATGTCTATTATACTCATTACCTATTCAGGAGCGTATATAAAATGTTTACAACCTATCGCTTTACAAAGTACTAAAAAATACAACCAGAGACATTGTGTATGGCAATGTTCATCGGAAAAAATGAACAATAATCAGATGTCGATTCCTGAACTGCTAACTTTCAACTGCCGATCGCTGATTGCAAAGGTGGACTATCTTCAATCACTATTAAGTGTAAACACATTTTTTCATTTCTGTGTAGTCACAATTCAAGAATCCTGGCTAAATGCTTTACACGACGATTGTTTAGTATCGCTTCATTAGAAACGATGAATCAATAAGAAAATGTGGCGGCGGTCTAGCCACATTCGTCAATGTGAACTGGTGCATGTTTCAAATTTTTAAAACGACTTTATCGACTGTTTAAATTTATGATGCCGTCCGAGGCAATTGAACAAATACAATCGTATTTATGTTACAAACATTTACGTAACTCCGGACCGCATATCATCTGCACTATCTGTTTTCGTTGACGAAGTCACTGATATCTGCTTCAATGTTTCACTTTCAGTCATATGTAGTGATTTTAATCTATGTGATTGTAGTTTTCTTTCATCATCAAGTCACCAAAATGTAATCGATTTTCCCACTCGTTCGGATGTCCATACAGACTTAGTTTTCATTAATGATGCGGGAATATATGTGACTTTCAATCGTGTTCCGTTGTTTAGTTCTGATCATTGTGTTATTTGTATTCTACCCAAAGTATATGGCAAACTTATAAAGAGTACATCCCAAATGCCGTGGTACGACCGAGGGTGGGGAGAGTCAGTTCTCCCTCTCGAAATACTCTCACATGGCCACGTGCATGCAACCACTACCAGGGAATTCCTACTTACTACCTTCTCGCGGCACAAGTGTTGTCTACGAAGTTGAGAGGACGAAAAGCGAATGTCTGGCGCTTTAACCGGGTTAGTGAACACGGAGTATCCATCTAGGAGTGTTGAAAAACCCTGATTCCAAACCAATGGTGCACATGGGCTCCAGTATCCTGAAGGAACAAATGGCATATGAACCAATTATTGGTCACCGGCCAACATGGGACTGCATCTCCTTACGTTGCTCTACTGCCTTGTGGATCAGACTTTTAGGTCAAAGGCTCGGGGTGTGGCTCCTTAAGGAAACCATCTGCTTCTATTTGAGCGCCCGGGCAGTATCACAGCACACACACAAATCAAGTGATTTGTGTGGTGCATTTGTATTCGGTGTCCCTTTGTACCACTATTTGTGTGTTCAAATAAATAAATAAATACATCAGTCAAATAAAGGAAGTATCCAAAATCTGGGAAAAACATGTTTCGTACGACAAACTGGAAATTATTTACAAATGACTCACTGGGAAATACCTTTGATTTTGTCACTTGTAATCTTAAATTCTGCTTTATTGTTTGTTGTTCCGATGAAACTATTTTTGTAAGTTTTGATTGACTTACATCCCTACAACTAAAGCGATTTCGAACGCAAACAGAAAGAATATACGAGGATAAAAATTCTGTCGAAGTTCGAAGCTAAATGATCTAATGAACCTAGAGATTAGACGTATGAACTTGATGTTTACTGAGAAACTCACATTTTTAAAATCTCTTCAAGTATGCGGAAATTATTTAAAGAGCTTACAAGTGTGAGACGCACTAGTGACGATAACCAGCTGAATGTTTGTGACTAAAATAAATCTTTTTTACGTCAATCATCTGATTTCATGCTTCCTATATCCACAAGTCTGAAGAATAGTTGTGTTCCAATTTTCACTGAAAGTGATGTCCGAAAATGTCTCCAGTCACTTAACTCGTACCAATGTTTAGGAACTGACGAAATCCCAAACCTCCTTTTTAAGGAGTTGGTTGATGTTGCGTCGTCTGTCTACGAGCATCTTTAACGAATTTTTCTCAAATAATTTCATTATAATTGAATGATAATTATTTCTTACCTATAAATAACGTAACAATATTGAGTAAATTCAAATCGTGGTCACAATTAGAATTAAATTGTTCCCATTGGACAACCACTTAATAAATACTCCTAAAAAGTCCTTATACTAATTCATTGAAAATGCAAAAGGGTCTCTTGTGAATGAATTTGTTATAAAGCTTTATATATAAATGAGGTATCAATCCTATAAAGATATATAAACCATGAATAAATGTGATAATGTAACGTAAAAGTTATATTACTAGATTATATAATGTGAATAATAACAATAAAAGTTTGTGTGTGCGCAAATAATAAGTTGTGCAAAATTAATAGGATAATAATTCATTATTCTGTGAATAGAGTAAGATAATTAAAATGTTTTTATCACAATAATTGAAGGTTTTAGAAGGGTTAAACGAATTAACTTGATATTAGAAGCAATAGTAAGGAAAATGATAAGTATTTGAAAATTACTGAAAGTGAGGGGGAGATATTCCCAAATACAAAATCAATGTAATGAAGATAACGATAAGTGTAGATTTTTGTGGCAGTGACAGGATTTACATAGATTTAAAAAAAGCGAACTGACCAGCAGAGTTTGACCATGCCGGGTGTGAGACAATTAACCACCGGACACAATAGAAGATTGTCGTGCAATGTCATGGATTGATTGGAGTTATACATTAACACCATTGGATGCTGGTTCAGTGGTCTAGAAGTTAAGCATTAGCGTGCTATACTTCCACGTCCAGAATCATGGATGGATACTGTTGAGGAATCTCCTACTAGAACGAAACGGTCATCCAGGTGTCATTGAGTGGTCTAACATTGGTCGGTTCATGATTCCAGTGAAAACGGAAATTAAGTCTAAGGTATAATTCATTAATTTTGAAATTTAGGAGGGAGAATAGTACACTTATTACTTTTAATGAACTAAAAATGCAACTCTAACGTCATTAATATAAGCTTCTACTAATTTAATAATAAATCGAAACAATAAATATTTGATGTTTTTTCACTGCAAAAGTTATTTCATTTTAGATCGAATGTCATTATAGCTTTGTGTAATACTTCATTGTATATTCCATTTTTCCCCTTCAATTTTATTTAGGATAACAATTAATGTAAAATGTTGTCGAGTTATTAGTCCCAGAAAAATATATATTCTTTCTCTAGTTACTTTCCCAATCGGTTTGGCCATAGCTACAACGTGGTTGGTATTTCGTAATAATGACATGTAAGCTTCAGTTTTATATGCCTTTGTTTTTAATCATCATGTACACGCATGTTCTTAATGATCATTTACCATTCAATTTCATTGGTAAAATCCAAATATTTATGTATGACTATGACGTGGGGTCTATATACTATAATCTGTCATACATATGTTAGTAAAAGCAACAGTTTTTTTATACGAATGCTCAATAATTTATCTCCTCTCTAGATGTTATCTAATCCATTTGTAGTATACAAATAGGAAGACCTGTTCAGTAGGTCGTATGGCGTAATTGGTGAATATTATAGAAATTTTTAGTCAAAATCTGAGAATGTTTCAGATACTTCACATCTTTCTCAACTAAAAATTCTTACTTCAATACTGTGCTGAGCTGATGCATGTCTTAACCCTAATAAATGAAGTGCGCCAATCGCTTTATCAAACAAACAGTTGTCTGACCAAGGTCCTTAACCTTCAGATCATTGAACTAGGATCAGGTGGTTTCCATATATAAATTCAGTCAGTTCACAATCCTTAGGCTGTGTCTCGAATTCATCCTGCTGAGCAATCCCATAATAAGATGAAGTAACTGTTCAGTAATTCCTGGCGTTTATTGGTTTTTTAATCAAGGTAGGTCCGTAATATGAAAGTATCAGGTTATTATTTAGTCGAACAGATTGTAGACATGTGTTTCATCACAGTAATCTAAAGGTAACACTTGCTGTGTGACGTTAAAATCTTGAGTTCATCAGGTGAAGTTGTTCTGTTATGAAGTTATCTCAACATTCATGATTTTATCCCCATTGTTTAGTAAGCTTTATGAAAATCTTGTGTATTAACAATTTTGTGATTAGGCGAGTAGTTTCACTAGTTAAAGAAACCCTACTTTCCAGTGTTTCTTTAAACTGCTTAGGTTTTTAAAATATATTCGAATAAATGCAATTCAATAATTGTTTCATCGTATTCTACAAGATTATGTGTTTTGTGGAAGATATGAAATTGTTGGTTGTTGAAATTAGAATAAAAATCTGGTGTAATACCGATCTTTGAGATAGAACCTTGTGTATCATGCTATTAAATACATATAAAGATGCCATTACCACTATTTAAATGAACATTTTGTTTAAAAAGAAACATTTTTATCAAGTTCTACTTTGACATTATGATTTTCATTCATTACATTATTTGAATCTTTTATTAGAATTGGTTGGCCTTTGCAATCTGTTATCGGGATGTTTATAGTGGCAGTGATTATTTCATCTGGGTTGATTATACCATCAGTCAAGGTAATCAAGGAGTATGTTTCTGATAAATTCTACCCCATTTCTTACTTGTTACATCTACTCGTCACATTTGGTACCTAGAATTTAACACCTCGAACTGACTTTTTTAAATAGAGACTGGAAACCAGAAAGCACTAGACAAATACTTAGTTTCAATATAGGACTTCTCAAGAATGGTGATCTACAACTTTACTAGAAGTTAAACCCTTAACTTTCAGATGTCTTGGGATAGTGCTCAACCTTCATACCACTGATTTTATCGTCCAATGATCTACAGTTCTAACGTAATCGACTCGCGATATTGCGTTACTATCACTCGGTGCTATAGGTTGGCAACTCTCTCAACCCTGTCATGACTGAAATTTGTGGTATAAAACTTTAAATTCAGTAATCACTATAATACCCTATGATTACGCTTGATGTACTCAAAGTCTATTTTCTATTTAGTGCACTGGTAAATTATAATTCCTACACAACAGTCTTGTGATAGCTCATGTGATTCATATATATATATATATATATATATATATATATATATATATATATATATATATATATATATATCGTTTATATTGTTTGACTAAATCTCGTTTTTGACAACGCGGTCACGAAAGCGCTAAAATACAAAATTTATATGGGACGCGTTTATTTCAAGCATCCATGTGTAACCAGGCAAACAAAGGGTGTAGTGATTATGGAAATCGGGTTTTGACCAAGATCGGTGACTTAGGTGTGACTCAGCTTTTGTAGCCAGTCAACACTTTGTAGATGCATAGATAAGTACTTACTTACACACACAAAGTTACAGAAAGATATATGGATGAAAGTGAATAATCAATAAGACCACGATTAACATGGTTACTCTTAGACGATCTCATCTGTCTATGATAACTAAAGAATGGTTAGGATGATAAATAATAACGTGTTAGATACGTACTGTTTAAATCATTAATATCTGTTCAAAAGTCAGAATACCCTCATGCAGGTGTATAAAAGCCATTAAAGTCTATAGACATCCATCTCTAGCAGAAATATCTTATGATTATGTCTCGATTACTTTTTGGTTGGTTGTATTTCTTTGTTGTCTGAATCCTCAATGGTTTTCCTCGTAAAGTGCGTTTATCGTTTTTATGTGTCTATTTGTTCAAATGAAGCTCGGGTTTAGAGTTACCCATCATGTTTTACTTGTCATATTGATGAAAACTTCTTATGTTTTTGTAGTGAGTTTGCGGTATGATAGTTTGGACTGCCTTACCTTTATTCAGCGTTAGATTACTGATAACCTTGGACCTAAGTTTCATGTTATTTAGCATACATCAGTGAGGTACATCTACAATTTGGATGGGGATGATGCTATTTGTGGAATACAAAGCTTCACCAAAGTTGGAGACATTACTACTGAGATATCGAATATAAGGCATAGTTTTTCAAATCATACAAAAATTAAATTTCTGATCTATCTTTCATCGTCTTTTTAAAGGCAATTTCATTTATTTCAGTTTGCTGTTCTATCGGCTTATATGTCTGTGTCCGTATTACAGAGTATAGTCTACAATATATATTTTCACTTATGTATATAAGTATACTTTAACTGGAAATAATCAGTCCCCTTGAGAATTTTGGATAATGTAAAAAGAAAATGAAGATTGTCAAAACTCTATGACATATTAACGCAATACATTTCGAACAATCTGACCACATCTATATTTTTGTTAAGAACATTTATATATGATTAATAAACGATCAATTAGACAAACAAACAATATAAATCTCACCACTATGAATAGTAAATAAATATTACCAAGAATAGATTTACAGCGAGTACAAGCTGTTTCTGAATGCATAAAAAGAGTTTGAATTTTTTCTCAACAAGTATGTATGTGATCAGATTGTTCATGATTTATTGCATTTATATATCACATGGTTCTTATCATCTTTGTCTGGTTATATTTCGGTTGACAACTTTGTAAAACATAATTTCGTGACTTCCTTATATTCTTTTTTTTTTCGTATTATCTCGTTAGGTTGGTACACTTTTGTTTACTGCATTTCTGATCTATGATATATTCTTCGTATTTATTACTCCCCTATTCATAGTAAGTTATTTATGTATTTCTAAACTAATTCGTATATTTTATAGTTATCATTTGATTTTGTCAAAAAAAGTATATTAATTTCTGATATCTTTTTGTAACGTTAATAATAAGGCTACTAAAGATATTCACGAACCAACGTAAATAAGATGAGGTTTGCACCTAAGACTTGCAATGTATTTAAATCTTCCTTTACGCGTAGTTATTGGTCACCATCGTTGACGATTTTTTTAGTTTCAATTTGTTAGGAATTCATAAATGGTTTTTATTCCACTAATTTTTGCTTACGTATTTCTATCGTTCTTCATTGTCTTAATATTGTCTTCAGCATAGTCTGCATATTTGAATAAAACAAACACATCCAGTTAGATTTTCATAAACGATGAGGTTCTAATCTGAGATTTAAGCAAGTTTACGTAGAATTCTGTTCATTAAATGTTCATTTTGACTCTGTATTGAAAAGTTGATTTTCGGCTATCAGTTGATATGTGTCAGACATTTCACACCATCTATCGAGTTGAAAATATGTGAATGATCTCACTAACCTTTTTTAAAAGAAAATGATGATTACTGAGTTAAACAATACAGTTAAGTTCATTTTAGCATTAGCTTGATAACGATATAACAGATGAATGAAGATGTTTTCTCGCTTTCACGATGTATTACTGTAATATGATGATTCGACCGCTGACCGAGATTATGCTACTGTCAGATTGAATACGGCCAAAGCAAGGGCCTCATTCCTACAATTGAAGAACATGTGGGACTTAAAATAACTGTCTGTTAACAAATATCAAAGTCAGAATCTTCAATGCTAACGTCAAGACAATCAGTTCTACTGTATGAAGCTGAGACGTGGATAACTACCACATCCATCATCAAAACAGTACAAGTATATTTATAAACAATTGTCTACTATAGATAGTCAATGTCCATTGACTGGATACCATCAGTAGCAGCCTAGTGTGGGAGAGAACAAACAGCTTCCAGCTGAGGAGGAAATTAGGAAAAGATGTTGGAAGTAGATAGGACACACATTGAGGAAACCATGAAACTGCATTACGAAGCAAACACTAACTTGTAATCCTGAAGGGAAATGAAAATGAAGAAGACCAAAACCACAATGCCTCGAGAATTAAAAGCAAACATGAATAAGATGAATAGCAACTGGAAAGGATTGCTCAGTGCAGAGTTGGATGAAGAATGCTGGTGAGCGGTCTATGGTCCTCCATGAGAGGTAACAGGCATAAGGATGTAAGCAAGATTGAATACTCGATCAATAGACCTTGCACGAACTGAATCGCATTATACGAGACACACGATTCATGACCAAAAATAGTCAGGGCATAGACAAGACAATACTTTATTTTAATCAATTGCAAGCAGTCACACTCAATGAGTTTAAAGTACAAATCAGTGGTAGGAAAGTAGATCGCACATTTAATAGTCAGTAATTTTTGTTTGTTTGTCCACGTTCAATGGTCAACCACATATAATTTCACTAAGCGCATATCAGACAACTTAAACTTCTTTTTAATCACTTGAATTTTTTCCGCAGTCAACTGCATCAACTAATGTCAGTCATTCCTCTGAGCATATCCAACTTACTAGAACACGACGTTCAACTGCTCATAGTTTTATGGAAGCCGTAGCAACTGGTTCAGCCGGTAAAAGTGGAGAACTGATACCGTTATCATTTCGTCTACTTATCAATGAACATATAGAAGTAAATAAACATAATAACGCGACCATGCCATATGCTTCTCTTCTAGGATTCGGTGATGCTGTTATTCCCGGTAAAGTTGTCAATACATTCTTGTTTGTTTTCGCAAGTAAAATTTTATCTATCATTATAGGGAGTTTTTGACGATTGTTGAGTGCTATTGGGATCACTAACCGACCTAAGTTGGAGAACCATGGGAAACCAGGAAGCACTGGAAAACTGTTTCATTTTAGTAATGAGATTTTGTGACAGTGCTCATCCACTGCCCCATCGAGGATCGATTTTAAGATTTAGGTTTCAAGATGAGTGATCAACCTCCCGACTATTGAGTCGACATCCGATGGTTTACATGTGTGACTTCAAATAATTCTCAATAGTTCACAACTGTCTGCTATTGTCTTCGGTTGGTCACTTCACACCGAAGAAATATGAACTCCATTGATTTTATGGCTTCTCACTAGCGCTTCAGGAATTACCTCTCGAAATTAATCCCTCGTGAGCACGTGGGGTTTATGGAGGTCGTACAGTTTTATGTTTGTTTGTCTCATTTTTGTAAAGATTGTGATCTAATGAAAATGGTCTTTGGTTTTATTTTTACAATTCATAATCTAGTATCTAAATGTACTGTCATTTGGTGCTTTCTTAGAGACTTCAGTTTCAGATATTGAACTTTATGTTAATTGGAATAAAGCGAATACAACAAACTTAGTGGATTAAGGGCGAATTCATTTGTTTCGTAGATCCTTGTCAGTTCCTTACGACCTCGAAACGATGACGACAACAATTTTCGTTATTCTACTAATCTTCAATAATGCACATAGATTGTCTAAAAATAATTATTGCTACTATTTCTAGCTTTTAAGCAGCTGGTGAGGATCTATGAAATAAACGAATTCACCTTATTCTAATACTCTTGTTGTTTTTACTTTAATAGAAGTTTGTCAATGGGAAAGTTTTCTTTCACTTTGTGTTATTCGTTAATGGTGTATATATGTGACATTTTTATTATTCTCTTATCGATTTTGTTGATTGAGTTGTTGAAGTTCACTGAAATTATGAACCGATCAATGTTAGATCACCATTGAAAATCTAGAAGCACTGGACAACCTTTTCTTACTAGTGTGGCACAAAATGGCCGTCCAGTGCTTCCAGGTTCTCAATGGTGATCTATCATTGGTCGGTTCATAATTTCAATAAAATTCTTTTATCGATTTTCTTGATTGTGTAATTTTAAATGCAATGTTAGTAGAATTAAGTAATCTCTCCAATGACTATGCAAGATATTTATTTCCGTGGTCTACAAAGGTATATTTAATGTTCACTTTATTTTAACCAGAAATTTCAGTCATTTTCTAATGAAGCTTCTGTGTGCTTGTTTAGCTTTTGTAATTGGTACCTTTCATTTGATGTCCCCAGATAACATTTTATCGCATCAAATGGATATATATCTGTCGTGTTCTTGTTTCGTTAGAGTAGAGTTATTTGTTTCATAACTTTGCATCATAATTTGTATTAGGTTATTTGACAGTATTTAAGGAAGACTGCAATTCACAAGTTAATAAGTTCGGTGATTGAAAGTAAACTAGCGAAAAATTCGAATTTAAGTTTCATACTCGTTGATATTTATTATAAAGTGAGATATCTGCAGCGCTAAGGGAACTGATACTCGAACCCGTTAGAATTGAACTATTTGAGCTATCACTAATCTCTTATAGGTTACTACTCAACAATCGATGTACGTAAACATCTCGGTCCTACGCAGAGATTTATATTTCCAAAATACTCAGTTGGAAAGTAAAAAGTTTCTTTCTTTTGTAGATATGATAAAATCTCACAGCCGAATCATAAATGAACTTAGTGTCGATCTGCATTATTTTGAATTAACCTACCTTGAAACATATTCAGTATTACAAAAATGTAAACAATCAAGTACTTCATCTTATTTACTTTATTGCATCATTTTACTTGCTGGACTCCGTATGTTTAAAAATAAATACGTTTTAAATTAATAAGAAAAATAGCTAAAGACTACTTAAATTATATGACTTATATACTAGTCATATATGAGTTATACTTTTACGCTTCCTCATTGACTGTCACTGTTATGATCGTAAGTACAAATGAGTATTTATTCATAATACAAGAAACATATTAATTTCACGGTACAAAGATGACAGTCTGTTGTATATAATTCATTTTATGGTTACCAATTGATCATTTTCTTACTTATTTTTTTTCTCGAAAAAAACATTTTTCAGGAATATTTATTCAATTCCTGGCATTCTATGATGCATGTTGGCGTGCTCCGTACTATCGACACTTTTTAGGTGGAATTTTAGGTTGGTTTCTTTTATTAGAAAGAGATTATTTCCTTAAATCTATTTTTATGATCAATTTAGTTTTTTTTATGCGTAAAAAATACAGTAGAAATGAGAAACAATAACGTATCAGTGCTTTTACAGCAACTTTGTGTACCTATGATTAGCATATTTGCTGTTCAAATGGTCTATAATTTTCTGAAATCACTTTCCTCGACTTTTTTGAGAAAGCTTTCAATTGTGTTTAAGTGTGCCGAATTATAAAAATAGAACGTAAAAACAATAATTTTGTCATAAGCAACCTACTTACGCCTGTCACCTCCCGTGGTGGAGCATAAGCCGTTCATCAGGAATCTCCATCGAACTTTGTCCTTAGCGATCCTTTCCAGTTGTTATCTATTCTTTTGATGTCTACTTCCAATATTGTGGAAGTTATTTAGGGCTTTCAATATTACTCGACCTTCAATATAGCACAATGACAGGATGTCTAATTTACTAACACTATCACGAATTTTTTTTATAGAATCTGGTTAGTATTCAAAATTAGGGAACTACATTATCATGTAATTGTTCAGTTGAGTCACATCCGATTGATTATTTGCCCCTCAATCCTTAAAAAATTACCCAAAATAATATTTGAATATCCGATAATTAAAAATCTCCATTATTCTTCTTCCTATATACATTTGACTAAAAAATGCTTTCAGTAACAAGGGGATTATACAAAGTGTCTAACTAAAAACGATGTTTAATATCAAAAATTGAAATATGGAGTTCGAAGTCATTTCTTTGTCACATATCTCACAAAATATGCCCGATATGTCATATTACTGTATAATTAATTCCTACTTTTAATTATCTTCTAAGTAATAATTTTTATTTTATCACCGGCGTTTTTATGGCACTTGTGTACGTGATAATAAATTGTAAAACATTTTATATTTGCTAACATCATCGATACCCCACTCAATATATGTATTTAAAATTCCTTTTAGTTACACACACACAAATACTCATACTGAAAACTATCGTATTATGACCTTGAACTGACGGAAATGTTTACATCTTTCTGTTTAAGTGGTGTGAGAGATCTACTAATATTTAGTTTAACTACTAGAAAGAAATATTTTGATAAAATGAATGTTTGTTTGAAATTATTAGTCATTTTATTTTGCAACATCCTACTAATCTTATCGTATTGTTGTTGAATGGTTGGGTAACAATGTATTTATCATAAATGGCCTTAATTGACTTATTTCCTCTATACATGTATGTAAATATTACCTTATATTTAAGCAAAGATCACATTAGAAACAATATTGTTTGCTGATAAGTTTTATTCCAAAGGAGAAAAACATTTGTTTGAAAAAATCTGAATAAGAGTTTATGTTTCTCGAAATCCAGTTCATTTGTTATTTCTTTATCAATTTATCATTGACTTTGGTTACTATTTTAGGTTACTCACTTGGTTTCATAGTTACCATCATTATGTTAAATGTTACTAATATCAGTCAACCAGCTTTATTGTATCTATGTCCATTTACTCTTCTTGTAACCTTCATTGTTGTCATCGTTTGTGATGGTCTAAATGAATGGAAACTAATGTGGTCAGGCAGTTTGCCTACATTGGTCGATAATTCAAATATGAATCCGACTGGCGATAGCGACCGGGTTAATCAACCAACTGGTTCTTTAGAAGTGAATAATCTATATTCAGTTGAAAATAAATCGCTTAACCATTCAAAAACTTCACTAGTCCCTGAGCTATCATAATAATACTGATATAGTATTACTTATACCAAAAAAAGAAAAGGAACGTACTGTGGCTTTTATTTCTTTCTTATCTTTGTAAATGCTTATTTTCGTGATGACTTTGTGATTACATCCGCATTTTTATTTGTATTTGTGTATGTGCGTTTCAGACATTTTATTCGTAATGCTATAAATGATAGTAATCACCATATCCTAGAAACTAGTTGATTCATTTGTTAAGATGTGTAATTTTGATATTTTGTTTACCAGTGTAGCAGCTTCTGATTCTAGATATGGAAGCAGAAAACGTGGTTCCCGTGATAATCTGTTCGTTGGGTAACTAATTAAGGTTTCATAGCAGAAGCGGCACTGTTCACTCTCGTGATTATGGTTTCTTTTCAATGTCGTTTGTTTCGTATATTTACTCGTAGCTTTATTATGCAGTACTACATTGTTGTCCTGAATTCATAAATCTCAAACTTCGGGACTAGCTCTAATGACGGACTTAATTATGAGAACTGCAATCACTACTATTCTCGTTCTTGATTCGGTTGTAGACACGTAATCTCATTAACTTGATTTCCATTTCATATCATTTCTGCCAACATACATCTCTTGACAAGTTACAACAACAAGGGGTCTAATGATAACAAAAGAAGATAAGAAAGCTATTTAGAGACAAAGAAAAATCTATCTGCTTTACTCGTTGGTACCAGATCTTATTTTATTGACTGCACTGTAAGATATTTGGGAACTGGAAGCATCACAATGATAGCTGAAAGAAAATTACAATCCACATATTGTACCTCAATTATTCACCCAAACAAGGTATGGTCGCTTCTATTCTATCGAGAAGGGGAAACGAAGACTAATCGATGGCTGGGAACAAAAGACACTGATGTGTTTAGGATGTAATTTAAGACGATTAGTTCCTTTGTATGACTGATTGTTGCGACATAAGTGGGAGGGTTCTTATTTTTCGGAATTATGCTCTAATAATCCAGGACCTAGTAAAAAATATCTATCAACATAATGAGAGGTAGTTAGAAAAGATGTGTAGTTATGCAGCAAAGTAATGTTACTTTCCCTGATCTTAAGAAAAAATATTGGAAATGGAAGCTTTATAACAGAGTACACAGGCTTTTGTACGTCACAGTTCATTATGAAGTCGCTTCGAAATGGCATACGAAGGACCTTTTAAAGTCCTGCATCTTAAGCTTTATTACTCTACCATCGACAAAAAGGGGACTAATTGTAACGTTAGCATTGACCGTCTTCAGGTCTCTTAATTGAAAGGAATCTTAATTTTCCTCCTGTACAATCAAACGATAGGAGCCTCACAATCACTATGCCTTCCCCGATATTCAGCAATCAAAACGAAACGTTGCAGATATCTAAAAACCAGCCAAAAGTAACGCGCTCTGGCAGAAGTGTAAGGTTTTCTGGATAATAGGACAACTACTACACGTAGGACATTAGATACCTTTTTGTTTTATCTCATTACTTCGCAACTTATCTGATTGTACTATATATATCATTGTATCAAACAATTACATCACAACGAAGATTGAATTATGAGTAACTTCTGGCAACTATTCATAGTCTCTTATTACATATATTGTTATTGTATAACTATACAGTAACCAGATTATGTTTATATATAAAGCTGTAGCAGTAGAGGTATACCCAAAATAAATAGTTTTGTATGTCTTCGACATTAATGCTGACCTCATTAGTTTTACTGGACACCCTAACTAGAGGCTCTCAGCCACATATCAACACCATATCAAGGGTTGGTACACAGTGCCTCACTACAAGACGTGATAGTACCAGCATGACATAACAAACAATGTAAATTTATCGAATTCTGGTATGCAGATTGTTATTCATTGTGAATAAGAAGTTCATCGATACTCATCCATAAATCCTGGTGTTGAAGTTCATTAACTTAAGCAAATGAACTTAATGGCAAAAACAGTTTTCTCAATAAAAACGAAATGATTATTAACTACCTTTCATATTCACAGAAAATAACTAGCCATGAAGAAACTAGACGTTGATTGTGTGGCGGTAAGTACACCTCTGAAATCAATAGTTCTGCAAGTCTTCGACATTTGGTGTTGACTGTATTAATTTTACTGGTCCCAATTAGATGAAGGCTCTTTGTCTCGCATCCACATCAAATCACAAGCGGGAACGTCGGGCTTCGTACCTTTTTTCAGCTACTAGCAAGCTTAGAACAATGTTCCTTCGACATACTGGACAACCTCTCAAACATATCTTCGAACTTTTTCATTCCTGTCTTCCGATATGATTGGGCTGACACACTTCGATTATAAAACTGTTACTGGCTTAGGTGTTACCACACTCCAAATTATTGTAGCATCCTTGTTAGTTGTGTCATCGATTTCAGCAGATAATAGTAGGCAGATGAATTAACTCAAATATGCTAACCACATAATGACAGGTTCAGCATCACAAGCATTCCGTTGTACGAAAGTCAGGCTTACAAGTATATTTTGCCCAAATTTGAATTAGTTGCTCGTCACAACTCTCATCTCCTCCCTTATATGTCTAAAAGTTTTACGTTTCAAATGTGCGTTGCGTTTAAACTGACATAAGCTATTCCTAGCAATTTTCATTCTTAAACACCTGAGTAGAGCGCGATTTTCGAACAAGAAGTTTAGTCCTAACGTGATTTGCATATATCAAACTTTTGCTGTGTTCTTACGCAACAAAAGTACCATTTCAGTTCTAAAAAATCTATCCTGAGCTATACGTTCGGTAGATTACTTTTTTTTGAGTTTCACTATATTTAATAGTTACCTGTGGTTTTGCCTCAGCTTACTATTCGGTTTTTTTTGTTTTTCACGTATAGACTAGTTTCAGTTTATATCACTCGTTTTATCCATTTTTGTCCGTTTTCAGTGTGCATTTTAGTGTTTTTTTTAAAAAGGTCTTAAGCTTTTGCAAGCATCTATAACATAGTTTGCTTCAACACCGTCATGAAAAACTCATGCAAACGTCCGGGATGCCGTTTTGCTGTCACAACTGGCATGCAGTGTGTCAACTGCAAAGGTTGGTTTCACGAAGCATGCACAAATCTGACAGCAACTGCTTACAACAAACTCAGCAAGTCAGACCAAAAGTGGGTATGTGTCACGTGCAACACGGACGCAGTAGTCTTGCTGAGTAACATCATTGTCCTACTGACAGGTCTTCGAAACAAGCTGTCAGTTAACTTGGAATACGACAGTAAAAAAACCGATATACAAACAAGAGCGCGCAACGGACTCAAAAATAGGGATGTCGATAGGTATGTCATCGATGGAGCATCCATCAACACTAAAGACGACGTGTCGAGGCTCAGTACCATCATTACGTCGACGGTACTAGACTCCCTAGGCAAACTCGGGTCTCCCAGCTCAGGGTCGCTGAACACAACAGTGGTTCCCAAAAACCCTGCGGGCGATTCGACCCACGTTAAGAGAGGCCAAAAGAACCAGGCATCACCGCCTAAGCCGAGCAACCCAAGTGTTGCTGCACGGGAAATAACAGGTGATTTAGTCGCACAGTCTACCCCCAAGACTGTTAGTCCGGTCAATAAAGAGCCCAAGATTCATAAACGCACACTGACCTCCAAAACACAAGTTATTAAACCTGAACCCATCGTGAAACCTGGTAAATTAACAACAGTTCGTGACGATTCTCTCATTATCATGAACCTCGTCGACAATCCTGACCTTCCTCTCAGTCTGCAGGATAAAAACGACAGGATGCTGTGGGGTGAATTGAACAAAAAGCTCGAACTTCCTAGAATAGAGCCTTTGACGGTCACCCGGCTCACTCGAGGAAAGGATTCTAAGCATCTAAATCACCCGAGGCTTCTCCGAGTAACACATAAGAATGCTACCGACGTAGAGGACGTCTTGCTAGCAAGTCACTTACTGAAATCAGATGGTAACGTAAGAATATTGCCCGACATACCGTACTCTGAGCGCGATATCATACGAAACGTCCCTAAAGAATCTCGCGAGAAGTTCTTCCGCGGAAGAAACATAATTGTCCAAGGTATACCGGAAAATGCAGACCCTACTCAATCAAATTCTGACATCAGGGAATGGAAATTCATCAGACAGTCCTTGAGGCTCAAACACATACTGACTGAGCATGTGACGAGACTAGCCAAGAAGGACGGTGATCTTAGACCCCGTCTAATGAAGATAACCTTCCCATCTTCCCACATGGCGGCTGCAGTTCTGGAAGCATTTCGTGCTAATAGACGTCGATTGCCACCTGGAATCCACATGCACCCGGATAGGCCATACGAAGTCAGGACCAAGAACAAAGGCAAGCTGGAGCTGACCATTCCACTTGTGGACTGTCTAAACGATAAAAAAAACGTGTAAAGGACAGAGCCTACCACCTCGGCAAACCTCATATAGGTGGGCTACCTGTCCATTCACATAAGGTTCATACATAAAAACAGGACGAAGCTCATGCGTTCCAAATTGAAAGCATAAACTGCTTATATATGAACGCCGCGAGTTTACCAAACAAACTGGATGAACTACGTGAACTTACCAACGCTAACAAGGCCCATCTGATAGGAATATCTGAAACCTGGATATCTTCTCAGTTCTCGGATCAAGAGTTAGCATTGCCTGGGATGACTTTGTTCCGCAACGACAGAAAAATAGGAATTGGGGGCGGAGTAGCCATATACATAAGCTCTTGCTTGGAGGTGCACCAGGTTCACAACCTCGAGTTTAACAATCTTGAGGAATCCATATGGTGCTCTGTAAGGTTGTCTAGTACTTCCAGGTGTCTAGTCGGAGTCATTTACAGGAAGCCAACTGCCGACACCGAGTACGATAGTCGTATGCTGGAAGGACTATCCCGCTCTATCCGTCTCGGTTTCACACACATCCTGATTCTAGGGGACTTTAATCTCCTTAGAGTCAACTTCGCGGAACACACGTACACTGGAGGCGACAACTCAACTGAAGCTCGGTTCTTCAACCTCATCGATAACTTGGGCTTATATGAAAATGTGAGGTCGGCAACTCGTTGGAGAAACAGTCAGACACCATCGCGCTTAGACTGTGTATTCACTAACGAAGAATTCCTAGTCGACAACCTCTCAATCCTGGCTCCTCTGGGAAAAAGCGATCATGCCGTCATAGCCTTCAGTTTTGTCATCAAAACTAAGCTAAGGTATCCCAACAATAATTTGCGATGGAATTTTAAACGGCTGAATGTGCGAGCTCTACATGACCATCTACAACAGGTGGTTTGGGATGTTCACCCTCAAATCGATGTGGATGGTCATTGGGACTTCTTGCTGCACACGCTCTTATGTGCTACAGACCATTCAGTTCCTCAAACGGTTCCCAAAAGCTTCAAGCCACCTACAGTAATCAAGAACCGTACCCTTCGCCTCCTAAGCCGCAAACGGCACTGTTGGGCGGAATACAAACGAACTAATAACGATGGAGCGTATAGGCAATACAAACATATCAGGAACACATGCACGAAGGCTATAAGAGAAGACAGGCTTCAGTACCGAACAAAGCTTATGGACAAATTCGCCTCTAACCCTAGAAGCCTATTCCGTTATGCAGCCTCTCTTCGTCAAGCCAAAACAGGAGTTTCTCAACTGCTAGGTCCCAACAGCCCGACCAACAACGATGGCGACGCCGCTAACCTTCTGGCGGCCCATTACTCTCAAACATTTCAACCGGCTGATATCAACTTTATTGACGACAGTTTCATCTGCAATTCCACAGGACTTTCTGAAGTGGACCTAAGCGCTGACTTGGTGTTCCGGAAACTGCAGCACTTAAGACTTGACACTTCTCCTGGCCCGGATATGGTTCATCCTGCCATACTGAGGGAGGCAGCCTCAATCCTGGCAACGCCGCTTAGCGTGATGTTTTCACACTCGCTTAGCCGAGGCAAACTACCGGAAAAATGGAAGTTGGCTCACATCACACCAATTTTCAAAGGTGGTCGACGCAATGAACCTTCAAGTTACCGGCCGGTAGCTCTTCTGTCGTTACCTTCAAAACTCATGGAGTCCCTGATATGCGACGGTTTAAATGACTACCTACTGTCCTTAAATTTCTTCTCACCCCAACAGCATGGTTTCAGGAAGGGTTACTCTTGTATAACCAACCTGCTGACTGCTGTGGACAGATGGACAAGCATCCTCGATCGCAAGGGAAAGGTTGATGTCATTTACCTTGATTTCTCAAAAGCTTTTGATAAGGTTAACCACTTGTGTCTTATCAACAAGCTCAAACGACTAGGTATCAAACCACCTCTAATCGACTGGCTTACTTCATACCTAAAAAATCGACACTTTAAGGTTAGGGTTAATTTCACTTTATCTCAAGCTATGGAATGTCCTAGTGGGGTCCCCCAGGGCTCAGTACTAGGGCCTCTTCTCTTCTTGATCTACATAAATGATCTTCCTCAACAGGTAACGTCAGACTTATTACTTTTTGCCGACGACGTGAAACTTTGGAGAGAGATAAGCAAGCAAGACTAGATACAGGCACTTCAGGAGGATCTGACTCGACTTCAAAGTTGGGCAGACGATAACGGACTTACCTTTAACACTTCAAAGTGTAAAGTAGTCCATCTGCGACATGTCGCAAACTACAGTTACAACTTAGGAAACTCCTCTCTAGTAGTATCCCAAGTCGAAAAAGATTTAGGAGTCCTGGTGCCCCATGACTTAAAGTCTTACGCTAACTGTGACAAAAATGCCTTCCGAGCAAACCTTGCACTTGTAACGTTGAGGCGCATTTTTGGTCAGTTTGACGGAAGAACTTTCCACACAATCTTCAATAGTTTCATCCGTCCCCATTTAGAGTACGGAAACATAGTACTCCCCCCTCACTCCAAAAGGATAAGGTCACTTTGGAGCGTATCCAACGGCGAGCCACGAAATCAGTTCGAGGACTCAAATCTAAGCCTTACGAAGAACGCCTCCGTTCACTAGACCTTTACCCACTAGAATATAGGCGTCTTAGAGGTGATTTATTAATGGCTTATAGTATTCTTAACACTTCTGGACATCCTCTTAAACACCTACTTAAGCTTAGTTCGAACAATAACCTAAGGGGTAACACCCAGAAACTGGAAACACAACATAGCAAGACGGAATGTAGACACAACTTCTACTCCTTAAGAGTTGTCAAAAGCTGGAATTCGCTGCCGGCCGAGCTAGTCCAAGCGACTTCTCAGGAGTCCTTCAAGAGGCAACTTGACCTATTCTTAAGGACCAAGGACAGCATCGCACTATGATTTACCAATTTATTTTCCTCTTTTATTGTTAACATACCTAGGTTCCTGCCTGGAGGATTTGTTGATCCCCTGCTACTAGACACGGAAGCCTGTTAAGCGAAAGCTTCTTCTATTCCGTCCACAACCATTTGAACCATTTGAACCATTTGAGTTTAGACTTGTTACTGTCTGTCTTCTTATCGACCAATCATTTTTCGACCTGAAGAGATTCATCTCACACTCTGTTATTTCTTTTGTTAAACACGAAGGTTCATTTACAAAGTCATCCCCTAATCAGCCCACAAAAATTTATGAACTCCTTTGAATCGTTTGAACTAACTAATGGGGTCAAAGTTTTGTAATGACAAGGTCATTGGCACGCGGAATAAACAGGTTCGTTGTATGATCGTTGTATGTTGGTTTAGAACAAGCTTGAATGAGTACAGGGTTCGTAAGCTGGCTGGAGTATTAGCTTATATTTAAGTGGATTCCCAGGTTTTTAAGAAAGCTGTTTATAGTTAACTCAAAGCCCAGGTTGCCATGCTGCAAACGCACTATATAAGATTGACAAGATTTTCCAATGTGATTGATCAAACACATGGATCTATTCATTTTATAGATTTGAATCAGTTTCGTAATCTTTATGGCTGTCTTAGACTCTAACATGGCTTGGTAATATTCCATAAAGTGATTGAAATGATAGGCTAAGTTCCTCACAACACAAAGTGACTTATCCTTTATTTTATTAATCTGAACACCTTAGATTCCCGCTTTCATTAATTTCCCCTATTTTCGCTTAGGCGTTTCTCAGTATCGATCACATTTTTTCGCTTAATTTCATTTATTATGCTGATATACATCACAGAAACTTCAACTGGTGCAAATTTTCTATCGGTTTTTAATTAATGTCAGTTCCAACCTTTTGATCATAAGAAAGCACGTTTTAAGACAGGAAAGGCTGGTTTGGTATGAGGTTTCCTAGTTTCAGTTTATGATGAAAACGAGTGTATGGTAAAGCTTAATAATTCATGGATTGTTTCCGAAGTCTTGTCGAATCACATGTGAGACCACACTAATTTATAGGAATTTATCCACCCTAAATTAGTATTGAGCAAACGACCCCATAGTTAGAAGTCTAGTGAGTAAATTTCCAGGCTGTTGAGTTACGTAAATCACATATATCACATATATTTGAAAGTTAATAATATTTAGGCTTTCTTCTAACCTGTAAGTTGTGTTTTACATGACATTACTCATTATTTTTGAAGGTTATTTTGAGTTAGGTTAATAACTGTGGAGATCGTTTTAATGTCTAGACAACCTTTGTCTGGCTCAACAAAATAATTCTATTGTCATACGTTATATACACCCATATAACTATTCTGCATTTTAAAACATTTATTTATTTATTTTAACACATAGATATTGGTACGAGGAGGCACCAAATACATATGCACCACACAAACCTCTTTCGGTATGTGTGAGGGCTGTGATACTGCCCGGGTGCCCGAACCGAAGCAGGTGGTTTTCTTAGAGGGCCACTTCCCGAGCCTTCGACCTGAAGGTCTGATCCACAAGGCAGTGGAGCAACGTAAGGAGATGTAGTCCCATGGTACCCGGTGACCAACAATTGGTTCATACGCCATTTGTTCCTTCAGGATACTGGAGCCCATGTGCACCATTGGTTTGGAATCCGGTTAAAGCGCCAGACATTCGCTTTTCATCCTCTCATATTCGTAAACAGCACCCCCGCCACAAGAAGACAGTGAGTAGGAATTCCCTGGCAGAGGCTATATACGCTTTATATAAGCTTTAACCAAATCTTGTTTCACTTAAAGTCACTTTGTTTGTAGTAATTCTCCTTGAAACTATACGCGTAAATTATTGTAATGTCATTTGTGAAAGATATTTTGAGTTACGTTGTATTTTTTCGTGCAGTAAATAACTCGCTTATTTATCTTAAAGTTAAATGGCTTACTTTCAGATTCCTAATGACTTCACTAAAATACAATGAAAGGGAATATGAAGCTTGTGATTGGTTTTTAAATATACAAACACAAAGATCTGTCTCTGAACTTCAATCAGATCTGTTCGTCTCAAATAGCGGATTCTTGGTTGATAACAGAACACAACGTTTTATAGAGCGTTACTTCAATGCATTTTATTTAGTTGATGTTGGTGGGGAGTTTGAAAATGATATTTGTATATTAAGGCATAGCAATACTTTGTGTGTTGTTGGTCTTGCTTGTGGGCACCATATTTTTAAAAGGTGTAGCAAGAATTCCTCTAGTGACTGTTCTTCTTCCGTAACTCACGAAATTTTAGGATTAGATTATCAGGTAAATATTTTTACCTTTCCTCACATAATTTATATTGATTTTAAATCATTCATGTTGAGCAGATTTGTATTACGTCCCTTTGTCTTTATATTGTAGTTTGATTTTTATGACATGCATTTCATTCTTAATATGCACATGACTGTCGAAATAACACTTTTCTACTATGAATGTGTGTTTGATATTACTGTTACCTCCCATGGAGGAGCATAAGGCGTCCGCCAGAACTCTCCATCGAGCATTGTTGCGAGCGATTCTTCCTAGTTGTTATCCATTCTTTTGATGTCTGCTTCAGATTGCCAACTCAATGTGCTTCTTCATCTTTTCCCTTTCCCTTCAGGATTACAAGTTAGCGCTTGTCTTGTGATGCAGTTTGATTTCCTCAATGTGTGTCCTATCCACTTCCAACATCGTTTCCTAATTTCCTCCTCAATCAACGGACATTGACTATCTATATTAGACAATTGTTTATAAATATACTTGTACTGTTTTGGTGATGGATGTGGTAGTTATTCACGTCTCAGCTCCGTACAGTAGAACTGACTGTCTTGACGTTAGTATTGAAGATTCTGACTTTGATATTTGTTGACCGATAGTTGTTCTGAGTTCTATATGTTCCTCAACTGTAGGAATGCTGTTGTCGCTTCACCAATCCTCACTTTTACATCTGCACCAGATCCCCCACGTTTATCGGTGACGCTGCATAAGCAAGTGAAAGTTTCCTTGTGTATTGTTGAGGCCTTCTGATGTAGAAACTGCTGCTACACTGACTGTCTTCACCTGCATCAGTTCTTGTGTACGGCTAGAAGAGCGAGGTAGGTGATATACGAAGTCCAAATCTTCTAGTTGCATGTAAGGTTGTACATTGTATGCCGTGTTTCTCTTGAGATATGGAAGTCTTAACCCAGTCAACCCTCAGAAAAAAAAGAGAAAGAAGGGGAGTAGGCAGCCTTGCTAACCTCGATCCTCACGTGGAATGCGTCTGTCAGCTCTTCTTCGTGCATAACTCTGCAGTATAGTCGGTCCCATGAAATCGGTGTGATGTTGACGATCTTTTCGTGTACACCATATTGTCGAAGAACTTTCTACAAAGTTTTCTTATCCGTGCTGTCAAACGCTTCTGTATAGTCAAGGAAGTTGATGTAAAGTGACGAATTCCATCCAATTGATTGTTCAACAACGATCAGTAGTGTCGCAATACGGTTCGCGCACGACAAATTCTTACGGAATCCAGCCTGTTGATCTCAGATCTCCTTTCTCTGGTATGTTGATGAGGTGCCTTTCTTTTCAATCCATTGGCGCGTAATCATCCCTCTGAATCTTCCTGAATAGAACGTGGAGCATGTTTGCAGTTACCTCTATATGTGACATCAGTGCTTTAGCTGGGATATTGTCTGGTGCTGTTGCTTTCCCACACTTGATTTGTCTAATGGCTATCCTGGTTTCTTCGATCGTTGGTTCAGTGACATCTATAGAATGGTCTGTGTATGCTGTTTCATTCTCCAGTGGATTCAATGTAGCCCTTCCACGTATTTCTGCTTGTCGGCTCCAATGCCCTTCTTCATCTGCTTGTTTGCTTCTGTGCATTCGGTGTGCCTTGACTTTCTCCGTTCTTGTTCGTCTGTTGTTCATTGCCGTCTTCTTGTTCTTCCTATCTTGAATCTTGAACAGGGTTTCCATAGAGATCCATTCCTTATGATGATGCTTCTTGTGGCCCAGAACCTCCCGACACATTGAAGTTAATGCTTCTTTGATGCCTTTCCGACTGTCCTCCATAGTAGTTTTTTCTTTCAGTATATCCTGTAAGGATTGGAACCTGTTGTTGAGAGTTATACTGAATTCGTTGAGTTTGTCAGTATCTCGAAGGAATTCTGTATTGAACCTTTGTAATGCTGTTTCTCCATTTATCCATTGCTGTTTTTGCTTCAGTTTCATTTTGGCAACCACCATGTAGGTGGATTAAGTTTGATATAGGTGTGTTTTAGTTATCTGTATCAGCATATTTAAGTATATTAATTGATAGCTCGGAGGATTTTTTTTAAGCTCATGTAATATTTAGTTTTAAGATTTAGAAATTGGCATTTCCTTAACTTTATGTTCTGATTCCGGTTACCTGTATGTATACCTAAGACATGTGATTATATCTTCCCATATCGTGACTGCAAGGTTGGGAAATAGGTGTTCACTGTTATGTGAACTAATATTCGCTGTTGAAGGAGTCTTTCAACACGTTTTAATGGATCACAATGTTGGTTTTAGTATTTGGTTAATATTTGCTTAAAGTCCATCAAGTAACAATCATAATAATGACTCAGTGAATGGTTAATTATTGATGCAAGTACGAGACTATAATTATCCTAGAACTCAGTTACCTTATATATTCCTGTGAATGATAATCTCCAACGGAAACTAATACATTGAATATACTCCATAATTTTATTATTACTTGATTATTTTAGGTTTCCAGTGGATTAAATCGTTCGAAAAAAAATGTCAAAGGCCGTCGTAAACACGGAGGTCATGTTTTGAATAAATCTACGGACATAATAGCTTATGCTATTTGTGATCGTGAAATAAAGCATCCTGTAGTGTGTGGCATTCCAGGCAATCTTTTGGAAGTTAATAATTCTCTAGACATTACAAAAACCGAGTTTCATCCTCCTATCTCAGAAGATCTAGGCTATTTAAATTCAAAAGTGAAGTTAACTCCTTTGATAGGAAGCGATAGTACTATTAATGTTGGTACCTACTTATCCATTATATTGCCAAAACCAAGACCAAGGAAGGATCAAAGTGGGTGTATAATTGATAAGTCCATTGATGAGTCGATTTTACTGATTGATTCTCCCACTCAAAACTGTACAGCATTAGTTGGTGATGTTTCAGAAAAGCTTGATGATTTAACCCAATCAGACTATGCAGCACAGATTGCTGATTTTATTTCACAGACATCTCTTCCTAAAGAACAAAAAGTACTTAACTGGAATGAATATTCAGCCCTTCGACATTGTACATAGATTATTCTGTGATATTATTTTTTATACTATATTTTTACATTTAAATATATAAATGCTTATCTATACGTGATTTTCTTGATTTATGCAATTAATACTATAAAGTATTAGTCACTAAACTTAATTAACTAATAATCTTGTTAATCGCCCTTAAATCATTTACTTCAATACTAACTGGAATTATAAAAACTTTATTTAGTGGTCCGTTTATAGGGTATAACGAAAACTGGATTTCTTCACTTTTCAAAGATCTTTGCGTGAATGTATTTCAAGATAAATCGTTTGAAAACATCCTTTTAGTGCGCAAAAATTTTTTGATACCAATATCAACTTGAGCATTTAATGTTTTAAGGGATGATTTTATTATTTAAGCCATTAAAAACCAAACGATTATTAAGTTTTCCTTGTTTAAAATTTCGTTTTAATACCTTTGTTTATCCTACCTCACTGTCACCATATGTAACAGAACTTTATTATCCGTATTATTATAATTATTATCATCCTGCGTTTGTACATCTTTAGAAGTGAATTCGCCGGAAAGAGAACTCTTCGCTGAACTTATCTATCTTATTTAATGTCTTAATGGGTGTATTCCGTTTTGGTTTAGAACACTAATTATACTGATGGTTTCATCATACATATTTTTCATAATTAAATAAATAGAGGTAAGTTTGACCAACAATAGTTGTGGGTTAGTAAATTTCAGTATATGATCTTTATTCATGAAATAGTAATCACATAGGTCTATTTATTGTGCTATTTAGTATTCACAGATTTTGATTATATGAGCAGTCAAACTCATTAAGAATAATATATTCGAGTGAATGGTTTAGGTCTTCTATATTACTAACAGTCATTTATTCGAAGACTATTGTTGATAGCATCAACACACTTAGTAAACTTGAAGACTCGTGATTTTCAAATGACAGCTATTCTCAATATTGAACCTTATGTTTTTACAATAATCATATAATATATATATATATATATATATATATATATATATACTTGGGAACAGTTAAAACAATGCATCAGTCGATCGAAGTGTTACACTTTTGGGTAGTAAGTCCTACTGTATTGTTTGACACGGAGTCCCGAAAGTTTGTTTATTGTTTAAAGCGCAGTTTCAGGTTTAAAGCAGCACTTGGTAAACTTGAATCGTTAATTTTGGTGCCACATTCGGTAAAACAAATCCATAGAAGAAGGGCTCATGGCAGGAATAGAAGAAATATTAGGATGAGGCTGTTATCGGGATCAAGATAGATTAGGGTGCTACTTGAGTTGTGCAGGCAGTTGAACCTATCAGACCTCTCATGAGGTGAGAGAACATTTATTCTTGAGGGATCTCTAATTGGTACCAGGAATCCTTTATACAAAAGGTGTATCTGTGCTTTCTCTTTTTTGATAGCTTCCAATTGTGGAAAGGTACAATCTATGGAGATACCACTTATCCGTGCTAAACATTTTATCACTACTGGAGCACGGTACAGTTGGTAGTTTCCTCTATTTCCAACAATACTATCCTATGTCTGATTAATTAGATGTAAGTAATGGGAGATAAATATGAACTAATAAAATAACTTTCTGGAGCGAGTCTAAGTGGATTTTTGAGTTGACTATTAGCTGGGTAGTTCATAGTTGAAATGCTACTCTACCCATTATTATTATTATTATTGAGTAATGAATGTACTCCATCAGTCAAATACTCATTTACTCAAAATATTTGACTGATTCCTAACTCATTATTTTCCTGTTTTTGTTTGGATACAAAAACCGTTTCTGTGTTATGTATTCAGACAGTCTAAGTAGTTTATTAATTGAAAAATCATCGACACGGTTGTCTACTCTTTCAATGTTCGAAGTAATAAATATGGATTTTTATGTAGTCACCATTGGAATAAACCACATCAGCAGATTTAGTCGATCAACATTTCGAGTTTCATACACATTATTTTTACTTATAATAATGCAAACATTTTGTGCACAGCAGCGTTTGGTCCCCAAGTTGTACCGATTTCTTATTTTTTATAAAAAATATTTCTCTTTTGAAATGAGTCTATCTAATTTGATCATAATTGCTACAGATATGAACAATGACTTACTCCTCTAATAGATAAATCGCAAAAGTATGATAAAGCAATTTATATATCATGGAATACAAGTAGTTCTAAAATGATGAAGTACTAGTACTCAAAATATACGCAGAAATATTGAAGCTCCTGTTATAACTTGTCAATGGAATGCTAGAATATCATATATTATACGATAAAAATATACGCATAGTGTTGTTCCATAAATGGATCCCAAAAATTACCATTCCTTATCCATATCGAGACATAACACACCTCTGTTTTGAAGATCTGGAGTTGATATCCGGATTTTAGATTTCCCGAGCTTATCTTCCCCCACGAAGTAGTGTTGGATCCTCATATTTCCAAGTTACAATTAATTTTGACTTATTTAAAACATTTGTCGCATTGAACAGAGAATCTACTGAAAGTAACTAAGTGGTGAGGATCAACGACGCTTGATATGAGGTCATCGAAGTTTGATTCTTCTGAAACATTTACATCAAATTTATTGAAAACCTCATTAGTAGATGATGAATCATTAGGGTAAACAGCATCTATCAAAACTGCACTAGGTTCTTTATTATCATTTGGTGCATGTGACACATTTTCTGGTAAAACAAGGGAATCTCGATAATTAGATTCGTCAGAAACTTCTATAACAGAATGATGAGCTCCATTTAGTGCATCTGGATTCAGTGTACTGCTTGATTCGTTTTCTCTTTCTTCATGGGCGGTTACTGCGACAATTTCATGAACATTTAACAGGGTATCGTTTTTTTCAGAGCTGGATAAGTCACTGTTTGCACATGCTGTTTCGGGGATAATGGGGTTCGAATTCATTACCGGACATGTTTCTGAAATGGGCAGTACTGGACCACTACACCATTGGGTGGATCTTGAATAACTGCTGTTTCTTTTAAATTACGGTTTGTCGAGGATTCATGGAGGCTGCAATCATTTTCCAGCTCGATGCGCAATTAAGAAATTAATCCATTCAGTTCCGTCGCATCCCCAAAGCATGAGTGATTCAGCAGCTATGTGCGTAGTTTGACTAAGAACTTCAACTGTCGCTCAAATAGCAACTGTAATCGATCGGAAGGGAGAGTCATTTTCTGAATCAACACAGTAATCAAAATACTGTATGACTAATGAACAATCCATGTCGTTGAAGGACACCGGCGAGAACCCTATATGCTAATTGCGCAGGTAACTAATAATGGTCTAGGAAAGATTAGTTAATGATTTGAACTATGAATTTACTGAACTGATTACAAAAATAAATTATGTTTCAGTATTGAATATAATTTATTGGGATATAGTAACATCAAAGTTTAAATATTACACACACACACACAACAACAAAAACAAACTAATTCTATGAGAAGTATTCAGTTCATGTGTATCAATTTTTAGGTTGACGAATGAGATTAATTAGATAATATATAACCTATTTCAATTGTAACTCTTCAAATTCACATAGATAAGTAAAATAAAATACAACATGCAAGTATAATTAAATGTAATACAATAGAAAAAAGATTAACATTTCAAGAATAAAGCTTTCCTAAATAAAACACCTTTTTTTTGAAGGAAAATTCGAGAATTCAATTTTAATTTTCCTTTTTTTTTAACAAATCAGTAATATAAATAATTAAGTTAATGTAAAGTTGAAAAATATGAACTGGGATAAAATGAATTTATCATTTCATTAAATTATAACTGATACATTTCACATTTCTTTATGACATCCAGGTTCATTATCAGGACATACACATGTCCGTGATCTACCACCGTCATTTGGTAAACATATATAACGACATCGTCCATTAGAATAAGTGCATGGATTAGTTGAAGCTAAATAGGTAATTAATATCGATAAAAATATTATAATTAATTGTTTTGATTAGTTTAAATGGTTGGGGTGTATGTAAATGAAAATATTTATCGTCATCATAGTGATGATGAATCCATCAATCAAAATAATGAATAATTATAAATAAGACAAGTTTGTACATACTATGCATGTTATTAAGCACATATTCCCTTGGTTACGTATACATTCACTTTGAAAATATCTGGTCAATTGTTGTACAACTAGAACCATAATCATTGACTACACTAATATTAGTTCCATTCATTAGTCGAACTGATAAAATGCAACAATATTATAATGGAAAATATACTATGTATTTTCGTTTATTAAAAATTCTACTTACTTTCGGAGAAAATATTTCATAGAAAAATGATTATAGCTGCTGATCAGAAGATTCTGTGGCAGTTTGCTCTTGAATGACTTACCAAATGAGTAAATAAACACTCCGAAGGCTCTCTAATTAGGGACTATTGGTTGAGTCAGGAACCGTCAGCGAAATTGTTAACCTCAATTGTCATTAATCGGAGCTGCTCATCTTTATTCAATTTTATCATCAATATCCCTTCGGAAATAAAATGTTTCTTCGACCAACTTCTCAGGGGTCAACCCCCTACATTGAAGTTCGCCTGTCGATTTAGAATAATTAGATTACATATTGTTACTGAGTGGAAACAATGACAAACTGCAGAATCCCTTAATCGTTCTCAGCAAAAATGTTAGTATGTTTCGTACGCGAAGTGCTGCTTTAGGACTGGTTTGCATTAACGCCTGAACTGATGATATGGAGTGAAGTAGTTTTATTCTTTTGACCACTTTATTTATCTTGGAAGCCTCATCAGCCCTGGTGGTTTGGTGTCTGACGAAACCTCGGTTGGCTCTTGACAACGTGCGTCGCTTGTGGCTTGGACGAAATGTTCGTCTGACAACCAAGGGACGTGTATATTCCACAGCAATCCGTTTTGTACTACTTTATATCCGTGAACCATAGTCTATCAAAGTAGAAGATATTTGTGGGCTAAAGGTTTTTGATCATATTTGTCTTCAAAGCAGTGCTCGCGTTTTGTGAAATAACCGAGTGAGCAGTTGTGAGCTTAGACATAAGGTAATTGGTAGGAGTAACAAGTCGGTTGATGAGATAATAAAATTTTCACAGACTAAGGTGGTTTTGCAATGTGTTATGTATCATCAACCATAGTCGATTTAAGTGAGTGAAGCTTGCAAGTGCAGAGGTAGGTTGGAAAAAGTTAAGAGCGTTCAAAACAAAAGGCGATTAATGGTGTTAGGAATTGTTAGATGTTAACTTTCCGGTTAAGGTCCGCTTGATAACCACTATCAATGGTTGCATACGTTAGGTAACATGCTTCAGAATCAGTCATAGCCGCGTAGATCTATCTACTCATTATCTTCATCCGGATTGAAGTTCTGATACTTTCCCGTTTTATCATGCTCTCAAGATCATTAGGCATGAAACTGCATAGTAATTTGATTTTTGATGGATATTCTCAATAGTAAATGGTCGTTTATGAAAAATTTGACCTCAGTTAATTCTAGTTGTGAATAAAATAGTGAACTTTTAAAATAATCATGCTATTTGGTATGTAAATTAGATCTGTGTAAAACATTTTAAAGGAGACTATGAATATTCTACAACGACAGTAGTAAATTACCACCTTATTTACGAAAAGGATGATGTAAGTTGAAATAAAATGTGATTTGTCAATAGAAAAACAAACCGTATGTCTCCAGGTAACTAATGCATTGCTCTAAATATGAAACTATGAGATTCAGCTTCTGATAAGATTTCAAATTCAATTTATTCACCAAGTGTTGCGATTGGCTGCTATGTGGATAAAAGGTATGTAGCTAACTTCCCTTTTTCAGTCTAATTGTTCAAACGGGTTCTCTCATTCTATTCTAAATAAGGGTGAATTCGATCAGGATGATTATATTTCTGTAACCTATTGCTCACAAAAAAGCTGTCAATAGATAAGTCCTAACATAATCAGTTAACAATAATCTGGGTGCAGAAAACTGCTTCTTGTTCATTTTATTAAAATTACATGTATTACCCAGAATGCAAAATCAATTGTCAATGGCATGGTCAAATTTGTTTTAAAACAATGATCCTAAGAAATGTTTATTTGTTAGGAATTTACTATTGAATTATGTAGAATAAATTCAAAAGATCTGAAATTACCTTGTGGACAATCACCTAGTACTGATAAGGCTTGGAAACGATTAGAACAGCAGACATAACGGACACGTATTCGGCGATCAGGATTGATAGAGTAATAGACTGTCCTAAATTTAAGGAGAAATGTAAATATTTAGAATAATTTTAGTAATATATCAAATAGTTTATTGTAATTTAATACATTAACTGTTAATATTTTGATCGTAAACTTCTTTTTTAAATGAAATCGATCAGACGTTTGTAACGTTAGAATCATTGAAACAAGGATCAAAAACAATACGTGTAGAAATGTCAGTCTATAAATAAACCGTTTCTTTTTCATTATTTTAATATCAGTTTGAAGGATATTGATCAAAGAAGATAAGGGGACCAATTACTTAGCTAAGAGACCCAACATCACAGTTAGCTATTTTTTGTACTTATTCTATATTTTCTCTTGTGTATCAGAAATTCTCTGGTTTCATACATTTTGGTAAAATAAGGCAAAACTATTCGTTACATAAATGAAGTGGTAATATAGTACAGATGGAGGAGGAAGAGCCTTGCAATCTAGAAACAAATAGAAATGGCGGTATTGAATTAGAGCTTTATTTTACCTCAAAATATAACCTAGAATAGTTTCCAAAACGTCAAGGAATTGAATAGAAATTTTTCGAAAAACACCACAGAAAAATCCAACAGGATAACGTATAGTTTCTGTTCTGAACCATATACGATAAAGTTTAAAGCCACTTAGTTTCATGGTCTCTATGAACTTAGCAAGAGAATGGTTATGCACTAAGAAATCTTACTCCTTCATGTCACATGAGGCGAAATTAAATGGCACACGTAGCTTCAGAAAATTTACATCAGACTTCATGTTTGGCGGCAACTTGTGAAAAACTAACCATTTACGAACTGAGGACTATTGGACAATATATAACTATCGAACTCCCATAGATGAACTCCTTGCATCCATCAGCTCAGTTTAGGATTCGATCGTCCACTTTTCAACCTTTCAGAATGGTAAAAGCACCGCCACATGATAGGAGTGAGTAGGACCTACCCGACAGAGACTATAAACCTGTATCCGTATGATAGGATTTTCTAACAGAGCGTACTTTCGATTTTCATATATTTCAGGGAGATTACAAGATCTTTAAATTTATTACTTGTTCCGACAGAATGTTATAAGTAACGTTGCAATAAAATAGTTAGGCTACCGTTAGGATGAGAACCATACTTAGTGACCAAAAACAACCAGAAATCTATCGGTGTAAGTTTTAGAGTTATTATCGGAGTGTGATTTTTATCTGCATATTCATTTCAATAGCGAAAAGAAAAAAATGTGATGAAACAGTATTTCTTTAGAAAGTTGGAATTCTGAACACATTCTGATGTGAATCAATAAGGAAATTAGGATTACTCGGGATATAAACTTGAAATTTACAGCTTTTGAAGTCCGAAAATGAATTCAGGAAAAGCAATTACCAGTGGAGAATTCTAGCTTTTATTGATTAATAGATATTAAGAGTCAATCAAAAATTGTCTATCAAAACACATTTTTAAATATGTTCTTTATTCCGACTCAGAAGGATGTAAACGGAGATGTTGATATATGAACTGAATTGTAGTGCATTTGGAATGCAGTAAATTTATGAGTTGAAGAAAATTATATAGTCATTAATAACAAGCTAATTCTTTCTTCCTGTACTATATCCGTATACACAATCTTTCTTTAACACATTAGTAACATTGAAGTGACTACTTCTATGAATTCGGTGTCCGCCTTGTTGTGCTAATGAGGTGTGGCAACTTGGACCGAAGCATATATATGCCTAATCCTACGTTGTAGCTGACTGACAGACGTACTGATAATAAAATTAAACAATCCCTAAAAAATAATTCAAAAACAATCCATTTAACTGCCATTTGATCCTATTTTGGGACCCCTCAGCAGTGTGCACCCACAATCCCACCCCGCGGGATTCGAACCCAGAACCTATCAGTCTAACCTAGCGTCTAACCACTAACTAGCATTAGAAAGAAGTTATTTCATGATGGATCAGTTAGATTGAACTAATTCTGTCATCAATTTCAAAATGATTATTTATTTGTTAATTGTTCATTTCTTATTGCATATTAGAGTGAACTTATAAGAACCTAAAAACTGAAACGTTCAGTGTTAAAAAAGTTAACGATATTAGAATGAAATAGTCTTATTAAAACAATAGCCTTTATGGAAGTTTGTAGATAATGTTGTAACTAATTAAATTTAGCCTATGGAATGAAATTTTGTGAAAGTCCTTAAGTGATGAATAGTATTCTTAAAAGAAATTTACTTCACTTCACTTATTATAAAAGCTTATTTCAAAAATTGATTACTTTGAAGCATCTGTCCACAATAATGTTCCTTTATATTGAGTCATACCAAAAGATGGTTCTTCAGAAGGACTGAATTCTCTAATCTTTTCATTGGTTAATATCTCTCTACCTGTTTGACCTAATCGTGCACAATGTAGTTCAGTGACTAATCCAAACATTCCTTTAGAAGATCTTTGCATCCAGCATAATTTTCCAGCGGAATTACCATTAACTGGCGTTGCTGGTGATATACTAATTGCCAATGGTTCACCAGTTAGTTGTAATAATTGCTCCTCATTTTCACCAGACATTGAAGCCACTTGAATTGTACCATTCGGTCTCCAACCGTCTGTGTATATTGCCCAGTACATTAGACTGATTATAGCAGTAAAAATAAATAAGCAAGTAAATACATGTATATCTCAAAAAGACGAATAATTTGGAAATCCAGTGTCTAAATGGTATCGAAATTTAAACATATGAGGAATGTTCCCTTATTTTACTTAACTGTAGCATTCTTAAGTAAGCGCGATGTAAAGCAGTGAGTATAATCCCTACCAACAGTTGTATAGAGAGGTAGAATTATAATCTATCACACAATTAATATGTGTAATCGTGTATTTGGACAGTAAGGTAGATTTAATTTTAAATGAGTGTACGCTAATACTAGAGTAATTTTATAATGATAATAATATTCTTACATTCAAGACTAGTGTTTGAAATCATAATCATTTCGTTTGGAAATTTGGTAACTTGAAGCTAGTTACAGTAAACTTGAAGATAATATAACAAGTAATGGAATGCATTGAGCGTTGAATACAACCAATCATATTTACAGCCATTAATAGAAACTCTAGACACTAGAAAATTAAAGGTTTATGATTAAAACGTTCCGAATAGAAAGTTCGACACCATTAAAGTACATACACCAGCTATCAACTTATCTTTTAAAAAACGGAACGTATGTAAATATGTATAATACTTACAGATCTAACAATATTACTATATATTCATCTAACGATATTCTATTTACTCACCCTAATGTGGAGTGCAAAGCTAGCCCAGCGAAATTCTGTTGTTCAGATGAAGTTAGGCTATGTAAACTTTCAAGTGTATAATGAATATTTGGTTTATTTGGATTGAATACCATAATTTTTCCAAAGGCCTCTTCCCAGGCAAACACATTTCCAGACAATGAATCTACCGCCAAATTGCGAAATCGGTTAAATTGTGAAGTGTATATTTCTTTTGTCACCAATTTATTTTGTCCAGAGTTTGAACTACCCCATCGGATAGTATGACCATAATCAGATGTATATATAATTCGTTGACTATTACAATCACCGACCATGGAGACACGTCCATATTTGTTATTTTCAGCTAGATGGGGCAATTGAAACAGAAGTTACGGGTTACAGTTAAGATAAAATTTAGCTTGAAGGATAGTCTCCTGAAAAGTATATACATATGGATAAAGTAATTCAAACTGAAAATGATGCATCTGGAGGCCTTTATGATGATAAATTATGGCATTGGTAATTTTTTTATGATAAATTACATGTTATGGAACTAACGTTTAAACACTAGTTTTAAAATATTTTGATAAATTAGATTTAAACTACTTACTACTAACTCTCTTTTACATCACCTGATTAATGTCGGAAACTGAGATCAGAGGTTTGTGGAAAGGGACCAATTTGAACTTAGTTTCCACCACAGATTAACATAAAACGGTTAATCATTTAAAACCAAGGATTGGTACCTGACGATTTTTACACCTTAATTTTGAACTTTATAGCATTACACATGCGTAATCAAATTTGGCACCTTCAGTTATCTAGTTAAGGACGATACATATAAATTTTTAGTTCGGATTCCAGTAGTCTACTCTCAAACTTCGGTTGAACTTCCATATTGTGTGACAATATTTCAATGCTGTCGGTAACGTAGTCAAAGTGCAAAGATCACCGTTTAATACTAGAACTTCAGGAATCCAGTACGAATTCAGTTGCTATACAGTACATGATTATTTTTAAGTTTATTTAAATTGAAATTTTTTGAGAAACCTTATATTAGAATAAAGCAACTCTCCAACAAACCAAGATTTTGAAAGGTTCTTCAACAGATGTCAGACTGTAATAAAATTAATTTGGAAAATTAGTTAATGTACTTCTGAAATATTGTAGAATGAGTAGGATTATGAAGTGTAACATCTACTAAAATCATATTAAAGACTATTTCATCAGTTGAATAGTCGAAAATCATGTAAGTATTTTAATGTCTAGCTTCGTCCAACCTCATTTTCAAAGATTATAATTTTTAGTAGTCTCAAACGTCTTTATCTCTCTTCTATTTCTGCCAATTCATTTTTATAGAATATTTTGTTCCTTTTCTGATAAGAAGGAAATATCTGGAGTAGTTTGATAATTCTCAGTCATAGAATTATGCTAAATTTAGTAAGGGAGTTCTTTTTTAGTAAGATCGGCTAAATATTAAATCCGGTTGCTTAAAATTGTTTTTCAAATATTGTGACTAGATTTTAAGTTTCATTAGAGTTCGACAATTATCAAAGGTTATATGGAAGGGTTTGGATATACTGCATGACAGATTCTAAAGTTTCATTCTATATTAGGCAAATGATTAGAATCAGTTGCACATCTTGAGATGGAACAAGTTTTTTTTTCTCTATAGAACTAAACCAGTAAATATTCAGAAATGGTTCACAAACTTTGGAATGACATTTATTTGTCAGGTTAATGTAGTACGTAACTGTAACCGTAAAGCTTCAAAAAATATTTTGTTATATTAGAAAAAATCATTATGCAACTCGAGTTTAATCAGAAATAAAACTAAAGTCTAATCAGATTTGCAAGATAAGAGTGGCTGTAAATTAGAAGCCCAGCCTGATGAACAAGTTGATTGATCATTGTGCAGCAGCTGCGTCCTATTAATTAAGTGCAATTCTATAGAACTTGAGATAGAGTGTCGTAACTTAGACTGATGTGGATATTACAAATGATAGTTATGATTCCATCAAAACTATTGTCTAGATAAACGCTAGATTAGTTGTTGTGTGTGCTAGTTATTTCTGTTGACATAAGTAGTACGTATATCAATAGGAAGTGGAAAACCTGTCAGCAGAAGGCTAGGTAGATTGAGTTGAGGAGAATAGAAGGGAAAACAGAAAGGAATTATGAACTGGAAGAATCATACAGAAAGTGAAAGACAAATGATGGAAATTCATAAAAGAAGTATCCAGTGTATAATTTGTATATTTTACCAAGAGATTCTTTAATTACGTATTCCGATAGAATCGGTTATCACCCTCCCGTTCACAACATTACCTATTATCCATTGACTAGTTGCAGCTCGAATATTTCACTCACAATATCTCTGACTGCTATACTATATGAGGAGGATCAAATCCTACAAGAAACATCAACTCCCTCAAGAATGGTGATCACACCTTTGATTACAAATGCCCACTGCCATAAAACTAGGTACTTTTTGTTGTCTGCTTTCAACCACCTAATATCCGATTTTTTCAGGGCAAAATTTAAAATCTTATTGTTGCCATAGAATAAATAAATAAAATTCCATGTATATGGCAATGAAGATGTGCTATGTTACATCTTCACAATTGATTGATCACTGGGTGGTGATCAATGTCATGTGTGTCAAGTCCTTATTTAGTGCAGATCGAATGCTATCGACCATGTTGCAATGTGGTCGCGGCCCGGATAGCTCAGTGGTAACGTCTCTGACTGTGAAGCTGGGTGACATGGGATCGAATCCGCCAGGGAGCACCAGTTCCCTCAAGATTACAGGTAAACCTTGCTGACGAGTGCCAAGTAGCACGAAACCCGGGTCCAGGATTTCTTGTCGACTATTCCAACCATCATCTAATGTTACATCTTAAATCAAGAAAATCATTACAAAGCTCTCAAACTATTAGTTACATATACTGTGGTGTGTGCTACTTATATTGACATAAGTAGTAGATGATGTTAGTCGTTGACAGAAGGTCTGGCAGCAAAGAGACAAGAGGATCGAACAGTAAAGAATCGAAACAGGGTGCCATTTGTATGAAAATGCAAGAACAACGAAGTCTGAGTCATTTTGAGACAATTGGTGGACATTTTGGAAATTACGTATTTACCATTTGATTGTTAGATGTTATTAACAAGTCCTGTAATTTTGTGTTAAATAAATTCCATTGTCCCCATCCGTGTTCTTGTTCACTACAATACCCCAAGACGAATATCATATTGGTCAGATCAACTACTACTTTAGAATGATCAAATATACAGATGAGTATATCATATAAACTATACCATATCGTATAGATAAAATAAAAACAATAATATAGCATGATTCTCAATGTATCACTTACCAATATTCCATAGAGTAGCTTTGGTTACATTTGAATCGGTAGATTGTGTCATTAAAATCCCATCATCACTTGTAAGTAGCACAGTGAATGGAACTTAAAAATCAAATCGATCAAAAGTTTTAGGATTATATTTTTCTTCAGCATAACAGTTCGAAAGATTGTTAAAAGACTAAAGATGGATTACTACTTAAGAAAATTTTTAGTGTTAATACCATTTCTATCACTTATTTGTTTTATAATCGTCAACAGACTTCAATGGAATATTCTATTATTTCGGAATTATTTAGATCTGCTAGCCAATCTTAACCAGGGTTCTGTTCATTTGAGTGATCATGTTTTGATGAAATGAAACGACTAGTAGTCATCACTTAAATAAGATTATTTGATGTGATGAATGAATGAATGTGATGAATTTTTCATCGTAAAACTGGTATCTTAATAAAGACAATTCATTTCAGAAAGATAGCAGTGACTTAAAGTAAGAAAACTTATGATGGAATGAAATCCCAGATCCTATAAATTCGATTATGTAAGCCTATATCTTTCCTGTTACAAAACACAATATAAAAAATTTATAAAAACTTTCATACAGATTTAATCGAAAAGTTTCATAGTAGTTGGGCCGCGTCATCGGTGAGGAAAATTATATTCTTAAAAATCATAGCCATACATTTGATTTCAGTAGTACAAGAATCCTTCAAATGGTTTTATTTCATACAAAGTGAGATTAACATCTGAAGCTTTACACATATGGGCAAATCCAAATAATATTAACGGGAGAGATGGAATACTATTAACTGTGACATGGCAACTAATGATTGATAAGTAACCATGATCTCCATTTTACTGTTTACTAACTTAAATCCTATTTTTATTATGTGGACAACAATGATTACATTTACTTGTTCCAATCAGTGCGTTTATCTGAACTAGCAGCTTGGTCAACATGCTTGTTTATCTATCCTCATTTTATGCGTGCTGTGACACATTTGATTCATATCATTTAGTCAATTGTTTATTTTCATCAAATGGATTTTTCGCACATTTGATCTGCATGAATATACATAAAATTATTATCATAACACGATTTTCTAAACCTCCCACACCAAATGTCTCATACGTTGTTACCATAGTTAGACGATGTGTTTAGCATACGGCTAACCTTTGAACAAAATACTTAAGTTTGACTATATTTCCTTGAAAAAGCTTGGATCAAATTACTTAAACTCTTCCCAGTATTTTAAAAAACTGAATTCATTTAATCATAAGTACAAAATTAGTTCAAAGTTAAATTTACAAACATACTTGCTGATTCTTCCACATTTACATCTATGAAAGCAGCAACATTCCCTGCACGGCACTCATACCTTCCACTATCAGTTATTGTAGGTTGATTTATACGCAGGGAAATTTCATAGCCATCTTGTTGTCTAGTTTTAGTCACTATTGGTTCTTGAGCGGAATGTGGTTGAATCCACTGGCCGGAATATGATTGATCGCTTCCAGTTACGAAACATCTTAATTCAAGCGGATGAGATATATCTGTAATATTCATTACTTCTCCTTCTCCCATTATTCGAACTTTTATAGAATCTGGAAGAAATATATATTGGTTTATCATATTTAATAACAACGTCATTTTTTCATGATGACTGTTACCAATGATTTCATACAAAAAATAGTAGGTAATAAAATGCAAATTTTGATGTACATTGGGTAGCAAATGTAAATGGATCCGAAGTCGGACAGCTTTCTAATAAAAGGTCACCTACGCTAGATGCATTTAGGTCTCTTCACAAAGCTATCATTTATGAATAAAGGGGTCAAGAAAGATATTTCTTGAAAAACCAATACACTGATGATCGAACTTACCTTGCCTAACTGGAATTTGTTCACAAAATGTTTGTCCATCTCCACGATAACCAGATGGACAAATGCATCTTTCGTTTTCACGATCACAAATAGCACTCGGATGACACAGCTTACAATTCCAGTAGCAACCCCTCTCTCCATCTCCATCATAACCTGATCGACATTTACATGTTCCAGTATATCGATCACATTCCGCATTTCGTATCCTACAGCCTCCACCGCACGTAGGATCAAAGGCGTGTGATGATGTGGCATCTTCTCTACCTACACTTTCAGGCTTGCAAACAGATACTCCATCTCCAGTAAAACCAGCTTTACAATGACATGAATAGGCGCCATTAAACCTGTCATCCGGTCGACAGACGGCATCCTGATGACAATTGTCTTGCACACATTCCATACAGACACCTGCCTGAACTTCAATAAATCCACGAGCACAAACACATCGCCCACCAACACACTGAGCTATTTCTTTGAAAGGTATACCATTGCAATTACCACAATCTGCTGAAGTTGCTGTATTTAAATAGAGATATAAAGAAACACAATATAATCATATATGTACATCTTCGTACATATGATAGATAATTTCATTGCTGACAGCAAAGCTGACAAACAACCCATTGTAAACTATCGAAAAATCTCCTAGAAATTGCGGCCTACTTAGTTAAGGAATATCATTGAATTATGGTGTCACAATGTTTAGGAATTTTAATGTTTTCAAAGGGTTATGAAGTACAACTAACTTCTAAGGTCTATCATCTAACTTAGTGGAGGAATCTTATCAAGTTCTATAAGTAGAATATATCATAGTCATCCATCAGATGCTTGCATATGAGCCACGCTTTAAGTGTGAGGGCTAATGATACTATCCGGTTTCCCAAACTGAAGTAGATGAGGAGGAGTCTGAACCTGGTACTGAATAGAGGAAGTTCGAACTTCCTAGACGCTAAGATACCGCTCCCTATATAAATTAAGTTAATAATGATAAATTCCCTCGGAAAACGAAACAAGTGTTATTAAAACTACTTTTGTTGTTGAACTCGTACATCAATCCTTAATTTGTACGTCATGAGTATAAATGTTTGTTTTTCGTTACTCCCTAAGTTAAACAGTAATGATCTTACCTTATTACTTCTTTCATCTGAGTAGGTTTGCAAGCTACGTCCGTTCAAGAAGGCTTAAATTATTTTTTATTGCACAAGCATTCACAGTTACGTTTTTATTTGGCAAGATGAGATAACGTATATCTCACAAGTCTCAGTCCTAGTTGTTTTTACACTTTCAAACTAACCAAAAGTATTTATAATTAAAGCGAAACGTTGACGGCTTTCTGAAGTTCAACTCAAACTTGCACCTCAAAAATGTTTTCACTAACTAGTGTTAATAAAATGTTATCAGTCATAATATTTAGATCATGCTTGTCTAAGCAGTGCAATTAGGCGCCAATGTTAAATGGATTAAAACTGATAATCATCCGATCATTTGTCTGTAGGTGGAGAACTATTCCAACTTTCAAGGAGTTTCACATCTTAAAATACAAACTCTAGGAGATATTTTTGATATGGTATTGGATCTAACGTGGTTTAATAGGTTAACCGCTAAAAAACTTCATTCCACAGAAGAGAGTTTGTAAGGGACTTCATAGTTTTCGAGAAAAGGTAACCAAATGAATACAAACAGAGAATATTTATAATTTTACATAATCAGCAAAAATCGATATCAGCTGGGCAGCATAATAATATTGAGGTATGAAAGGTTCCAGCAATTAATTGTTTCTGTAACAGTCTCAATAAGTTGTAATATTGGTTTAGATCAGTTACAGCAATCTCGCCTTCAACTGTTTTTGTACCTTTATTTGAAACATCATGATGGATTATCTTTTTTCAAATAAGCAAACATTTATAACTGTTAGTGTGCCATTACGAGTGATTTGACAGATAAATATACAAGATTATATTTACCTCCAGGTATTATATTACACATCTGATAGCCATCTCCTTCGTATCCATCCGAACAGCGGCACTGACCTTCAACACATCTAGCGAACTGATGGCATTGTTCTGCCCGACATAGATCTGAAGTTAATATTTTACAAAAGCAATTATACTGAGTATAGATGGGGATATATTTGACCTCATCTAGGGGTAAGCATATCATGCTATTTTTCAAAAAGTTCAGAGCATAAAACGTAGAAATGCTTTGGAGAGTATATGAAAAACATTTTATTATGCAAGGTAGTTGATTTCTCATATGAATATAAAATGGTTTCAAATTAAAGTTTTATATTTTATTAGTAACTCATTCCAAAAATGTGTTTGACTATGTTCTGTATGTTATATCTGTTTGTTTTAATGATGTTATGATGCGTGTGATAATGCCAATAAAGGTTTAAAAATAACTATCTAAATAAAAATAAACATGCTTTAATTCAAGTATTTGAAGTTTTTCGGTCTTATTGGGATAGGAACAGAGCTTACCACTTTGTATAGGTTGACAATTCCAATAGCCATCACCTTTATAACCATTTTTACAGCGGCAAAACCCATACTCACACTGAGCTTGGGGATGACAGCGAATACGTGCACATGGATCTCTATCTACATTAGGGTTTTATAGAATTGACTGATATAAAACATGATTATGCAAAAAACGCTTTTAAAAACGCTTCATATACGTATATATGAATATCCAGTTCAGTACGTACAACCCGATTACTCGATGCTCGAAATTCAGTTACAAATTTTTTAGAGGCATATCTGTCACAGTATTTCACATACACTCTTGATGAGAAATAATAAAAGATAAGTTATATTAAGATTTTTGGACATTCTACAAAATATACTATATAGTATATGTACTTATTTGATGGCGTCTGTAGCATTTCGTCAAATGATAAAAATCTCATTAACCTGAAATGCTATTGCCACGTTAGTTTGTGAATCCAGGTGACAGGCTACAGTTTTAGCCTCATAACTTTAACACTCACAACATAATGGTACTTATCATCACATGTGATTGCAACTGTACTTTTGCACCTAAAAACAAGCTATTGTAACACGATTTAGTTCTTTTATTAACGACTTGTATGATTATTTGGCCGATAATATGTAATGTTAGAACAAAGATAAGAACTCGAATGATACAATGACACAAAGTTTATCAGAACTATTTTATATATTTATATTTTATATATTGTCTCAAAACAATTTAAAAAATCTGGGCAGACCTTAACTTGTTGGGATATTTATATGTGGGAAGTAAGGGTCAATTTAGAAAGATTTGAAGGTAAGAAAAATAAAATATGGAAATACATAATAAATTATATCATTATGGATATTAGATCAATATTACTAGGGTAGGTTCAATGTAAGTACTAATATAAGGGACCTAAACTTTCAAACGGCCAAAGCCTCATTGAATCGACATATTTTCTGTAGATAAGTGATATATGAGTGCATAAATTCTGGGTTAAGATCAACCGTACGACTTGTTTGAACTGTATATTTGGTGAAGGGATGAGAGTGGTGTTTGTCATCTGCTTTTATTAGGATATTAAGCTTTAGGGTAATTTTGGTACCTCTTCAGCCATTCCGAGATGGAAATCATCATTACTCTTCCATATACATATATATATATATATTGAAATGTGACACAATCGTTTATATACTGTTTTGTGTTTTGGTGAGGTATGAACATTTCTTTGTTTAATTATAATGACGTTTGATGCACCGTGCCTTCTACTGATAACCACTTCAAGCCTTCGTTATTGCGCGGGGCTATTTAACGCACCTCTGAGCGATAAGATGAAATAGACTTATTTTTAGGTCCCAAAAGTAAAGTAGTTTTCAACATACTCATAGCCTCATGCTTTCTATTGGGTATCTGTTGTGTATCACATCGTTTAACAGCTTGACTGCATCCTCGATAGTATAATTGTGTAGAAATGGTCGATGCTATTGAATATGCCCTTCATTACACCTCATTTTTATTGAACTGTGCAATAACTACTGACAAAATATCACAAAAGTCTTGTAAGCTTCTCCTTTTTTCTTGCCTTATCCAAACTTACCAAAAGGCCTAATTGTTTTGAATCTCAAACCTTTGTCCGGACGTTCTCTGGTTATTGCAAATTGGAATTCGAAACATTTAGATTATAAGTGCAGGGGATTTGCAGAGACTGTAGTATTTCCACCATAGAAATAGTGAATGGATCTGAGCTAGATCACTAGTGAGAGCCTGGAAGCACTGAACAGTCGTTTAGAGATTACCAAATAAAAAATCTTCGTCTAAACAAATCCTCATCAGGTTCTTAAATTAGTGGCAGTGAACGTTTTTTAACTTGATTAATTTCTAACAGAAGAACCTATTGAGAACTTATTGAAAACAATATTCTCCACTTATAAGTGGCGAATATAAATTTCGTCAAACGAAATTTCAGTAACTATGGTAAAACATTTGATGACTCCGCTAATGTTCTTGTCATGAATGGTTAGGTCCTCGTTACATTTGGCTTGTTGAATAAATTTGATTAACGTACACACGGAGTTGCTGAAACGCTAGAAATGATTTATAGTCCAAGAAGATAGAAACTATATAGCATCCTCAAAGTTGTATTAATCAGTCGTTGAAGTTCAATCATTCAACTGAATGACTTCATCGGCACGTAGTTTGAGAAGAAAAAAATTTTGAAAATACACTACTTATTAACGAGGTAAATATTGATGGAGTCACCTGACATGGTGGTTAAAAGCTCATCATCGAGTATAAAAATGACAAAGAAAAATCATAGATTTAGTTAGATATTCCAATTAATTAGCTAGTAACACATAAAATCATGGATAAAAGGGTGCTAAACATTTAACAAAAAGCATGTGCTGTAAGCACGTAGCACTTGTTAGTTAACAAAAGCATCTACACATTTACTTAAAGACAGGCGACACAGCGACTAATCAGAGCAAAAGAACATAAAGTAAAATACATTTCTGATAGTACATTTATTAAATATTGAGCACAACACGGACAAAATCTGTCTATTTAACTACTCCCAAAGAAAGCGTGCACACATAAACATACACTGGCACAATCAATTCCTCATGCTAACTTGCTAATTACGTGAATGCCTTTCCACATTTACTCACCTTCACTTTTACGTCTACACTCACTGTAGCCATCACCCTCAAAACCTTCTTTGCAACGACAGTACCCGTCGTCACATTTAGCATTTTCATGACACCGAACATTCGCACAGCGATCTGAAAATATTAACATTTCTCTCTTAAATAGTTTTAAAGTAGTACTGTACTGGTTGTTGCACAGTAGAGAAGTATACTGCATATCATACACCGCATGCATATTGATGCATATTGAAAGAGTTCAAAACAATTCCACCAATTAATTCATGTTGTATTTATGAATCTAGTCATAGCAGTTAACTAGAAATTCGTCACTGAATTACTTACAACTGAATCTATTTCGACGTTTCATTATGATTACTACCATTTTAAGCTTAATAGAACACCTTAGTTACTTTGAAAGCTTATACAGGAAGTGTTTTCTTCATTTTATATGAGCTAGTACACTCAAATTGTTTTTAAAGACGGAAGACATAAAGTATGATGGCTTTTATTTTCCAGAATTTTCTTCATGCATTATTTAATTTTATAAGCAGATGTGAATAATTTTATTTCAATATTTGCACATGCAAACATTCATATCAAAGAGTATAGTAAGTGTGTAGTTTAAATAAATGATCTCATTGGATGTTTACAGAATTATAGAAAACACTATCTGGAAAACAGTAAAAATCACAATGAAAATTGGAAGGAAAATGTTGCAGCAGGAAAAGCTTAGACTTCTGGTGAACTATTTATATATATTTCTTGATTTATGGTTCAAGTTATAAGGTAAAATGAATAGCTTTACAAGGTATGAATCTAATAGGTAGAAAAATAATTATTAAAAATTATAAATGAAATGAAAAATGATCGGTAGATATTCAATAAAGTGATTGTATAGAACGAGATGAATATACGAGAAGTTCCTCAAAATCATGTCAACAATAACATTTTTTTTTCTAAACATATAATAGCGGCTTAAAAACATGATCAACAATACCTTTGTTGAACAGAAACCCCTTTCTTGTATTTCTTTCGAGCAACTAAGTTAACATATTCACAGTGGTTTGAAAAAATGTTCCTAAAGGATTCAAGCACCTCAAAAATTCTTTAGCTATTTTCCTTCATTATCTACCTTCTCAACATTCTGCCGCCAGGAGTTCCACTTACATACTACTTATATCCGTCGACTTCAGTAGCACATACCAAAATAGTATTTATATGAAGTTTTTAATTGAAGAATAATAAAGATGCAACGGAATTTCTATAGTCAAAACAAACTTATGTGGTAACTTCAAGGCATGCATTATTCTACCTTGAGTAATTCGTTTACACTCATAATATCCGTCTCCTTCGAAACCAGCAGGACAGAAACAGTAACCATCAGTACACTGAGCATCTGGATGACATCTCATTCGTGAGCACTTATCTGCCAGTAATGATTTGAACAATTCGTAATTAAATATTAATTGTAATGATAAAAATGTTGATTTATTTTTAACATCGCAATGAACAGAATATCAAAGTTTAATCATTTCTCTACTTATGGTAAAACGCTTCATTAAAGAGTAAAAAAACTGTTTCATGTTGATGCAAGTTAAAATAATAAAAGGAACTATTTACATCAAATATTGAGTGCATGCATGTAAATCTGATAAATAGAAATGATCAAGTAATTTGATTAGTAATTGTTGGTAACATGACTTCGGACACGTTAAATAGAACTGTATGAATAGATTGTCTAAATGGTTGGATACTTAGTCCATTTTGGTTGGTAATATTAAGGATTAAGAGATAACACGAACTGATTGAGTTACTTACCTTGTTTTATAGTTATCGAAAACATTATGGATCATTTGAGCATGTTAAATATCATTAAAATGGTTACTTAATGTGGCATGTACTGCTAATGTATAGTTGATTTGTAGACTTTTAATATCAATAGGATTATTTAATTATTTAAAGTAACTTTATTATACTCTTAAATAAGTTAAGACTTCACGAGAAGATTCTTTCGAAGAAAATGTAACGGCCTCCACATAGCCTAGTCTACAAATAATTCTGTGTCGATGTAAATATATGTGCTTTTTTACATCGAATCCCTAAGCTCTATGTTACTTTACAATTTTTTTGTAGTTTTTCTGTCGTAATTTGACAGTAGGGTAGTACCACTGACGATTTGTGATTTTAGTTTCGTTTTTCATTCATTAAGAAATCGCTGCATTTCAGTACGTTTTCATTTATCCTCTTAATAAGCGACATACATTAGTCTACAAAGAGTCAATAATTTAATTTCCTAGTCAGTGTTATAAATACATATTTACTTTTAATATTAAGAATTGTCTATCCAAACTTTAATGAGTCTGGAATTATTAAATCAACCCTAAGTAACTTTACTTACGAGATATTAAACAGTTTTTGACTTATTAACTTTGAGTTGTTGTTGTTTACGTGTATCTTCCCATTGTTATTTAGCACTGCATTTGACCAGTCTCTTGTTGGCATATGTGCATTCCGTAAGAACTGCCTTGATATTACCTTAGGTCAAAAGCTCTATAAGCAAAGATGGATAGTGGTCAGCAGCGGAATACAAGACGCGCGTTTCGTCCCTTTTGGGACTCGTCAGCTGGATTTGCCCGTATCTCAGTTTTGATTTTCACTCTGGAACTCGGACCCAGAGTAGTGAACAAGAACATGGGTGGGAACAATCGAATGTATCCAACACAAAATTACAGGACTTGTTAATAAAATCTAACAATCAAATAGTAAATACGTAATTTCCAAAATGTCCACCAATTGTCTCAAAATGACTCAGAATTCGTTATTCTTGCATTTTCATACAAATGGCATCCTGTTTCCATTCTTTACTGTTCGATCCTCCTGTCTCTTTGCTGCCAGACCTTCTGTCCACGACTAACATCATCTGCTACTTATGTCAATATAAGTAGCATACACCGCACCATGACCGTTCGCTTCAAACGCCATCGCGTTATCCACTCAGCTACTGAGTCCTAATAGCCACTTGCTTGTGCAATGGGGTGAATTTAAATTCTCTTGGTACTGTTTTGCTTGTATTTCCCCATTGAGATTTAAGACTGCAATTGATCAGCCTGTTATTGGTATAAGTGCATACTATGCTTATTGCCTCGATATATGTATATATGACATTTAACCATTATGTGAAATCTTCATGGGAAGAACTACATAAATCGTAACTGTGTTGAACAATCGGATTACTGAGAACATCGACAATAATCTCCACACATCGGTTCATTGCAATTTAAGATATTGAATCATCAGAAAATTAAGTCATATAAATGAATCCGGTGAACACTAGTCTAAGTTAAACAGAAATACAACACTAACTTACATCTATCTACGATTGTGCTCGTCTCAAATAAAACAAACAAATAATTCGGTAGACAACTATGAATGTATGTAGAATCACATTAAATAGAGGGGAAAACTGAAATGAAACTATCTCATATGAAATTCCAAAAAAACTCATATAAAAATATCTACTTTTAAGTAATTTTTAGTACTAATGTTAACTAATCCTAGGTTCTGATGTAGTAAATTTCAAACTGCTTATTCCTCAAATTATCTTTTAGACTAAATGAAAGTCCAATTCACTTATTACTTACTGACAAAATGAAATACAAAGTAATAAATTTTTGAAAAAAAGTAAAACAATGACTTAGTGATTTAAGTAATCAACCTTCAATTACCAGGTTACAAGTTCTGGGCTTAATAATCAATAGAAATTTTAGCTACTAAAGATATCCAAAGTATAATGTTAATGTGTCAATAACAATACACTGCCTTATAATTTTATTGTTTCTAACCTGAAAATAAAAGGAATAACATTACAATTTACTGGATAGAAAATAATTCAAAAAGTTTAAAATAATGACAAAATTATTTTTAGAGAAGAAAAATGAATCTTACCTTCTGTAACTGGTCGGCAATCTGAATAACCATCACCATCATAACCAGTAACACAACGACACTGTCCTCTATCACATGTAGCATATTGATGACATTGTACATTACCACACAATTTCACTATGAAACCAATAAAATTACAAAACTTACAATAACTGAATTAAAAGTATAGATAATCATTTGAATCTCTATAATCAACATAAATCATATTGAATTTAAATAGAAAATCTATTGAAATATAAATTGTCAGTAATTCTTTTCAAAAGTTTTTTTCTTCATTTTACTCATTACCTAGTTTAACCATTCAGACATGAGATATTCTTATTGACTCATGATCTCAACTATTGAAATTACTATAATATTCACATAAAACCCCTTCTGATATTAATCAACATATGCTCACTAGTAACTGGCTTTAAGAGGTATTTCCTGGAGTTCTTGTAACAAGCAGTGACCAGTGGACTTCAACCAGGTCTGTTGTCAGATAGTAACTCACTGAACACAATAGTGGATGTATAGCTCAATTTCGTGGATTAGTTGAAGTTAGACATTAACACCGTTGTATGTCGGCTGGCTCAGTGGTCTAGTGGCTAGGCGCCGCGCGTGAGACTGATAAGTCTTGGGTTCGAATCTTGTGGGGGGTGGGGTCGTGGATGCGCACTACTGAGGAATCTCACAATAGGACGAAACAATCGTCCAGTGCTTCCAGGTCTTGCATGATGGTCTAGCTTCAATTGATTCTTGATCTCAACTATTGAAATTACTATAATATCCACAAAAACCCTTTCTGATATTCCTATATGTTTTAAAGAAAATTGCTGAAATGTCTCCTTTGAAGTAGTGTTTTTTTTCAAAGGAACAAAATGTAATTAATCAAAAAGCTTTTTTGATTGTTTAAAAGCAATAGTTCATTAGTAATGAATAGACTACTCATTTTTTAAATACGCAATGTCTTAGCTGTGTAATTATTTGTATTTATGAATTATTATGAATGATAGTCTTCTAATATACATGTGCACTAACATGAATAATAAGTCAATATTATGATGTAATAGTGACTAATAGTTATGCTTTTCTTTCCTGACTGAAAGTTTAGAAATATAGGAACTTCAATAGTGTATCAAGTGTAGAAAAATATGTTATCAGAGATTAGGGATTTATTGTTGATGACCAATGAGGATGAAATAATGCGAAGTAAATATCAGTAAATGAAAATTAATAATGATAAAATAATGTGGTTTTTTTATGGCTGATATTATTTTAATTTGAAGCTTTAGATTAAAATCTCTCAAGCTGGAAAATGTATGATTTCCATCATTTTAAAAATGATCCATCATGACTGTTCATAAAACATAATAGATTTTAATTGATCACACACAAAAGCCATTTAGATTTGCTGAAAATGAAAACCAAAGTCTATCAAGTAGGCGAATTAATTGAATTTCCTTATAACCACGAAATGAAGGAATGTATTACATGTAACTGGTTTTTTTGTACCTAGTGTATAATTGCATTCAGTTATTACTGAGCATATCGTCGACATTTTCTAATCCTTCATAATTATCAGTAGAGAAGAGAACTCGATGTCACTTCGGTTTCTCGAAACAGTAGCAACCAAAAAACTGGTTTATATGTCCAGGAATAGACAATAATCAATTTAGTAATGCCTTAAGAATATTCATAGCTTTGACTAATATCACGAGGAATTTTTTTATTTTTTCAACCTTTTGTGATTTTATCAGTGTTTACTTTTATATTTTTTAAACTGATCGTTATTTCGGATACGCCGAAACCATTCATTCATCCATCCATTTTTTCATTCATTCAATTCTTTAAACTTAGATAAACTATTCAAATCTCGTATAACTGTTATGTAATCACTCAATTTCAAATTCTAGACAATTATCATCTGATTGCTCTCAATCTTCTGTATCTATTTTCAAGCCGTATGAAACTTATGAATACTCCTCGCAACTTCTATCATTATCATAGGATTCACTTTATCAGTTTATGGTCTTTAGTCAATCATTGCCTTTATGTCTTTAAATTTGATCTCCAAATGACCTCTTTCTGTCATCAATATCGATTACTTAGTATTGTATCATATCTCAATATTAAACTTTATTACATATATGATAATAAGCAACTGATGAGAAACCACAAAATATAAGGAATTCATATTATTCTGCATCAATTGTTGGTTGAATTGTGGAGTGTGCTACTTATATTGATGTAAGTAGTATATTATGCGAGTCAGGAACATAATGTCTAGCAGCAGAATATGAGGAGAAGATCAAGAAAAGAAGAGCGAAAACACAATAGAATTTGTTGGAAAACACATGAGCAATGAAATGGGAGACAATGGATTGGTGTTTGCTACAGAAACAGTCCAGTTTGATATGATGCATTAATATTTTGCAAATTGACGATTCACTATATGGTATTCAGATTTTATTGAAATAGTCTGTAAGTTGCGTGACATTCGTGTTCGATTGTCCCCACCCGTGTTCTTGTTCACTACGGAATCACTCGGGAACAACTATATTTTCTACGAGAGTCTTCATTAGCATGTTCTGTCAACAAGTGTAAGATATACACCCCCAATCAACTGCCCATTGGGATGGGAAATAGCTAAGCAAAGTGGGAGAAAAATGGTACGCCTAATTATAACGGATGAACACTACAGGATCCGCAAGTACCAACACATCATAGAGGACCAAAAGATGAGGCTACAAAGGACACTCACGTCAGAACATTTGGAAATCTGGACAACACCCATCGAGACATCATGCAAACGACACAGAGTACAAAGAAGAAACACCTTAAAGAAAAAACTAATCAAGATCTCAAAACCACCCATGGAAGAAAACATAAACAACTGCGTGATCAGTCTGTCAAACCAACCACTAACAAATACGAAAGAACACCTACTCCGAAAGGGATTAAGCTACAATACAAGCGACGCCTCAAAACTGTAATTCTTCGCAGCACTAGATATTGTAATTAACAATGAAATTTCCTATAAAGTTGTACATTTAACTGATTAGAATTTACTTACCACCCTCGGCTTCTCGACATTCATTGTAACCATCTCCTGTATAACCAGGATCACATACGCATCGACCATCTTGACAACGTCCATTAGCAGCACAACGAACGCCATCACATGGATCTAGAATACATATTTGAGAGATAGACGTATTGAGTTGTATGTAAATTTACTGGCGTATTCTTGTAAATACTTCATGAATATCATAAATATCATATTTATATGCAAGCAAAAATACTGTAATTAGAAATGTTGATCAGATGAATGGCTGTAAAGGAACTGAGCAATTGAGACTTCCTGGTCATTATATGATCTTAAATATCCTAATGTTTATATTATTTTCAATCAATAATAATAAGTAATTTAATTTACGAAAGCATATTCTTTTCCTTAAATATATATAGAGAGAAATATGTTAAACTAAATGACATCTTTACAGATATGATGAAGTCAACATCTTATTGATTCTTATAACTACTAAACCTTTCAGCTTATTTTCAGAACTGATGAAAACTTATATTTTAAAAAGAATTAAACATGAACTGATCACTTTCAAATGTGTGTATGCAAGAGATTTTCATATTTAGAGTAGTAGAAGTTGAAAGAAACTGAAAGCTCCAAACTAAGAGATTGGATTCTTAGTATATCACATATGACGCGAGCACTTGAACGCTGGAACCCTCCAAGTCGCAAATAAGAAAACATAAGAAGACTGGAGAAAGTGCTGGTTGGGCAAGAATCAAAATGTACAGAAAATCATGGGTATTTATAGATATTAGCGTCTGTTAAATCAACATTATAATTCAATCAATCCGCAAAGAGGTATGCTATGCTACTGACCAATAGTAGCATGCAGCTTTGATATTCTAGAAAGCTTCATTGTGTCCTGGTTGGATGAAACTCTTCGGCCTTCTAGGGTCTCTGGAGGCTCCTTCGTAGTTCTTGGAAGCTATCCCAACAGAATCAACCAAAATTAAAAACTTATTAGAGCTAACTAGGTTCATAAACATTTTTTAAATATCTAAGGAAAGGCTTTAATGATTTCTGGTTATGCACCTCTTAAGTAGTTAATTTTGGTAATCAAATAAGCTTCCATACAGTTGGGAAATTTGCTTGATAATAATAAGAATTGAATGGCTGACAGAATTGTTAGAACAACTACAACATTCGAGTTATTCTAAATTTTCGTTGATAATTAACTACGTTAAATGTTTTGTCTCACTGATTGTTAGGATGGTGGAGAATCGTGCAATTGTGAATTGATTTTTTTGACGTTATATACACTTGGTTTGTTTGTCAATTGATTGTGAATTCTGTTTTCTAACTTTCAAATTATTTTCATTTTATTAACTAATTCATTGTAAATTTGTGTTTAAGTGGAAATTGCACAGCTTAGTTTATACAAATCTGATTAAATCACTTTTTATCAGTCATATGAAAAATGAGTGTCTTCCGATAATCATAATTCAGTTTGTTTTGGATGTCAAACAAATCCCTGTTCACCATTTTCATAATCTTGCTTGAGTCAAACTGTTCACGATTTCTCGTTGAAATTTCAACTTATTCTTCATTATAACATAAACATTTAGTCACAGTCATGAAACCCAAAATTTAAACAGTTCTACTTGAAGTATTTTGAGAATTTTCAGCTTGAAAGTACCAAATACATTTTATCATATGAGTTACCAGCTTACATTACATCAGGGTTAACTAAACTTGAGTTTATTTATAACTGATCTCTAAATACTATTCACCAATGTATCAAATTATTTCAAACGTACAAATATTCAATCATAAAAAGGTATATCAAATCAAATTAAAACCTACCGTTTGCACGTGCATCACAAAAGTTAACCCCATCCCCAACGTATCCATGACTGCAGTAGCAACGATTTTCATAACATTGACCAAAACGATGACATTGAACACCAGCGCATAACTCTGTAATATTTAAGATTGGCATTCAAAACAATTATTTGTTCTGCTTAGAAATTCAATAAGTTTTTTTTGAATTATGACAAACGGTAGGTTAGAAAAATTCTTAAGTAAGAATATAAGTAGTGTGGTATAAATACCTAGGTGAATAGTGTGTTGTTCTTTAGAAGAACCAAACATAAAGATCTATATGAATTACATCATCATTAATATGTTTCAATTAGTAGGAAATAAATGTAGAAGTTAAAGTTGAAAGCATGGACGACGTTTATCATTTGTAAACAATTAAAGAAATCTACAATAAATCCAGAATAAATTAAAATCTACAAGAAAACTGTACACCATTTATGAATTCACTAATCTAGAAATTAAAACCGAATACTATGAGAACTAAGCTTAGGGGATTTCTAATGTGTTAAAAAGTATTTTTTTTAACATTAGTAAGGAAGTTTAGTTAAAAGAGTATTTTTAATGATAAAATATCGGTCAAAAGTAATCGTTTTGTTTATCATTCAATCTATAATGTTACAAAATCAATTTTTTATAGAAATCAGGGCTTTTATTATGCAACAAACAATAAGTTCAATATTTATTATTTCATAGTTTTAATAGTTGAGATCATGAGCCAATTGAAGCTAGGCCATCATGCAAAACTTGAAAGCATTGGACAGCTGTTTCGTCCTAGTATGAGACTCCTCAGCAGTGCGCATCCACGATCCCGCCCAGTGGGATTCGAACTCAGAAAATATCAGTCTCGTGCATGAACGCTTATCCATTAGACCACTGAGCCAATTCATGAAATTGAGTCACCGTCCACCATTGTCTTCAATGAGTTATTATCTCACAACAGATGCGGTTGAACTCCACTGTTCACTGCTTCTCACTTGAACTCCAGGATATACCTCTTGAAGCCAGTCACTAGTGAGCATATGATGATTATTATCAGGAGGTCCAGAGGTCAGTGCGAGACTAATAGGTCCTGGATTCGGATCTTGTGGGTCGGGATCACAGATGCACACTGCTGAGGAGTCCCATACTAGGATGTAACGGCCGTCCAATGCTTTCAGGTTTTCCATGCTGGGGTCTAGCTTCACTTGGCTCATGAATTCAACTATTAAAATGACTAAAATCTCTAGAAAACTCCCCCATCCGATATTATTTAATAATTTGATTTTTACGTAAAATGAATCACTAATTGCTAAAAACATTCATAAAAACGAATACAAAAACAAAGGAGTTCAAGACAATTATTTCTTCCAAATTATCAAATTAATAGTAAACACTAAGTAAACCGTTACTTCAGTAAGAAAAAAATTTCATGATAAAAGACAATATTTATTAAAATGACTGTCCTCTATAAAAGTATTACATTTCTTAGTAAAACAAAAATGATGTGTATTGCAATTAAGTCTTCACTATTAATCAAGAACAAGTAATTATGAAACGTAATGTGTAATTCATCTAGGAGAATATATATTTTTTTATGACACTGGAATTTAATAATTTCATTCCTTGTTCAACGTGTAAACCTATAAACTGTTGATAAATGAAATAAAGTTCAACAAATCAACATTAAATGTATGAGAACAAACTGAAAAATTTAATTTTGAAATAAAACATAGAGAAGATTTATAGCTGGAGTTTTGTTCTCTGAGAACAAAACTTCATCAAAATAAAACGTGTTTATCATGTTTTGAGTTAACAAAACTCAAGCTGAAAATATTTAAAATAGTAACAAGTTTTAAAGTAGAAGAATAATGATAACTTTTGAAAAATTAATAGTTGAACAAAGAATATTCTTATCGACTAATTCTCTTTAGGTTCTACAATGATATTTCCAAATAGATAATCCGAAAAATGGTCAAGTTAAGGGTAAATTGAATCATTTAAAGTTAAAGCATGTGAATTTAGGATTGTCAATCAAAATAGGATAAAATGGTTATTGATTGAGATCATAAACCGATTGATGTTAGACCAACATTGAAAACCTCAGCAGTACTCATCCATTATCCCGCTCGCAGGACTCAAACTCAGGGCCTTCAGTCTCGCGCACGAACGCTTAACCTCTAGACTACTGAGCTAGCATCCAACGGTGCTAGTGTTTGAAGAGTCCCACAATAGGACGTAGCGGCCGTACAGTGCTTCCAGATTTTCAATGGTGGTCTAACATCAATCGGTTCATGATCTTAATCAAATACTTAATATTCTCCACAACCCTATACTGAAAATTTAGAATGTTAACTTGAATCTTTTTTAAATTTTAAGTGACTATTGTACTTACGACCTTTCATAATCAAATGTAATTATCTTTGTTATCTCTATTCACAAATCTTTGTACTGTTATTATTATTACTACTGGTTAAACATGATTAATGATCTCTCAATACATGATTCATATCTCAATCATCCCACCTTATTATGTCTTAGTAATAATTTTTTACACAACACTGTTTTCCACTAAACATTTGATCAAATTGCAATTGCACTATTATTTCTCTCACCTTATCTGACCCATATTTATTCTAATCATGAATTTGAACATTTCACTTAACATACAAGCAGATTTAAGTTAACATTCTAAATGTTATATCAACATTAACAATTTTATTCTATTTTATTTACTAATCCTAAATTCACATGCTTTAACTTTAAATGATTCATTTTACCCTTAACCTGGCCATTATTCGGATTATTAATTTGGATATATGTATTCTAGAATCTGAAGTGAATTTATCGTTCAAATATTCTTCGTTTAATATGATGGGGATCTTTAAACGATAACTCTGAATTCATTTTTATACAATTTTATCTCCAGTGTTATTTTCTTTATACAAACTATTCATCGCATACAATAAACAAAAAATTATCTAGGTGAGTAAAACAATTTAAAAAAATCGGAAGTGGTTTTGTGGAGATTCTTAGTAATTTCAGTGGTTGAAATCATAAGTCAATTGAAGCTAGAACACCATGCAAAACCTGGAAGCATTGAACAGCTGTTTCGTTCCAGTACGAGACTCCTCAGAAGTGCACATCCACGATCCCTCCCCGCGGGATTCGAACACAGGAACTATTAGCCTCGCGCGCGAACGCTTAACCACAAGACCACTGAGCTGGTTGGTATCCAATGGTGTTAATGTCTAACTTCAACTAACCCACGAAATTGCGCCACCGTACACCACTGTCTTCAGTGAGCTGATATCTGACAACAGACGTGGTAGAACTCCACTGGTCACGGCTTCTCACTAGAACTCCAGGAGTATCTCTTGAAGTCAGTCACTAGTGAGCAGATGATTATTATCATAAAGGGTTTTGTGGAGATCTTTAGTAATTTCAACAGTCTCGTACAAGGATGAAATTGCTGTCCAGTGCTTCCAGGTTTTCCATGGTGGTCTAGATTCAACTGACTCATGATCTCAACTATTGAAATAAAAAAATGTTTTTTTTTTCAAAAAATAGAGTAGATTAAGGATTTTGTTTTCTTGGAGTGTTACATGTGATATTGAATGATATAGATGATGCGGTCTCTGGGGTATCGAAAGATGGTTTACTTCTTCTGTTTTATTATTCTTTTCTGTCCATTTGTCTTTAAGCGATCTAGACCAATATAAAGTTAGTAGAACCACCTAATTTACTTAGAAATGTTTTGAGATTTCGTGATGGTATAGATTTTTGTCTCAAATATTGAGTAATAACAAAAAGGTAGTGGTTTGAATGAAATGTTTTGCTAAATGATAGTCTGTTATGTAAGAGATAAATTGTTCTATTTTAGTTAACTGTTCTATGCATATTTTCGTTGTCTATTCTGGAACTTGAGAAATCTAAAATAAAGTGTATCAGATTGTAGCTTATTGTAATATATTCAAAAAAGTAGCAAAGAAATTAACTGACAACTAAACTTCAGCTTTATTACATCATTTCTTCGACATTACACAGTTAGTGTTCAAACAATCGTACTAAAGTTTTCAAAAAACTCAGAATAAATCAAAACTAATACTTCCAAGTTATTAATAGAACGATTTGACAGAGTATTAGCATTGTTAGACCAAGCACTTTCTATTAAGTATTTAAACCTATGTGTTTCGGTATTTCAAAATAAAACAAAAAAAATCCGGGACAGAATAAGAGGAACGAATGTAGCGACCATCGAAAATACGAGGCCTAGTTACTTACGTTTGTGAAGTAACGGTTTTTATCCCTTAATAATTAATGACAAGCTGCAAGTATAAATATACTCCTTATGTCTTTTACATTGTGGGATGGTTACTTCTACAGTGATCTATAAAACAATCTGCAGTAAGATAAAAAAACGTTCACATCGTCCGACCGTCATACTATTTTACCGAAAATACAATCTTAATAGAACGAGCAAAATCTGACAAGTATAAAGAGTAACCAAGATAAGATAAATGGACGAAACCATAAAATAATCCGGTTTAACTATATCACAGATATATCTATTTATATAACACAGACTGCTTAGTTCTGGAAAATTAGAATAATGAGTAGGCGTACCATCGAATGAAAAAGTCGGTATAGAATTTAACGAAACAGAATCGGTTAGAAAGTAATGTGATACATTTTTAAGATTAATTTCCTCAGGTAATGGTATAAAAACGATAGGTTACAAAAGTAATCTCTTTATCCGTTAACGGTCTAAGAATTCAAAACTACATATATATTTAGTTAGTAATTTATGTTAGATGATTTTATGATATCAGTCATACATCAGTAAGGTGCATCTGTAACGTAAGGAAGCCGATGTTTTCTATGGGACACGAAGTTGTCACAACCTTACTGTTAGATATTTTGTCAATCAACTTTTCGGTTTCAGTTGATTATTCCCAATAGGCTACCTATCAATATCAAACAACCATAGAGTAATGTATATAATAATCGGATGGTATCACACAATCCAAACAATTATATGTTAGATAAGTGATCATAGGAAAAGAATATAGAAGTTTAAAGTAAAATTTAGGAGTAAGAATAGATAGGAGTACTTAAATGTTATGAATTTTCAAATAAAATTGCTTATATATATATATATAATATCAAAATGTTCTAACATAATAGCTAGCCTTTAAAACTAAAGACAATAACCAGCAAGCCTGTGTTGATCAAACCATAAATTATTGATCTGAGTCTGAGATATAAGATTATATAAAATTTACTTATGTAAATTTATATCACTTGGGAGTGACGAATTAAGCCACTAGCTTTGAAATTATTTGTGACAACCTCAGTACCCATCACTGACTAGATTTTGTAGACTAGCGCTTAAACATGTGAGATTTTCTTCAATGATTATAATCAAATTAAAAATCAGAAGCAAATATTTCATTAAGTCTGTTTACATCGTGAACACTACTATGTATTCATCATACAAGATCATCTTTTTCGGCGACGGTAAAATGTTAACTCACCTTGTGAACTTTTCTGACATTCATAGTATCCATCTCCCGAATAACCATCAAGACACTGACATTTACCGTGTTCATTGCATTTTGCATTTTCATGACATCGAACATACTTGCAAAGGTCTTTAACAAGATAATTAGATGAGTATTTCAACTACTCAGTAGTTCATTTGCATACCAAAGATATATATATATATGCCCTGGTACGGCCGAGAGTGGGGAGAGTCCGCTCTCCCTCTCGAAATACACTCACACGGCCGCGCGTATACAGCCTCTGCCAGGGAAGTCCTACTCATTGCCTTCTCGTGGCGGGGGTGTTGTCTACGAAAATGAGAGGACGAAAAGCGAATGTCCGGCGCTTTAACCGGATCACAAACCAATGGTGCACATGGGCTCCAGTATTCTGAGGGAACAAATGGCGTATGAACCACTCGTTGGTCACCGGCTTCCATGGGATTGCATCTCCTTACGATGCTCGATTGCCTTGTGGGTTAGACCTTTAGGTCAAAGGCTCGGGGAGTGGCCCCCTAAGATAACCACCTGCTTCGGTTTGGGCACCCGGGCAGTATCACAGCCCACACACAAATGATGAACTCTCTATGTCTATGGAAATTACTTTTCTCGCTTCGAAAAACAATCAATGGATTCAAATTATTATCATTACAATTATTGTCATTATTAATACTATTATAATTATTACTATTATTGTCATTATTATTATTATTATTATTATTATTATTATTATTATTTTCCACATTATTCACCCTCTTTTATACTTATACAGCGGCTCGTCTTTGGTGGAAATTCGACTGTATCTAAACGTTCTCGTGTCACTGTCCGGTTGAAAATTGTATGTTACCACCGAATATGAGTAATGAAGCAGATTTTCTGAAACCACGTGCGCCATTCAAACTGGCTGCCTTCAACGTTCGCACACTTATGCAGGTTGGACAACAGATAGGGCTGGCTATGTCTTTGGAAAGTCTTCATATCGATGTCTGCTGTCTATCCGAGACCCGTATTCAAGACTCTGGTGAAGTACTACAAATTCGCTCTACATCTGTCACTTCAAAAAGCTTGTTTTACGTGCGCTTATCCGGGGACCCTGTGGCATCTTCGTCTGGTCTCGCTGGCGTTGGTGTCGCACTAAGCGCTAGAGCTGAGGCAGCACTAGTCGATTGGATCCCCATTAACAGTTGGTTATGTGCTGTTAGATTAGAAAGTTCCATCAAAGTGAGAAGAAATCGGCGTGAGAAACGATGTCTTTTCGTCATCTCCGCCTATGCCGCGACAGATTGCAGCCCGGATGCAATCAAGGATGAGTTTTACCACCAGTTATCTGTTCTTTTCCAGAAAGTGCGTTCGACAGATATTGTAGTACTAGCCGGAGACTTGAATGCTCAGGTCGGGCGTCTAGGCACAGAAGAGAGTCGTTTAGGTGGCCGATGGGGACTTGTTGGTCGCAGGTCAGATAACGGGGACCGTCTGCTGCAACTTTGCACAGACCACAACCTGCTTCTGGCTAGCACTAACTTTCAGCACAGTCATCACCGATGTGCCACCTGGCGTCCTCCCTCTGCATCCCAAGCCTGGACTCAGATTGACCACATCGCGATCAGCTACCGCTGGCGTGGTTGTGTACAAGACTGCCGCTCCTTTTGGAGTACCTATCTGGACTCTGACCATGCCTTGGTCTGCGCCAATCTTGCCTTAATTTTCAGTGGACAACGAAGTGAACGCCATCAACGGATTGATATTAGCAAGCTGGTTGCAACTTCTGTTGCAAGTAAGTATCGAACCGAGCTAGCCTCTAGGCTAGCTACCACTCCACCGAAAAGTATAGATGAGCATTGGTTGCAATTGCATGACGCCATGAGAATGGCGGGTACAGTCAGTTGTGGGTTTGCGAAACGTCCCGCTTTTAAGCACTGGGTTTCTTCAGGCTCCTTACAACTCATTGAAGCCCGTCGGTCTACTCCGGGTGACCGTGAGTTTGACCATAAACGAAGGATGTTACGTAAGGAAATTGGGCAAAGCTTGCGTAAGGACCGAGAAGCCTGGTGGTCGATGCGTGCTAATGAGCTGGAAGCAGCAGCTGCATCTGGTAACTACCGGAAGCTCTTCCAACCCATCCGAGTCACTGGCAGCAAGAAGTCTGGTGTGAGTGAAACAATCTGTGAGGATGATGGGATGCCAATCACTAACATCCATCGACGTCTTGGACGATGGGCAGAATCTTTCGAATAGCAGTTCAGCTGGCCTGCTGCTCTGGCAACATCGGTCAAACTGTCCTGGCCTCCATGGCCGGTGACGACTGATCCACCAAACGAGGAGGAAGTCCGCAAGGAACTCCAACTCTTGAAGCGTTACAAATCACCTGGCCCAAATGACTTACCTCCGGCTCTTTTTAAAGATGGTGGTGACTTTTTGACTAAGGAATTGACGACGTTGTTTACAAAGGTTTGGGAACTAGAGAGTGTACCAACGTCATGGAATGAGTCGATAGTTGTCCCTATCTTTAAAAAGGGTTCACGTCGTTCCTGTAACAACTAACGGGGGATAAGTCTACTTCCGATTGCGTCCAAGCTATTGGCTTCCGTCATACTTCGTAGGTTGTTCAAAACTCGCGAGGAGCAGGCTGGGTTTCATTCTGGTCGAGGATGTATTGATCATATCTTCACCATCCACCAAATGTTAAAACACCATCATACTTATCAAAGGCTAACAATCGTAGTATTTCTTGATATTAGGGCCGCCTTCGATTCGTTGGACAGGACTGTTTTCTGGGATTGTCTATTGAAGAAGGGTGTGTCTGAGAAGTTTATTAACATCCTAAAAGCCCTATATACAAACACCTCAGACAAAGTGAGGGCATACAACCACCTCTCTCCATTGTTCCATTCGAGCAGTGGGGTTAGGCAGGGTTGCCCAATCTCACCATTCCTCTTCAACTTTGCCATCGATGACATTCTGGAAACAGCTCTGATGAATGTAAGTAATTGTGGTGTGGATCTGTTGCCTGGAGTAAGACTTCTCGACCTTGAGTATGCGGACGATATTGTCTTACTGTGCGATAATGCCCAAGGCATGCAATCCACACTTAATCAGTTGGCAATCAGTGTCCGTAAGTATGGTATGTGCACCTTCGAAGTGCAAAGTACTTCTGCAAGAATGACAGGATTCCAATCCTGTACTCGCCCTGGATGGTGAGCAGATAGACGTAGTCGAGAAGTTCGTGTATCTGGGTAGCTGCATAAGTGCTGGTGGGGATGTGAAGGATGAGATCAATGCACGTATAGTGAAAGCCAGAGCGGCTTATGCCAATCTGGTCTATCTGTGGCGCCTTCGGGATGTCAGTATGGCTGTGAAAGGTCGGATCTACAACGCGTCGGTGAGAGCAGTTCTGCTCTATGCTTGCGAAACCTGGTCTCTCCGAGTTGAGGACGTTAGACGACTCTCTGTGTTAGGTCATCGCTGTCTCCGAAGGATTGCTGACATTCAGTGGCAACACCATGTCAGTAATGCAGAGGTTGGGCATCGTGTGTTCAGGCACAGAGACGATAATGCAATCGATGTCACTATCTTGAAACACCGACTTCGGTGGCTTGGACATGTTCTCCGAATGTCGTCCCAGAGAATTCCACGTCGTGCATTATTTGCCGACTCTGGGACTGGTTGGAGAAAGCGGAGAGGTGGTCAGTGCATGACATGGTGTCGTGGCATGAAAGAAAGCTGCAAAGGACTGGCTTCTGTTGGTCCTTCACAACTCCCTGGTTGGGGTCTGAGAGACGGTGCTACACAGTGGCTAGAGACGTTATCAGATATGGCTCAGAATAGAAGCCAGTGGCGATCCTGCTGTAACCTTTTACTTTCTTCATAAAAAGTGATTGTGTCTCCCTTACCTGAAAGATTTCTTCGGATTGTAACTTTCCGTTCCCTCATTTCTACCATACTACCTTACACCAATCTCCTCGTTATTGTTCTCTTTTTTTGCGCTCCTTAGCTTTTTTTTTCTATTTCACTTCGAATTCTCATTGTTTGGTGTGGCGCATATATATTGGCGCTCTCTTGTACCAATATTGATGTGTTCAAATAAAATTATATATATACATGGAAACATGGTACGGTATATCAAACTACACACACTTCAAGAAAATATACTTCATCATACACAAAATAACTTAAATGCCTCAAGTAAAATAAAAAATTAAATTATATTAAATAATACGTTCAAATTATATGAGAAAGCACAACAGAAATTGAGCGAATGAAGGTTAGCAAAGATTCAAACAAATACATATAACAACCTATAAAAACACGAAAGGAGAGTAAATAAAAGAGCGTCAAAATAACTGAAACTGAAGTGTAAGAAAATTCAGAAAAACCAATCTATGCGGGGTAATAGAAAGAAAAATTCAAAGGAAACATCCGATAGCTAACATATGCATATAAATTTTCACACAATTGTAAAGTCTCTATCCATTCAAAATTAGGGATTTTTATTCAGTCAAGATACAGAAATTGAAGAGATAGGCATTTATAATGTCACTATCTCAACTAAAATTTGCTACAAACATCGGATAAACTTTGAATATAAACATTACACTTATTCCTTAATAAATAAAAGTTATTCAAAACTTATGCACAAATACTCATGCGAAAACATGATGCAGGGGTTTTAGTAATATTTTAAGCTCCTATTACAGTAAATTATCTTTGTATCTTACCACTTTTTATGGATTTACATTCCCAGTAACCATCTCCTTCATAACCTGCATTACATTGACATCTACCATTTTGACAGTTTGCAAACTCATGACAACGAATATTTTGACACTGGTCTGTGTAAAATATAGTAGTTTTAAGAGGTGTTAGTTTGCATGTCAATATTCAATTGATAGATTTATCACCTACATGAATTTGTCGCATCTACGTTTTACATGTAAATAGTTCTAGGAGCATTTTAATGAACACAAACGTAAACAGATGACTGAGACTAAATAAAGAAACATGATTAACGAGAAAGCAAAGAGCGTGTGTTTCAGGAAGGTTTGGGACTGTTCCAATATTATGGACTCAAAACTGTACATGGAGTTATAGCACGGAGCTGTAGGTTTTGTGGTTAGCATGATACTTACACACCACTGAATGTAAACACAAAAAGCCTAACTTTATTTGCATAAAACAAATCTCTACAAACTGCCTAATTAATAACAATCCTGTAGTTCTCAAAAATCACCTTTTAGATGGATTTCCTGAAGTTTGGGTCAGTCATTTAGTCATCAGTGTAAGGAGTGATTAAGTTACCTACCACACGGAGTTATGCATAGAAACGAAAATAGCTTTTGATATACTGTCGAGATTTTCACACCCTTCGGATATTTCACTTCTCTATAAATGGCATTTTACCTGTGGTGAAGTAATAATTAAAGGAAAATAGTTGTGTAAACAAAAGCTTTCTTCCTTTAATACATTCACTATAATACATATATTAGTGTGATGATCCACTTTTCATTAATAAAATGGATATCATGCACCACCAGTTGAGCTTCTCATAAGTAAGCAATGGTTTCCAATTTCGTAAAGCAAAATCATTTGAAGGTGAATGTCACTTGCTTTGTTACGTACAAAAATGCGACATACATATTGAATGAAAGCTTATGGATTTGAAATACCAATTATAATTAATATAAAGTAATCGGATTTGTCACGTATCTGTACTTATTTTCATACATCCAGAGGTTAAGTGTTCGCGCGCGAGACCAATAGGTCGTGAGTTCGAATGTCGCGAAGCAGGATTGCGGATGCGCACACCTGGGGAGTCCCACAGTAGGAAGAAAAGACCGTCCAGTGCTTCCACATTTCCCACGGTGGTCTACCTACAGTTGATTCATGATCTCAACTATCAAAAATCACTACATAATTATTAAAAAGCTTCATGTAAATTTATTCAACCTATATTACCACATTTACAACGATATTCAGTTGAGTATGAATCGGATTGAGAAATAATCCTAAGTGTTGGAAGAGCACTAAAGTGTTATTCTATATCTCATTTTATTAAAGCACAAAAATATTCATCGTGGTAGTAAAAAGCTACTACCTATACTTCAGTTGATCTATACATAACCATATTCACCGGTCAGGTATCCTGATAGAAATGATTTATTAGATTAGAACTCAGTGCTCAACCCATCATCTGAGTGTTAGTGATTTATTCCTATGTAGGTTATTGTGTGGTCACATGTGATGTGTTCGATACCAGAGCGAAATGCCTATTAAGCACTGTTTACATGAAATATGCATGCTAACACTCCGAAACATGTTAGATACGGGAAAATAATCACAGTCATTCGTCTATGATTTTAATGACTATGAGTCAGAATAATGAAACATATTTTAGTAACGTTGAATAATTTGATAAAATTTCAGTTAAGGATGAAAATATATCAAGGTTTCCAAAAATATGTATTTAGATCCGTCAGTAAACATTTATATCTAAAATTGAGTTGCACTAAAAGTGAGTAAAGGCATCCCGAATACGTAAGTGGATAATCATTAACATTGATCATTAACAGTGAATATTAAAGATTCCCATTGTGAAAATTAGAACAACACATATAAGCGAACAATTGTTTTCAATTAGATCGTCATGCTTAGCGATTCTAGCAAATTTCAGAAAATTACTAGTAATTGTGACGTCAATAATAAAGTAGAAAGACAACTGGCCAATTTCCTTAAAGATCTAACGAAAAAGGGAATAATTACGACTGAGATTTACGATTCAATTAAGCCGACTGGATCATTCACACCACGATTGTATGGTTTGCCTAAAGTACATAAATCGGGTCTTCCTCTACGCCCAGTTCTAGATATGTACAATTCTCCTTACCACAAAATCGCAAAGTGGCTAGTACGAATTCTAGAACCTTTACACAAATCAGTTGTTAGAAATAGTGTAAAAGATGTCTTCAACTTCATCTCCAAAGTAGAAAATATTAATGTAAGCATGAAAAATATGATCTCATTGGATGTAGAATCTTTGTTCACTAACGTACCACTTATAGAGACTATTGATTTTATATGCAAGCAAATATCAAAGAAACAAATCAACATTGGCCTGCCTAACGATAGCCTAAGGGAACTGCTCCTAAGATGCACTCTGAATGTACATTTTGTCTTCAACAATACTTACTATAGACAAATAGACGGGATAGCCATGGGCTCGCCTCTAGGCCCGATTTTAGCTGACCTCTTCCTAGCAAAGCTAGAAAACGGACCCCTCAATGAGACTATTAAGAAACTGGATTTATATTGTCGATACATTGACGACACATTCATTATCGTAGACCAAAACACTAGTAAAGAGGAACTCCTAGACCAATTCAACAGTGTTCACCCAGCGATCACCTTCACTGGTGAAAGCGAGCATGATAAGAAGCTGAGCTTCCTTGACGTCACGCTAAGCAGACGAAGTGACGGCACATTAAGTAGAAGTGTGTATAGAAGAAACCCCTCTTCATGCCAATATACTCACTTCTGCAGTTTCACACCCATCCGGTACAAGAGAAATTTGGTCAGATGTCTCACGAGCAGAGCAAAAAAGATCTGTACAGTAGACACTTTAAGTCAGGAGCTTGAATTTCTCAACAACTCACTGACCGAGATCGGCTACCCCAGCGCCTTCATCAAGAAATACATGCAGGACATAATAAAGAAGTCGGAGATTTCGACTGTTCGTAAGAAACCTTTATACATGAAAGTGCAATTCAACGGGGATGTGGCTAGTGACACTCTGAAATATAGGTTAACCAAAGTAATCACCAAGACATTCTACGCAGCCAATCTTGCGTTGACCTTCTCTTGTCGTCCAGCGATGTCTACTCAAACGAAGGATAAGTTACCTGAGTTGGCCTCTTCCATGTGCTTTTACAAATTCAGCTGCTCCTGTGGAGATAGCTATATAGGGCGTACTACCAGGCAACTTAACCAAAGAATGAGTGAACATTTACCAACTTGGTACATAAAGGGTCAGAGAAAAACTATTCGGAGTTCTATACTAGCACATCTTATTGATAGCGGTCATACAGTAGAGAAATCGAAATCATTTCGAGTTATCTATCGTATACCTCCATCATTTCCCGACGGAGTCCGTTCCCGTCTCCTATATATAGCTGAAGCCATTGGAATTCGTACATATAACCCCAATCTATGTGTACAGAAGAAATACGTGACTCCCCTATCCCTTCCATGGCCAGTTATAACTTAACTAACAATTTTTTTTTTATTTATTTTTATTTTAAATTTTATTATTATCATTATTTATTTTATTTTATTTGTGTTATTGTTAACCTTATTTCCACATCCATTATTTGTTTGTCATTATCCGCCTCTTTGTATTCTTCACTATCTAATTATTTACACACATCTTATTACGTAATGATTTTTAAGGTTTTGTGATTACTATTCCTAGTCTATTTACCCATGTTTATTTGACCTTCTATTTCCAACGATTAAATATTGATAAGAGTTTTGTTATTGTAGTTTATTATTCTTACCACTATCTGTTCACCTGTCTTCCTACTATCAACTTGTACTTTTACCTATTTTATGTGTAGTGACTTATTCTATTTCATTGTGATTATTGACTCATATTGCCTTGATTGGTTTAAAATTTTCGTATAAATATCCATGTATATTAGAGTAAAGCCTGATGACGATCTAATTGAAAACAAATGTTCATTAACAGTGATTCAAAAAGATTATGCCTCTGGTTTGTATCTTAGTGATTGAGGTAATAGTCTGAGATTAGAAATTCGATTGTTTAGAAGTCAAAAGAAAGAACTGTGCTTTCAAAATAACTCGTTTTCATATCAGAACTATACTTAATTCCCTATCATTCAGCATGCAATAAAACGTGAGAATGAATTATTTGCATACTCCTACCCTGCTGAATAGGATCACAATAATGTTTTCCATCTCCCTGATAGCCGTCCAAACATCGGCATTCACCATCAAAGCATTTAGCGTTTATATGACATCTCATACTAGAACACGGATCTACAATTAAATAATTATGATTCATTAGAATGTACACTCAATCTCAGAATCATTTATGTTAAGCACATTTTTCAAAATGGTCTTATCTACTTAGTGATATAATTGAGATTAGCGTCTCAGAATTTGAGCTTCTCAATAATGAACTTTAGTAAAATCTGTGTTTGCGTAGTACCATTAGGAAAAATTCAAAGGAAACATCCGATAGCTAACATATGCATATAAATTTTCACACAATTGTAAAGTCTCTATCCATTCAAAATTAGGGATTTTTATTCAGTCAAGATACAGAAATTGAAGAGATAGGCATTTATAATGTCACTATCTCAACTAAAATTTGCTACAAACATCGGATAAACTTTGATTATAAACATTACACTTATTCCTTAATAAATAAAAGTTATTCAAAACTTATGCACAAATACTCATGCGAAAACATGATGCAGGGGTTTTAGTAATATTTTAAGCTCCTATTACAGTAAATTATCTTTGTATCTTACCACTTTTTATGGATTTACATTCCCAGTAACCATCTCCTTCATAACCTGCATTACATTGACATCTACCATTTTGACAGTTTGCAAACTCATGACAACGAATATTTTGACACTGGTCTGTGTAAAATATAGTAGTTTTAAGAGGTGTTAGTTTGCATGTCAATATTCAATTGATAGATTTATCACCTACATGAATTTGTCGCATCTACGTTTTACATGTAAATAGTTCTAGGAGCATTTTAATGAACACAAACGTAAACAGATGACTGAGACTAAATAAAGAAACATGATTAACGAGAAAGCAAAGAGCGTGTGTTTCAGGAAGGTTTGGGACTGTTCCAATATTATGGACTCAAAACTGTACATGGAGTTATAGCACGGAGCTGTAGGTTTTGTGGTTAGCATGATACTTACACACCACTGAATGTAAACACAAAAAGCCTAACTTTATTTGCATAAAACAAATCTCTACAAACTGCCTAATTAATAACAATCCTGTAGTTCTCAAAAATCACCTTTTAGATGGATTTCCTGAAGTTTGGGTCAGTCATTTAGTCATCAGTGTAAGGAGTGATTAAGTTACCTACCACACGGAGTTATGCATAGAAACGAAAATAGCTTTTGATATACTGTCGAGATTTTCACACCCTTCGGATATTTCACTTCTCTATAAATGGCATTTTACCTGTGGTGAAGTAATAATTAAAGGAAAATAGTTGTGTAAACAAAAGCTTTCTTCCTTTAATACATTCACTATAATACATATATTAGTGTGATGATCCACTTTTCGTTAATAAAATGGATATCATGCACCACCAGTTGAGCTTCTCATAAGTAAGCAATGGTTTCCAATTTCGTAAAGCGAAATCATTTGAAGGTGAATGTCACTTGCTTTGTTACGTACAAAAATGCGACATACATATTGAATGAAAGCTTATGGATTTGAAATACCAATTGTAATTAATCTAAAGTAATCGGATTTGTCACGTATCTGTACTTATTTTCATACATCCAGAGGTTAAATGTTCGCGCGCGAGACCAATAGGTCGTGAGTTCGAATGCCGCGAAGCAGGATTGCGGATGCGCACACCTGGGGAGTCCCACAGTAGGAAGAAAAGACCGTCCAGTGCTTCCACATTTCCCACGGTGGTCTACCTACAGTTGATTCATGATCTCAACTATCAAAAATCACTACATAATTATTAAAAAGCTTCATGTAAATTTATTCAACCTATATTACCACATTTACAACGATATTCAGTTGAGTATGAATCGGATTGAGAAATAATCCTAAGTGTTGGAAGAGCACTAAAGTGTTATTCTATATCTCATTTTATTAAAGCATAAAAATATTCATCGTGGTAGTAAAACGCTACTACCTATACTTCAGTTCATCCATACATACCCATGTTCACCGGTCAGGTATTCTGATAGAAATGATTTATTAGATTAGAACTCAGTGTTCAACCCATTATCTGAGTGTCAGTGATTTATTCCTATGTAGGTTATTGTGTGGTCACATGTGATGTGTTCGATACCAGAGCGAAATACCTATTAAGCACTGTTTACATGAAATATGCATGCTAACACTCCGAAACATGTTAGATACGGGAAAATAATCACAGTCATTCGTCTATGATTTTAATGACTATGAGTCAGAATAATGAAACATATTTTAGTAACGTTGAATAATTTGATAAAATTTCAGTTAGGGATGAAAATATATGAAGGTCTCTAAAAATATGTATTTAGATCCGTCAGTAAACATTTATATCTAAAATTGAGTTGCACTAAAAGTGAGTAAAGGCATCCCGAATACGTAAGTGGATAATCATTAACATTGATCATTAACAGTGATTCAAAAAGATTATGCCTCTGGTTTGTATCCTAGTGATTGAGGTAATAGTCTGAGATTAGAAATTCGATTGTTTAGAAGTCAAAAGAAAGAACTGTGCTTTCAAAATAACTCGTTTTCATATCAGAACTATACTTAATTCCCTATCATTCAGCATGCAATAAAACGTGAGAATGAATTATTTGCATACTCCTACCCTGCTGAATAGGATCACAATAATGTTTTCCATCTCCCTGATAGCCGTCCAAACATCGGCATTCACCATCAAAGCATTTAGCGTTTATATGACATCTCATACTAGAACACGGATCTACAATTAAATAATTATGATTCATTAGAATGTACACTCAATCTCAGAATCATTTATGTTAAGCACATTTTTCAAAATGGTCTTATCTACTTAGTGATATAATTGAGATTAGCGTCTCAGAATTTGAGCTTCTCAATAATGAACTTTAGTAAAATCTGTGTTTGCGTAGTACCATTAGGAAAAATTCAAAGGAAACATCCGATAGCTAACATATGCATATAAATTTTCACACAATTGTAAAGTCTCTATCCATTCAAAATTAGGGATTTTTATTCAGTCAAGATACAGAAATTGAAGAGATAGGCATTTATAATGTCACTATCTCAACTAAAATTTGCTACAAACATCGGATAAACTTTGATTATAAACATTACACTTATTCCTTAATAAATAAAAGTTATTCAAAACTTATGCACAAATACTCATGCGAAAACATGATGCAGGGGTTTTAGTAATATTTTAAGCTCCTATTACAGTAAATTATCTTTGTATCTTACCACTTTTTATGGATTTACATTCCCAGTAACCATCTCCTTCATAACCTGCATTACATTGACATCTACCATTTTGACAGTTTGCAAACTCATGACAACGAATATTTTGACACTGGTCTGTGTAAAATATAGTAGTTTTAAGAGGTGTTAGTTTGCATGTCAATATTCAATTGATAGATTTATCACCTACATGAATTTGTCGCATCTACGTTTTATATTTAAATAGTTCTAGGAGAATTTTAATGTACACAAACGTAAACAGATGACTGAGACTAAATAAAGAAACATGATTAACGAGAAAGCAAAGAGCGTGTGTTTCAGGAAGGTTTGGGACTGTTCCAATATTATGGACTCAAAACTGTACATGGAGTTATAGCACGGAGCTGTAGGTTTTGTGGTTAGCATGATACTTACACACCACTGAATGTAAACACAAAAAGCCTAACTTTATTTGCATAAAACAAATCTCTACAAACTGCTTAATTAATAACAATCCTGTAGTTTTCAAAAATCACCTTCTAGATGGATTTCCTGAAGTTTGGGTCAGTCATTTAGTCATCAGTGTAAGGAGTGATTAAGTTACCTACCACACGGAGTTATGCATAGAAACGAAAATAGCTTTTGATATACTGTCGAGATTTTCACACCCTTCGGATATTTCACTTCTCTATAAATGGCATTTTACCTGTGGTGAAGTAATAATTAAAGGAAAATAGTTGTGTAAACAAAAGCTTTCTTCCTTTAATACATTCACTATAATACATATATTAGTGTGATGATCCACTTTTCATTAATAAAATGGATATCATGCACCACCAGTTGAGCTTCTCATAAGTAAGCAATGGTTTCCAATTTCGTAAAGCGAAATCATTTGAAGGTGAATGTCACTTGCTTTGTTACGTACAAAAATGCAACATACATATTGAATGAAAGCTTATGGATTTGAAATACCAATTATAATTAATATAAAGTAATCGGATTTGTCACGTATCTGTACTTATTTTCATACATCCAGAGGTTAAGTGTTCGCGCGCGAGACCAATAGGTCGTGAGTTCGAATGCCGCGAAGCAGGATTGCGGATGCGCACAGCTGGGGAGTCCCACAGTATGAAGAAGAGACCGTCCACTGCTTCCACATTTCCCACGGTGGTCTACCTACAGTTGATTCATGATCTCAACTATCAAAAATCACTGCATAATTATTAAAAAGCTTCATGTAAATTTATTCAACCTATATTACCACATTTACAACGATATTCAGTTGAGTATGAATCGGATTGAGACATAATCCTAAGTGTTGGAAGAGCACTAAAGTGTTATTCTATATCTCATTTTATTAAAGCATAAAAATATTCATCGTGGTAGTAAAACGCTACTACCTATACTTCAGTTGATCTATACATAACCATATTCACCGGTCAGGTATCCTGATAGAAATGATTTATTAGATTAGAACTCAGTGTTCAACCCATTATCTGAGTGTCAGTGATTTATTCCTATGTAGGTTATTGTGTGGTCACATGTGATGTGTTCGATACCAGAGCGAAATACCTATTAAGCACTGTTTACATGAAATATGCGTGCTAACACTCCGAAACACGTTAGATACGGGAAAATAATCACAGTCATTCGTCTATGATTTCAATGACTATGAGTCATGATAATGAAACATATTTTAGTAACGTTGAATAATTTAATAAAATTTCAGTTAAGGATGAAAATATATCAAGGTTTCCAAAAATATGTATTTAGATCCGTCAGTAAACATTTATATCTAAAATTGAGTTGCACTAAAAGTGAGTAAATGCATCCCGAATATGTAAGTGGATAATCATTAACGTTGATCATTAACAGTGATTCAAAAAGATTATGCCTCTGGTTTGTATCCTAGTGATTGAGGTAATAGTCTGAGATTAGAAATTCGATTGTTTAGAAGTCAAAAGAAAGAACTGTGCTTTCAAAATAACTCGTTTTCATATCAGAACTATACTTAATTCCCTATCATTCAGCATGCAATAAAACGTGAGAATGAATTATTTGCATACTCCTACCCTGCTGAATAGGATCACAATAATGTTTTCCATCTCCCTGATAGCCGTCCAAACATCGGCATTCACCATCAAAGCATTTAGCGTTTATATGACATCTCATACTAGAACACGGATCTACAATTAAACAATTATGATTCATTAGAATGTACACTCAATCTCAGAATCATTTATGTTAAGCACATTTTTCAAAATGGTCTTATCTACTTAGTGATATAATTGAGATTAGCGTCTCAGAATTTGAGCTTATCAGTAATAGAAAATTTTCTTCCTTTTTTTGTTGGTCTTAATTGTCTGTCCTGTAGCATTCCCGTAGGTTTCAATTCGAACTCATCGAAGCATGCTTGTTTTTTTTGTCCATATCACTTCATTGTAAATAAATGTCAAATTGGGGAACTGATTATCGTCGTATATATTATGTGAAATACCATATTCATAATTTAGAATTTTCTTTAAAATCATATTCTTCTGCTGATGAGCTCTTTGTAAACCATGAAATATTATGAATTCTTTTTTTCTGCAGCCATTTTTGTTCTGGCATTATTTAAATTCATTAAACGAACTGATTGCATGAAATATTTAATAGGAATCTATTCTAAAATTCATTTTTCAATTGAAGTCTGTATTTATATGCACTAAGTCTATCAGCTCTAGTTTTGTTCAGACGTAGGTATATTCTCAGACTCAATTGTTTTTCGTGTACAATCATATTACCGATTATCCTTAGCTTAACTGTATAATGTACATAGAACAGTAAATTAATTATGGAATATGGGAGTGGAAAAATTTGTTTTTCTAACTATGTACTACTTTCCTTACCATCTTGCATTGCATAACAATAATGAAAACCATCCCCTTCGTAGCCATTCAGGCAACGACAGTAACCATTTTGACATTCTGCTTTAGAATGACACTGCACTCCTATACAAGGATCTACAAAGGAGACAAATATTTTAGAAACTTAAAAGGACTATTTAAAACTATTTCTTCCCAATTAGTAACATGCATTATGTGATTTATATTTTAGAACAATGTTTTCATAGGATGTTTGTGACACATGCAGTTATTTGTCTGCTTGAAATAAGTGAATTCAGTTTTAGTCTCTCTATTCCCATATAATAAATAAAACAGTAGTATTTTCGGGAGAACGATGCAAATAGATGGTGTACAAGTTCATTTCATGCTACTTAAAAAGAAGTTTTCATTGAGAAATAATCAACATTTTTCTTGATATTTATTTATGTTTCAGAACAAATTTCTCCATGAAAGAGCATGCTCTTTTATTTGTATAGATGATGTTATGAGATGCATACTAGGAACTGATAAGCTTACCATTATGAACTGGACGACATTCATAATAACCATCACCTTCATAACCGTTTAAACATAAACAACGTCCATTTCTACAATAACCATTAGGATGACATTGAACATTTGAACATGGATCTACCGGTACAAAAACGTTGGAAGTCCAAGTATGTTTGCGAAACCAATAACAATTTTATAGTAAAAAGCCTTATCTATTTATAAGCAGATTTACAGTTTTAGTTTGTGATTTACATGGTCTATTCAAGTGCATTATTAAGTAAACACAATAGTTTAGTATTGTTCAGAAAACAAACCATTTGACAGTATTCGACTATTAGTATTTAATTGTCAGTAAACTGCAAAAGTTCAGAAATTTTCAGATTACACTTTTTTGTCCTATTATCTAATTATTTTTTATTAGGGACAGTTTTATACCATTTTTAATCGCCAGTAAGTCCCCATCATGTTAAAGACACAGATGAAGTTTACCACGCGTCCGATGATAACTCTAAAAATGAAAGATAACTTGACAAATAACCCAGGAATTTGTGTTCTCAGTCAAAAGGCCACCTCCTAGTGTAGTTAAAGCTGTCAATAACTTAATTCTTTCATGAACGTAGAATCTCTAGATAATCATTAAAAACATGATGCACAGAGAAGGAATCTCTTTTCAAAGAATTTGTTAACATGCTGCACAGTCGTTTATATATATATGACTGTATAGCTTACTGATAAATTTGTTAAAAAGAGATCTCTTCTTTGAACTTAGTGTTTTTAGTTTAATTCTTGTTTATTTAGTGAAAATGTGCCATACAGTCAACATGGATCAGCCATTTTCAGTAGTGTAGCCGATCGCTAGTCATTTTTCCAAACCTGCTAAACTAAGAGTACTTCAAACAGCTGAAGCAAAAGCTATTCCAATCAGAAAGCCTGGGTATTGCATCTGAAAGAAAAATATATATTTTATTCTATCAACAATCCTACATTTTATGACCTGTAATTGTAAATGATGTATTGACCTTTAATTAGGTTCTCCCCTCTGTAATATGACTTTGGATTTATTTCATAGTTCCGTTTTTATATATCCCATTTCCTTCTTCTTTCAGTACCCTGTATTACTGTCATAGAAAAACTAAAAAATATTTTCCATTTTATTCCTGTTTTATTACTTTTCAATTCTTTCACTTATCTGCTTTGAAATGTTACACCACAATTATTTACTGCTTTGTTTTATTTTTGACCTCGAGTCTTTTATGGCTTAGAATAATGATTTATTTATTGAATTCATTTACTTATATTCATTACATTCATAATGTGACTATAATTTTTTAATAAAACTCTAATTTATAATAGATTTATAAGCAGAGATGGATGGTGGTTAGCAGTGGAATCGACTATGCTTATTTTGTCCTATTTGGGACTCGAATCCAGCATCGTGAGATTTAAACGCCATCATATTATGCACTTAGCTACTGAGTGCGAATAGCCACTAGCTTGTACAATGGGGTGAGGACTTAATAAATGTACTTGTTATATATGAATAGGACTTTAATATTTTTAAATTGAAATAGTTATGAAGGAACGTTTTCCGATAAACATATTTCCTTTATGTCTTAATGAAAATGATTAATTTATCTACTGAGTTCTTTGAAGAAAACCTTGGTTGTTTTAGTACCAATTCATGTATAATATATTTCGTATCGTTTCAAAAATGATTTTATCATCTTACGCGGCAGCCTTAGTAGTTAGAACGATTAGCCCTACTTTATTTTAGAGATTGTAGGGAACTGTTTTAAGTTTTATTCCTTCTTCGTTACTTTGCCTATAATCTGTTAGCTATTTGAGCGAATGGCAATAAAACAAGTTAGAAGCACAAATGAATCTTTCAGTTTTCAGTAGAAATGCTCTGAACTTCTCATATTTATTCTTTAACAAAGGTTTTCCTAAACCAGTTAAAGACCATCTTTTGCATTTTTAATCCTCGAATTTACAGTGTTTATGAATCCAGTTAAAGAGCATCGCTTTTGTGTGATGTTTCGATAACACTATCAAAATAGTGAGTCCGATTTACATATAAAATAGTGTTTACTTAAAGTTACATTATTTTTGAAGTATAAAGTACACATATTCTTGTTAAAATAAAAGTTATGGATCATTTCAGAAAAAACAGTGTTATAATATATTGATAGTTAATGGTTTTCTTAAATTCGGCACTTTACGATCAATGTTTTCTTAACACTAAAAAAGGGAACCGCATGCAACTGAACATTGCCGTTTAATATTTTCTGAGTTTACGAGCTTATAGATATTTTTATATAACTCGCATGCAGAAAATTCTTACCAGTAACTTTTTGCCTACAATCATAATACCCATCACCTTCGTATCCTCTAAGACAATGACATCGTCCACTGATGCACTCTCCATATTGATGACATTTTACACCAGTGCAAGGATCTAGAGATTTAGAATTTAGAAATAATTGCTTTGTTTTTGAAGCATTAAGTTGAAAGTACCTTTGTTTTTATTTTATGAAATTCAGTAAACAATCCTCAAACAATAAGTGAACGCTGTGTAAACTTATAGTCATAAAAGTAACATAAACCTGGTACCATAAATCAGTTTACTTCAATCAATTTAGATTCACTTTATATTTACCGGGTGTACTTCAGATGTAGAAAAGTAACTGGATCCATACTTTAACAATTTAAAATTACATCCAACAGATATTTATCAAGAAGATATTTACTTCATGGGTAGGTGATTTTTATAAGAATCTAAATTTAGTTCATTTGCAGATGAAACATTAAAGGAATGAAGAATAAAGTTTAAAAGAAAGATTGTTTAGTTTTTTGTATATAATTACTATTGCTAATCTATAATTACAAGCTATTAAGTTACGAAATTACTTGTCATTCTGTGTATCATTTAAGTGTAACTTTCAAGTAGTCATTGTTACACTTTTTGTTCTATCAGTATTTACCGCAAATGGATATTAATATTCCCTACATTATAGGTATCATTACCAAGGTTTGACTTGATAATTTCAAATAAAGTAAGCATTAGGTAGATTGTTATAAATAGTTTAATATATTTGTAATATCCCAGTGAGTAGAAAAATAAGATTTTCTGATGTTTCGTTACTCAGTATAGGTCACTTTTAAAGACAACTAGTTTCTACGAAGACTAATTATTTGTAACACCAATAAATGAAAAATCGAATCAAGTTAATTCAAATATAATTATCAGTATTTTCTTTGTATTGTAAACACATTCTTTAAAATTTTGTGATAGAAATAAAAATGACTATGTGGAGGAGGTTGCCATGTCTATAACAGAACCCGATGTTTGAATTTCTTTTCAATATTTAAAATGTTACAAATGATATACCATAGAAATCAATTAATTAGTGATTTATCTTTTTTTAATTATAAAAGTGAAGTTTCATAGAAATTCAATGCATTAACTCTGTTAGCATTTCAATTATTCATCTAAAATAATCTAAAATAAAATCAAGTATATTCTTTAGTTACTGATTGATTGATCATGAACCGATTGATGTTAGACCACCATTGAAAACGGCCGTTCAGTGCTTCCAGGTTTTCAATGGTGGTCTAACATCAATCGGTTCATGATCTCAATCAAAATCTTAACAATCTCCACAACCCCTAAACTGATAATATAAAAAGTGTAATTCCTAAAAAAGCTTAGCAACTAATGAATGTATTGAGAAAAATGTATTATGCGACTTTAATTATGATAAAATAGATATGCTGGTTTATGATACACTCATATTTCCCAGTGAATATTTGTATTAATTTTATTTAATACAACGAATATAAGAATTAATTATTAAATATCAAATAGGCATTCAGCTAAAAGATCAGCTTCTATGTACAAATAATCGGTAAGACATATATAGATATTTGTTTTTCTGTCGAAAACAATCAGCACTGACAGGGATGTGACTGTTGAATAACTAGAATATATGAAATACTACTTATATGAATGTTAGGTTTAACATTTATGTATAATTACCTTATCATCATTTCTCTCCAATAAATGTTAGGAGTTATTATTATTAGTTTTCACTCATACCATAGTTTAGTTCAACAATGTTTATGTTAATAAACATAAACCTTACCTCTTACATGACAATCGTAATATCCATCACCAACATAACCTCCAATACAGTGACACTGTCCATTTTCACACTGTGCATATGGATGACATTGAATGTGATGACATAAATCTGTAAACAAATACTTTGCTGTAACCTTTTGTTAAAATAAACAATACTACGAGGCGTTTTTTAAATCACTGGATGACATACCTCATGCTTGAGATTATTTTAAGATATGCATACATCATGGGAATTATGTTTAATTGACTTTATAAATCTGATTGTATAATAAAAGTTCAATAATGTGTATTAATCTATTAGAAAAAAATGCCATTGTTACAAACTTTACAAGCAAAAGTATGATCATAACTATACTCAGTAAAACAGGTTTTACAGATGAAATAAATCAGAAATGCTGGGGTTTAATAATCGATCAATACGTAATAGGAAACAAGCTAGGTGTAGGTACATTCATTTGCAATCTTACAGTTTTAAATGTTATTGTTAAGTACAGTATATACCGAATAGTAATGGTAAATACTCTTACTGTATATTGTATAAAGCTAATATGATTAACAGGTTTTTAAAGATCTTAAATGGCTAATCCTACTGATTAGTGTATTGTGACAACATTAATTACAATGAATTCATAAATAATTATTTAATTTCCCATATCTTTTTTTCCTACGTTTTAACTCATAACCCTTCAGTTTAGTAACATTTAGCATAACTTCCATTTGCATTTTCTTTTTAATGGATCACTTATAATATACATACCTTCATTGTTATTTGATTATTCTATTTTAATACTCAGTAACTAACCATGAAAAAGAATATTGACATCATAAATTTTACATAGAACCATTTTTAATATTTTATGATGACTGTCTAATTGGATAAATTTAACGAGTATTAAAGTAATATTGTTATTAGGTTGATTTGTAAGTGAAACCAAAGATTTAAAACAATATATTTCTAATGGCTGTCTGCCTGAATATCTCGGCTATCTGGTCCTGACATCCTAATATTTCAACAAGTCATCTAACTTTGTTTTAATACAACATTATGGTTTGTAGTGTCGGTTATTATGTTAAGCCCATATACCTTATTCTAGCTTTCGGCAGGCCAATCTATTCATTCTACTTGAGTCATATTTTGACCTTGTTCATTATTCGCTTATCAATCTTCACTACTTTTATATGAGCGCGTAGGTGTGTGTACATTTCTTATCCCATTCATCACATGTCTGTTACTTATTTTTGTGTAACTATAAATATTGATTAACGCTTGACTAAATGGAATTAGCTTATCCACCATACCCACTGCGCGTCGTTTCTCTTCTCTCTATTCCATTCGCTTTATATACAAAATACATGTATTCACAAGTCCATTTTCGTTATTTGGCTTATTTAATTCCGTTATTGACTAACGCGGTTTAAATCGATGATTATATACAACGATAGGCGACATATATAGTTCGACAACCATCATTCAGTCAGAACTCGGGCCACTAAAGTGAAGAGCCCATCGACAAATATCGTCCGATCTAAATGACGACAAAATAAAGGGCCCCACAAGTTATTAATCGCATAACCTATTCAGGTGCGTTTCTGAAAAGTGTACAACCTTTCGTTGTATGAGTTAAAAAAAGCTCAATCAGAGATATCGTAGTTGATAGCAATATGCAACGAAAAGAATGTACATTATTTGGACGTCGAATAACTAGACTGTTAACTTCTAACTGGCAATCACTCAATTTTATCATCAGGATCGACAAAAATGTAAGAAACGGGAAATTGTTGAAATACTTTGTGCTGAGAATTATTCTACATTTTACCAAAAATATAATATTGAATAACGCTAATAATAATAATAGTTGATTAATTTAAAATATGATATTCAAAGATGATAGATTTCTACTTTTCTACTATGCTTAGTGTACAATTTAATCATTGATATTATTAATAAATGGTCACTGTGTTAAATGGAAAATGTTATTACACTTAAAACTTACCTCTGACTCAAAATTATAAAAAGAACATAATTTTCCAAGAAATAAGTTGTGGTAAAATACAACAGATATGGTAACTTGCTTAATCTAGTTTATCATTGTAGTGTTCAATACGCAGATTAGAATGAATAGAAAGCAAATTCAATTTTACTAAATAAATACATTTTGTTATCTCTTAGTCTCTAACTTCATCCATTTCCATTAATGAAGAAACATTTATACTTAGAAGAAAATGAAATTAGTAATAAATTTTATTATCAGAATGGGGTTCTGTGGAAATTCTAGTAATTTTATAGTTGAATTCATGAGTCAACTGAAGTTAGACCATCATAGAAAACTTAGAAACACGAGACGGCCGTTTCATCTTAGTATGGGACATTAACACTGTTGGATGCCGGTCAGCTCAGTGGTCTATAGGTTAGACGTTCTCGCGCGAGACTGATAGGTCCTGGGTTCAAATCTCGAGAGGCGGGATCACGGATGAGCATTGATGAAGAGTCTCATACTAGGATGAAACGGCCGTCCAGTGCTCCCAGGTTTTCCATACTAGTCTAACTTCAATTGACTCATGAATTCAACCATAATAATTTTTAGTTTGGTGTTAAGAGAACATAGTAGAAGTACCGATATAATGTGTACAAATCATAAATTCAAGTTATTCAATGACAAAGTTACTTTAAACGATAAGATTCATTGAGTTATAAACATTTTTATAATAGTTATCATCATGTTTCAGTCAGTATGATCATAATCTAGAAAAAGTTTACGAATAAATGAAAAATATTCAATTGGATATGAGAAAACAATAAATAGACAATTTAAATGTTATTTTGACCTTTGGTTACCCGGTAGCAACTACAATCTCTGAGATAACATTTACAAGGTTAGAATATTTGAATAGTCGATGAGAAGATAAAAAATTACCAGAATTATGTGATATATTTGGGTAATGCATTTTAAACAATCTGATCATACATATACTTGTTAAGACACCTTATATGGAAAATAAAAGGTCAACTGGGTAAATTAAAAGGTGAGGGGAACAAAAATAATAAAAATCACATAAAAATAAAGTGAAAACCACGCTAGATAATAAATCAGTATTACATGGGTAGGTTAGGGGTAAAATAACTAAAATACTACATATTTTCTACTCACATGCTAAAAATAGCATTCAGATTTTTACTATTTTCTTTGCTAAGCAAACATTGCAAACCAACATGCTAATGCTTTTTAGTGTATTTTGTAAATTTGTATTTACTCTGTCAACCTACTCACCGGTTTCTCTAGGTCTACACTCTCTATAACCATCACCAATATAACCATCTTTACATGTACAAACACCATTGTGACATGTGGCATCATAATGACATTGTACATGAGAACAAGGATCTATTGTTAGGGTGGTATTAAAATAATTAAAAAAATAGTTTGTTAGTGATGCATACTTAAAACATTTAGTACACATTTATTCTATTTATATGATAGTATTATTAATTTCCGAGTTGATCATCAAAAATAATTTAAAATAAAACTGCACTGTTTCTATTCATTCCCACTGACAAATATTTATCAATTTATGATCGAGATCATGAAGCGATTGATGTTAGACCACCACTGAAAACCTGGAAGCACTGGACGGCTATTTCGTCCTGTTGTGGGACCCCTCGGAGGTGTGCATCCACGATCCCGCTTGTGGGATTCGAGCCCAGGGACTTCAGTATCACACGCGTACGCTTAACCTCAATGGTGGTCTAACATCAATCGGTTCATGATCTCGATCGAAAACTTACCAATCTCCACAAGTCTATACTGATATATACTAATTTAGATGAAGTTTTGTTGTCTCAGTTGGATGGTTTGATCGTTGAGTTTTCATTGTTCTTCTGAATAAATTCACGTAGAAGTGAAGTGTTCGAATTTCTCCTCATATGACTCACATCTTATCCTGTCGATCTCTATTATGATTGGTTATTGTTGAGCTTTAACCTGTCATTATCTACCTCCTTATTTTGATTGTATCGCCCTTTGATCTGATTATTGGTTTTATATTTGTCTTGATTTTTTTGAATGGTTAGAACACTTCATTTCTGTCTGAAATTTTTGTTGATGATGTTGTTCAGATAAACACTGATTGCTTCACAACTAAATCGACCACCTGAGCTACAAATCTTTACTATTTATAAATTTACATTAGCAATTGTTCGTGGAATTCTTGCAAAGATATCTTCTAAGTGAAAATGAATATATTAGTTGTGTGGCAATAGTTTTATGAATGTTAGTATTCAGTTATTAATAGAATCTTAACAGTTACTAAGCACATAATTATGTAATAAGTACTGTAAGAGTAAGAGTATAGTTGCATTATCATTTCATTAATAAAGTGAAAAGCGCATATTTACTCGTTAAACGAAATAATTTCGATTGTATATGTTTAAAGTACAATCAGTCAGAATCATCTTTAGTTTTCGCTTTGATGAACAAAGTAAATTGAGGACACTTTAAAAAGCAATAATAAATCTTAAAAAGAAACTTAAAAAAACTATAGTACCACTGTGATAAATGCTACTTATGTCGACATAAGTAGTATGTAACGCCACTCAGAAGTGGAATGCCTGGCAGCAGAAGATTAGGAAGAACGAATTGAAGAGAATGGGAACAGAGGGTAAATGTTATGGCATTGAAGGAACGATGAAGTTTGAGACAATTAATGGAGGATTCGCAAATAAAGTATTTGCCAATATAGTTTTCACATTTGATGAAAGAAATTTGCGATTTTGTGCTAAAATGCGATTAGTTGTTCTTACATGTGTTCTCGTTCATTACGATACTACTTTAAAGTTCTATAGAGTTACCACCCTTGAGAAAATAAAAAAAACTCATGCTCAATGAAAGACCCGTTATCGTTTATCTACAAGGCAGAGTCACATTTGTTTATATTATAACCTATATGTGGAATACCATTATAACCACAAAGTTTTTTCAAAGAGAATGTGTTTTCACTTTGAAATAGGATGTGTATATGTAAAGTGGGTTAGGAAGAATTTTATAATGGATGAAGAACAATGAACTGCCTCTTTGTTGACAGTTGTGGATTAACTCTTAAATGTATTAACATGATTGAGGAAGGTAGTAAAGGCTTCAAATTTTAACGAATTACATATTCAGTAAAAGCTTCTTTTCATTGATGTATTTGGCCTAGTTATATTGCAGAGTTTCTTCGTTCTTACCTTTTTCTATACATGTTTATCATGCATATGAAAGTTCCTGTATTCTGCCTATACTATGAGAATTAAATAACTACTTTGAAAACATATTTTCTTATTTATTAGAAGTATGCGATCTAACCGATGCACTTAAATTTATCTGTTAGTTGGTGAGTTATTTAATAAAACACTCACTGACAAAATACGCTCCAAACTTCCTACATTTTTTTTGTAAATTTCTGGGATATTTCAATCAAAATATAGGTCTTTTAGTAGTCTTACCCACCTACTTGAATACGGCGACAGTCGTAGTAACCATTTCCTTCGAATCCAGTGCGACACTGACAGCTACCATTAATACAATATCCATACTGGTGACATTGAACATAATCACATGGATCTATATCAGAATGATTATTATAAGTTACAAGCGAACACTTAAGTGGATGAGTGGTGTTTTAAATGTGCAACTCATGAGTAAATGACACCGAGGTAGTATGGCAATATGCAATGTTACATAGCATTCAAATGAAATTCTAGCATAACTTATCGTGCTATAAAATATTTTATATATTATTTCTTTGAGGTATTTATTTTTAAAGCAAGGTAAATTAAGTTATATTTTATAATTAAGTAAAATGGATTATGTATAGAGATATCATATGTTTTTATAACACACCAATTTTCTATCTTATATGATGTCAAGAATATAAACATGCACACATATCTTTTGATAAAGTAGCTGTATGTATAGTCAATCTCCCTGCTATGAACCTATATACAAATAATGAATCCATGCGTGTTAGTGCTTCATCATTTTCTTTTAACTTACCATAATTACGTGGTTTACAAACATGATAACCATCACCATAATAGTCAGGCAGACACTCACATTTACCATTTCTGCATTTAGCATATGGATGACACCTAACCTCAGAGCATGGATCTTGTATAATAATGTTAATGAAAACAAAAATCAAATTTGAACAAAATATGGATTGTATTTTCAACTGATTTTAAATGTTTTATTTGAGAATACGGCGAGCCAATTAACAACAGATTATGCACTAGGGTTGAGACTATTTGAAAGGACGATGACTATGTTTTCTTACATCATTTCTAGTTGTTACTTGAAAACAACCTCAGATCAAAATAATCCAAGGCCTCAGTACATTATTTTTTTTGTTTAAAAGATTCATGATCAGTAAAGGGTCAGAATTTTTATTAAAATGGAATATTTTCTTAATAAACCTTAACTGACTGAATAGTGAGGAGCTTTAAACATCATGTGGTTGCAGTTACGAACTAGAGTAGATTAGAAGTACAAAGTCTTCCTCTGTAAACATTTATTTCTGGTACATAAGCTTACTCAACTGTTTAAGCTTAGTGAGTGTAAAGTTTCATGTAAATAAGATTCACTAAGAAAAAATCTTAGTAGTTATCGCTATTCGCAAATCGGCAATGCTAATTGTAGTATTTCAGAAAAAAATGTTATATTTTAATTGAATGAGTCATTGTTTTTCGTGAACTTTAACCCTGAGATAAAACTAGGCGAGGAGTTATATGCGATCATTGAGAAAGTAAATTTGATCAAAATCAAACTTGAAAAACATAATTATAAATTCTAAGTAATCTTAGGAGTTGTAAAACACCAAGTTAGAAAAGTTATCGTACACAACAAATAGATGGAGATGAGTAACTTAAAAACAAACTAAAATCTGGTCAAATTTATCTCTAAAGAATGGAAGTAGAGAAGAAAGGTATCAATTTAAAACTTATAAAATTGTAATATGAGAACCCTCAGCAGTGTATATCTACAACCCCGTACACGTAACTCAGATGTAGGACGAAACCGAAGGTCCTGGGTTCAAATTAGGCGTATGAGATCGTCGATGCGCAGCGCCAAGAAGTCCAATAACAGAATGAAACTAATGTTATTCACTAAACATAGATTATTACTTCAAAGCTCCACTCACCATCCGATAACTCTGGATCTTTTTCGAACTACTTTCTAAGAAATAATCTTCTTAACCATGGTAGGTTAAGCATGTTGATCAGAGATTATTTGTTAGATGTATGATTTAAGTAGATATAATTAAAGGTGAACGCTTGAATAGTATTAAACTTCTTTTTTTTCGATCTGGATAAATAAGTATTTAGGATATTTATTCATTATAAGGCACATGATCAAAGAAATTTTTGATGCAGAGTTTATAATATTCATGATGTTAGTATGCCATAAAATATATGATTGTACTGAGTACAAACATAAGATGTCAAAAATGGAGTGTAGAAGAATAATATGCACGTCTACTATGTTCAGTATCTTAAAGACAGGTATTCAATAAAAATAGATTGAATAAAACACTTAGAAAATATCTGCATAAATTATTGTGTTATACAGTTTAATTTAGGAAGGCATGCAGACGTACCGTGGTAATGCAAAAAATTAAGTGTTTCTACGTCAAATAATAAATAAACTTAAGAATTTAGCATTTGAAATTGTAGTATTTCTTTAAAAAAAACAGAATGGGAAAGGGCATAGTCGGAGTTTACGTAAATGCACTGTTTCAAAACACAATAACAAGCTGTGTCAAGAATAAAATCACACGAAAGGAATGAAAAAAAGGGATAATCAAGGGAAGCTAACTTACCGTAAACTTCAGGCTTACAATCATAATACCCATCACCTTGAAAACCTTCTACACAATGACATTCGTTATTATAACATTGTGCATTTGGATGACAACGTACTTGAAAACATCGATCTAATAAAATGAGAGATGTTATGTATTCTGGCAAAAAAATCTATCTCTCTCTTTATATATATATATATATATATATATATATTACCCAAAGAAACAAATATTAGAGAGATCTTCGTGACTATTAGTCTCAGATATTGACTATAATGTGTATTATAGAGAGGATTTTTATCGGATATGATCAGAAAAGTAGCTAAAATCCCCAAGTGAAGAAAAAAGTATTGATTATGCAAATAAGACATAGATAGTATTTAATTACGGATATTGTAATCAGAAGACAAAATTATCAGAATTATGTGATATAGTGACGCAATATGTCATATAGGTCTGATGATTTTGTCTTCTTATTACATTACCCAAATTTATCAAAGGGGATTAATTGTTTTACATTTAATGTCGTAAACTCACCTCTTTCTTCATAACATTTGACAACTGGGTCGCCAGTATAACCTGGTGTACAAACGCAAGCACCATCTTGACAGAACGCTTGTTCTCCACACTGAATCCCTTCGCATAGATCAACACCACTTGCTATACATATACCATTTTCACAAATCTCATTACGACGACATTTAGAACATGGATCTATAAAATAAACATAATCGATTTGGTAAATTTTTTTCTGCTAAATAGTGGATAACACACTACGTAACGGTATTATAGAGTTAGGAAATATAAATAATTTACGATTTTGTTTTCGTTTGTTACATAAATTATCTATTTGTTTTTCTTCTAAAAGTACAAGTGCGGTGTATGCCACTTATGTCTGTCGACATAAGTAGTATGTAACACTAATCAGAAGTGGAATGCGTGGCAGCAGAACGTCAAGAATATTTAATTGAGGCAAACAGGAATGTAAATAGAGAGCAGTTTTAATAACAACAGAAATGAAGGACGATGAAGTTTGTAAGAGACAACTGATGGAAGATGTGCAAATAAAGTATTTAATGTTCTTTACACTGGGACTCCTTGATGATATAAGAACTGCTGTGTCACAAATTCATTCATCTACTGATTTGTAGGCAAAACAAGAAAATAATGAGAATCGAAGGGAAAGTAATTAGATCCTCCTATGCCAAACATAATTTGAGAAAAACATTTGTGGTAAACTTCATATTCACTTCTATAAAAATTTCCTTTACTTGATATAGGGCAGTTAAAGTTTCCGTATTATTATTAATCATGGAAATTTGAGGAGTATATAGTAAAACGTTTATTCGTACTAACCTAAAAAATCGAAGACAATTCAGATACACTATTATGCAAGGCTAATACTCCTGGGTATAAAGTACGAATAAAGTAACCCAGGGAACGTTTATTCGAATCATACAGTTATGTGGATATTTTTCGTGATTTAATATCTTTTACCATTTTGTTTAACATAAAAAATTAGAATGGTGTCAATAGATTTGAAAATGTTTATAAATTACATTACGGTATTTCGAATACATGCCACTTCAGGGTCAAACTTTACCACCGTCAAGATTCATAATCAAAAGGATCTCAGACAGTAAATGGAATTTGTAGGCAATCAGGAAGAGATTTAAACCCTCGTTTAGTCCTTGCTGGCATCACTAGCTATAAGTATTATTAACCTTAGATATTTCGACAGTGAATCATTCACCTTTAGATTAACGTTAATGACCGATTATTGAAAAATGTCTAATTACCATACAAAATAACTCCTATCATATTGTTATTATAAGTAACTTCACTCCATACATTTAACTTGGGATATTTAGTTTATTCAAATATTTCTTGCTACAATCACTGTATTATACAAATACTTCATCTGATTTGATGGTAGATTTTCATTGGAAATAAATACAAGGATTTCACAAAATATCATAGTTTTTTTCCAGTTAATATACTACAGCCCACTTATCGTTCGGGAAAATATATCAAATCGAAGACAGAATTCGAAAAAAGGAACAAACCAGATGTTTCAAAATAATAATAACAATGTATTTTCCTGTCCTTAGTTCAATACATTACAACGAAAGGTTTGTTAACCTCAAAGGTATTAATTATATATTCTAAGAAAAGATTACAAATTCTGTACAGATTTCACAAAAGTAAGATTATTTAAGGTGAAACATGACATGATTTGCCTCTAATTATTTCATACATAACTTCTATGAATACTAAAACCTTTAAAATAATATTACACATGAAGAAGTTTTTCTTAAAGGGGACAATTCATTCATCATAGTATGACTATCTGTAACAAAGGGAACAAATACCCTCACAAATGTGGTTTTAAAAGCATGATGTTTAATTCAGTGACTTACACATAATCTATTCGAATGATCATAGAGTGTTTCTTAATCTATTTGTCTTTTAATAAATCATCAGGTCATTTTCATTAGTTGAATTAACTAAAAATTTACTTTTTAAGCAAACAAAATTAGTTTTACTTAATACTGTGACCTAATTTGGTTACCATCTTAGTAAAGATTTAACAAAATGACATGAAAAATTTATTGTTTCGCTTATTCAAACACAGTAAGGGATTTAAAAGACTGTTCATATTACGCTTGCTTATGCTGACCTATAATTCCAATTTAAACATTTAAAAAGTTCAGAGAAGGGATCTCATTTCAACGAATTTAATATCAAGCTGTACAATCGTATATATATGTGAAAATCTTATATTAAAGTATTAGCTTCATGAGGACATATGAACAAGGAATAAATATGATGATGCAATAGAACAATTATGATATTAGATTACGTAATGTGACAATAACAATAAAACTAATAAGCTATCTAGTATAGGGGTTGTGGAGATTATTAAGTTTTTGATTGAGATCATGAACCGATTGATGTTAGACCACCACAATTGAAAGCCTGGAAGCACTGGACGGCCGTTTCGTCCTATTGTGGGACTCCTCAGCAGTGCGCATCCACGATCCCGCGAGCGGGACTCGAACCCAGGGACTTCGGTCTCGCGTGCGAACACTTAACCAATTGGACCACTGAGCCGGCATCCAATGTTGATAGTTTCTAACATCAACCAATCCACGAAATTGCGCGACCAACTTCCGTTGTACTGAGGTAGATACCTGTCTCTACCCGACAAGGATTAGCTCCACTGATCACGGCTTCTCACTAGAACTCCGAGAATTCCCTCACGAAGCTAGTCACTAGTGAGCACATGTTGATTACTAGTATAGGGGTTGTGGAGACTATTAAGTTTTTGATTGAGATAAACGAATTATAGTGTGAATACAGTAAGATGATTAAAATGTTTTTGTTACAATAGTTGAAGGTAATTAAAGGTCATATAGGTGCACATTTAAGTGAAGTTATATCAGAAACAATTATGAATAAAATCATGAGAATATGAGTATAGGGAGAGGGGAATAACAAAATGGAAAAATAATAATAACAGTAATAATAGATTAAAGCCATGGTAACGATAACGATAGAACGTATTTCTTTTGTATGAACAATTCTGGCTTGAGCTAATGGATAGCAAGAGCTTCTGCTATTTTAAGGAGTTGAATATGAAGAAATCTATGTAGATCTGTACGAATTATATACACAAATTTTAAAATCAACCTGTGAATCGATAGAATGAATAGAGTCGATCAGGTGTCCAAGAATAGAACTTCTAACTGTTCTCCTCCCACCTCACATGGATATGTTCTCATATCTGAGTTGAAAGCGAGCGCTGGATGCGGTCTATGTACCTAGCTCCACAAGAGCAGGTGACTTGGTAGATGTATGATATATATATTTAAATGCATACAATTGTGACGTTACACTTGGTTTGTTACGTCATTTTTGGGACTCTTTCAATTGTTTTAAATAAATAAAGATTATTATCAGAAGGGGTTTGTGGAGATTTTAGAAATTTTCACAAATTGAAATCATGAGTCAGTTGAAGCTAGACCAACATGGAAAACCTGAAAGCACTGGACGGCCGTTTCGTCCCAGCATGGGACTCGTCAGCAGTGCGCCTCCACGATCGCGCACCCCACGGGATTCGAACCCTGGGCCTACTGGTTTCGCGCGCGAGCACTTAAACATTAGACCACTTAGCCGGCATCCAACGGTGTTAATGTCTAACTTCAAACAATCCACGAAGTTGCGCCACCGTACACCATTGGTCTTCAGTGAGCTGATATCTCACAACAGACCTGGTTTTAATGTCGCGGGGTGCGAGATCGTGGCTGCGCACTGCTGAGGAGTCCCATACTAGGACGAAACAGCCGTCCAGTGCTTGCAGGTTTTCCATGGTGGTCTAGCTTCAATTGACTCATGATTTCAACCAGTGATTAAAGGTATAGTTTGAAAGATATTTTGTGTATGATATATTTTACGTTATTAATGTTGTGATAACAAAATAAAATGCTTTTTATTATCTCGTTGAGTAGAAAATTGAATATTTCAAGCCTAACAGCTTAGTGTAAGTCACTTCTTTAAAAGATAGATAGATGACTGAATGAAATTACTAATGAACTTATTAAAGTGATGGTTTGTACTGAACCACGAAACGTCAGAATTTCACTTATGTATAATGAAGAAAACAAGGACACAGAATTGAACATTTTAATTCATTAGCTTCACATCAGTTGTTTAAAACCTATAATATTTTAAAATCAAAATGATCGTGAAGTTTACATACTTATAACAGTAAAATTAAATATGTACCATCATGGTGGAATAGCGATTCCAATGAATGTTCGACTATTTCGTTAAATAACAAAGGAATTATCTTAGCTCGATGATCTCTTGTTATTATATCTGATGATCTAGGATCTTCACTCAAAGATCTTTATGTCTGCAACCACATTACATTTATTCGAACCACTATGTTACCACGATGATACATATTTAACTGTTATCAGTAAGCAAATTTGACGTTAATTTTGGTTCTAAAATATTATAGATTGTAAGCACCTGATGAGAACTTAATGAAATATAATGAATTCATGTTATTCTGCTCGACCGCTTGTTCTTGGTAACTAAGTGTATGAACATTCATATGTGTCATTTCAGTTTTAATCAGTACACACTACACCCAACGCCCAGTCTATTTGAGATGATCAAGCCAAACTTTACTAATGATACTAAAGTTCGATGTTTTTTTTTATTCTCGGAAGCCACTTAGTACAGTTGAAGTAGGTTGGAAAAAATCGGCTAATTTTATTTCTTTTAAGGTTCAAGTAATTCAAGCGAAGAATATTATCAGGTTTTGGTATTTTAAAGAACAAATATAATTTACATGAGCTTACGGTTAATTCATTAACCAACTGAAGATATTTAACTAGGTAATATGTTATTTATTGGATGGTTCACATTTCTTAGACAGTATTTTAAAAGAAATAGGCCAAATTCATTTACAAATCTGTGTTTCTACGGATTTTATGGTAACACCTAATGGAAAAAATCTAAGGAAAATTTATGTGCTAAAAAAATGCTAAAGAATCGTAAATTTTCATTTGCAAAAATACAGTCAAACAGAGTTCAACAATATCCCTGTCTAAAAGATAGATGATTTAGTTCACAGTTCAAAATCTAGGGATAATATTGAAAAGTTTATTCTAATTATTTTTAGATGATCATTAACCAGAATGAAAATGGTTGGAAAAAAAGAGAGAGTTAGCGATTTCACACTGTCATTACGAATTCCACGATATTTGAAGTTATCAGGGTGAAACTACACAGATACTATTACTAAATTTGATGTGGAGCTTATAAATAAAGGTATATTGCTTCATTATATAACTACCTACTATCATTCGGTAAACATTACAGTTTGTTTCGTGGCAAAGATATCCAATCGATGATGGTTATTTTAATTGAATAAAACTTTTTATGATGAATGTTTTCAACTGTTTCAATCTGTGATAAGATGTCGTTATTTGGGAGTGAAAAACATCGTCTGATATATTTCTCAGGATAACAATTTCGAGTTGGTTATTCCATGTAAATCTGTTTACTTGGTTAGATGTAAATATTATGGAAGAATGATGGGAGGTTTCGAAATCGTAGGTAGTGTAATAATAATAACTATATATATATATATCAGAATGGGTTTTGTGGAGATTTTTAGAAATTTCACAGGTTGAAATCATGAGTCAATTGAAGCTAAACCACCATAAAAAACCGTCCAGTGCTTCCAGGTTTTTCATGGTGGTCTAGCTTCAATTGACTCATGATTTCAACCTGTAAAATACTTTTTCATCATAATTATTTCCCTCCTATTTATACTCTTCAGACTTGCTAATATGAACTTGTTTTACAATAAAGAGTCCGTAGGAAAACATTCAGATATACAATGAACACATAAACATTTATTATTACCATAATCACTTACTTATTTTACAAACTAATTAAAAAAGCATATATGAAAACAATACGATGGAAAGATAATAAATTTAGGTATATAATAGACCTACAGATGTGTGAAGCAGATGTTGGAGAGACAACTTTCAATAAGTAACTAATGATTTACAGAAATTCTCATGTACAGGGTTCTTCTGCTTCATAAAAAAAATAACGTTCAACAGATGTCAGTCTGATTAATAACTTCAACCATACTTTTAAATACATTTTTGGTAAAAACGTATCTTACATATTTTCATATATGCTACTAGCATTAACAATCTAAAGCTCTGTTACAACATAGATATATAGGGGTTTTCTGTTTTGTATTTAAAGGACGTTAGATAAAATAATTCACAATGTAGTAGATTTTTACTTAAATTGTATTGATGGAAATATAGGTGGATAATTTAAATCATGGATTGATATCACACAAAGAATATAGAGCACTAAACAGATGTTATACTGTAAATTGGTGCTCTTTACAAAATATTGCACATGAACAAACTTAAGACAACTAAGTATTTCAGTGACTATAATATATTCAAACTCTCGAAGCCAGTAGTGTGAATATCTAAATTTCAGATATTACTTGATGATAGATATTAGCATCAACGTGTTTGTTAAATATGCACGATTAACAAAACTGATCTCAAGATAACTTTGATCACGAACTAACACCAACCGAAAAGCCGCTGAGAATTATTGTAAATTAGACACTGAATTTTTGATTGTTACACTGACCGATGTGGTTTCTAAATTAAAATCACTCTCGAATTATTTAAGATCTTGATGAGGTAACCTTTATAAATAATAAAATCAAACAGGAAAAGATGACATTTGTGAAATATATTTTAAGTAAGTCTCTAGCCCGATTTATTTACATAATGCATTATTTAATATGCATTCATATGAAAAGTGTTTTGAAGAAAATAGGTAGCCCAGAGTTTCAAACTCTGTTTATCTTTCTCCCTTGACCTTTTCCGTTTTTTCTTCGCTGTAGCTTTCGGTGCATATTCCTAAAATACGTTTGATTGGGTGTTTTCGAAAGAAGTCCAATAAAAAATAAAGATAATGATTGGTCAATCAATAGTTGGAAAATGAATTCATGAACTGATGTTAGCCATTGGAGACAGCTGACAACTAGCTGTGCACCAAGATCTTGAATTATTTACGACTCATCAGAAAAGTTCATTTCCAACTTAATGGGAAATGATGCTGTCAAGTGAATAAAAATTCTCTCAATCTCATACTTTATTCGTTAGCTATACAATCTTCTATCGGCCTTTGATAAAGATGAGATGTTTACACTAAATAGTAAATAGTTTTATGTTTATACATTTATGAGTATTTATCAGATTTTATCGGCCAAGTTCTCGTATGTATATTAGTCTTAATGACTCGACAACTTCAAGCAAACTTCCAAATTTTTACCTAGTATGATCCCAATCTACTATCACTTTTAACTTTAGTTTGTATACATATTAGGAGACGAAAGTAAATTCTGTTGATCCATCATATCTATATTATTCGAATATATTTACTATGATCATCTATATGGCATGTTCCTATATATATTGTATCGATCAAATCGCAACACTACACGGCATTGTGGAACAATTAGTTGAATGGAATTCATCACTCCACATATATATGAGATTTCTATTGATTATTAATGAAATTATTATAATTAAAATAATGCCGATATGAGTTATGATTTAAAAGTTATCCAAAATGTACTCATAAATACGATTTTCCATAATTTAGACACTGATTCATAACCTTAACTATAGCACCATTAAAAAACTTGGGCGCCATATGACTACCTAATAGAAAAATATCTCATACATATACTTTATGATAAAAGTCATACAGAAACAACATTATACTGAATTATAGATCTTTAATATCTTTTTCCATTAAGAGATAAATACATATTGAACTGTTATTTGTTATAGTTAGTTAATTTTACACTCGGATAAATGATGTATTGCAAATGAAAACTAGACTAGGTGTATATTAATAAAAAAAGTATTAAAGTGATTAGAACGAATTGTAGAGTTAATCACTTGCATCATGATTACTTTTAGGGTAGTATTAGGTGTATTATTTTATTGTATCATTTAGAATACTTTGTAGAATCATATCTATTCTTTCATTTGTTTCAATAAATATAAATGTAACAGAATGTATGAACTACTATAAATATTTATTGTTTTAACTGATATTTATAAATTTTATAATGTAAGTGTAATATAGTATTCATTTTATTAGCAGTTAATTACTGAAAGTGTGTGTGTGTGACGGGGGGGGGCAAGGGTAATTTAATGATAAAGTATTACTCCATTATTCATGGTAATAAACGTGGATAATTTAGAACCAATGAAAATCTTACTATTTTATGATTTGCAATTATTGAAAGAAAAACTAAAAGATTGTAGAGAGAAAGAAAAAGAAACAAGTGGCTACTTTACAACTGTTTAAATGATTTCTCATAGTCAAACATAGTTACTCCGAATGAATTATAACACAACTGTTAATTTGCCTAGAGTTGCATTTCATTGTTTTAGCTTTCAATAGTTCATTATTAAACGATATTTTTTTTAAAAATTCGTATAGATTTTTTAACAAAGAAACTAAAAGTCATTCAGTCTTTCAGGAGATGCAATTCGAAATTTTCTAAACACAGCAGAGTGCTTAACATGTATGAGATGAGTATCAATAATACACTTGAATAAAATCTGCTCTATGTTGTTGATATCATCAAATAGAGAATCAGCGGAATGGAATTCAAAGATTAACAAGTGGTTTATTATTGTGCTTTGCCACTGATTTGGAAGATTGAATAATCTAGTTAAAGGTCAATATCACGTTTATCAGGTGTAAAATACTATTGAAGCTATAACAAATGCATTCATTAATTCTGTGAGACTAATTTTGTGCTACACTAAAACATAACTGGAAAATGTTGTATTCTGAAAGTAGTAATTTTGATGTATTCAACCAAATCTAAGTTATTCATTTGCTTTCAACCACTTTTTTTCTTCAGAAGTTCTTTCAACTACTTATGATTAAACACGAGTATGACCAAGTATTTTTAGCTTTTCATTACATTTCTACGCTTATTTATACATGTTTTACAATAATAATAAAATTATTACTAATGAATAGGTGATGCATCATATGACAATACAGAATACCTGAAACTATTTAGAAAGATAGTTACGAATGATTCAAAATGTAATCGAAATGATGAAGATTGATAAGGTTGTTACAGTGCTCAAAGATATTATTCAACAAATTAATTGATATATACGATGATAAATTTAAACTATTTATTAACTGATAAGAGACCCCTGAAAATTTTGTTCAGTGCAATTTTATTTAACAAATACTTTTGATTAGAGTTTGTTGAAACAGTGGAATGTGATTGATAGTATGGGATCAGCAGGTAGATGAGTATAATTTTGCATTAGTTACTAATTGGTAATCAATTAGTGTAAAGACTGTGAAGACTAACAAAAAGTATAATAGATCTAAACAGATTTGTAAAATTTACATTTAGCTACACTACCTTTTTTTCATACTATTTTAGGTTAAGCTCCACTGTTTTAACCACTTATCAATTACAAAATCGATCAAATAAGTGAATTATAAACACTTTCAATATCAGTGCTTAGGAATAACTAACTTGATTAATATTACTTAATAAATATTAATAAAAGTATGACAATCATTCACAGTGAACTGTGAAAACTAAACATGCCGAGGCCTGTATATGCAACAAGTGGGCTACGATATAGGGCATAAAATATCCTATTTTACATAAAAATACCTTATTAAACAACTGCTATTTTTCCAGCAATTGCACTTTAACAATTTAAGTAATAGTTTTGTTAGTTTGGTAGAATAAGTATTGGTAAATGCATTAAGGTTTTGGGAGAAGATAAAAATGCGCAACGTTTTGTTAAGAGTATATTACATTATTATTAAAGTATATCTTACCACTTTCACAATGGCTAACACCATCTCCTCTGTAGCCAGGTAAGCATTGACAAAACGCTTGATTTGGATCAATACAACGAGCATGGGTATGACAATTGACAGAACCACACTGTACACCGAGATAGTTAGTTACTAAAAAAATATGTATACTAAAGTTAACATTGATATTTAACACATTGAATTAATGAATACATCAAGTTTCAATGTCTTCATAAAAGTAAGTATAGTAGTATGATACTAGTATTATGAACTAAATATCTTTGTTTCTTGTAGAATATATCAAAATAAAAAAAAGTTACGTCTAACAAAATATGACCGACAATTATGTTCAACAGTTAACATAAAATTGAAAGATTTGGAAAGTAGCCACAATAAAAAGAATTTAAACCCATTAAGAAACAATAAATTCATCATACCGAGCATTAGTCATTTAAAACACTGAGAATAAAAAACCGACAAAAATACAATCGAACAGATACTTCTTAATTTAATAGTTGAAATCATGAGTCAACTGAAGATAGACCACTTTGGAAAACCTGCAAGCACTGGACGGCTGTTTTGTCCTATTTTGGAACTCATCAGCAGTGCGCATCCACGGTCCCGCCCCGCAGGATTCGAACCCTGCTCGCATGCGAGCGCTTAATCACTAGACCTCTGAGCCGGCATCTAACAATGTTAATGTCTAAGTTCAACCAATCTGCGAAGTTGAGACACATGTCCATCATTGTCTTCAGTGAGTTACTATCTTAATTTGAAAACTTTATCAAATGGAATATTTCTATATGGTTGAGTAAAATATCATGTGGTATAAATAAATTAATATATTTGTAATATCCCAATGGGTAGAAAAATCAGATTTTTTGACGTTTCGTGACTTAGTGTAAGCCACTTCTTCAAAGAATAAATAACCTGTTTTTTTGATTGATCACACGTAATGTTCTTGTGTTGTTCCTTTGTATTGTTTAAACTTGGATTAATTTTGATTGGGTTATTTGTTCTCTGAGGACGTGGCTTACATTGAGTCACGAAACGTCAGAAGATCTAATTTTTCTACACAGTGGGATATTACAAATACATCAATGTATTTATAACAATCTACCCAATGCTCCATTTATTGAAAATTATCAAGTCAAACCTTGGTAATGATACTTATATCATGGGTTATGGTCGAAATCTATGGACTGTTTCAAATGACTGGTAGCTATTTGAAACTATTTAGGAAACAAGTTAAAAACTGACCCTTTAAATTTGAACCTCCATTTTTTTAAACACTAGTCCGATGAATTATCATTTAGTTCTACTCATGAACCTATATGAGTCAACCACTTTATTGTGTAGATCAAACTCAAAAACATAAAGCTTTAAGCAGAAATAATTAATACTTATTACGAAATATGAATGATACAGTATAAAGCCGGCGGAATTATTATTTAACGTAAATGATTACAATGAAATAAAAATATCCTAGCGAATAATTCATTTATTTGTTTGTTAATAGTTAACTTACCATCCGCCAATGAAGTAGCTTATAACACCAAGTGGAATCCATGAAATAAAATGAATAAACAAGATACAAATTTAAAACAGAAATATAAGAAAATTCTTTTAAAAAGGCTTAGAATATATTATTATTAACTTCTCAGTGAAGTAAAATATTTCGTCACCTTTCAGAAGATCCGATAAAGGTTTTGTCAGTTAAAAAAATATTTTTCTCGCTAACATACTACTGACACTGTTCATCACTGATTTAGCAGTAGTATCACTAGTATTTGATAGCTTCATATTTTGTATCGATTCACCACTTTCAACAAGTTAATGGATAGCTTGACAATGTTTTTTCACTTGCTCAAGTGCATTTCATTTATGTTCGCTATTTTTGTAAACCACAAGCTTTATTTGATGTATCGGAGTGCAATTGTTTCGATATAAAACTTTAATTTCAGTCGTAAAAAGATATATAAGAAACCGGATAAATCATTTCGGACATTTTGAACAAGAAATGAAAGAGTTATCGATAGCGCTAAAGCGAAAATAATTTTTTATTGATGTCGTCTAGGGTAAGGATTTTTAAGGGACATTTAAGATTTACATGATAGATTTTGAATGAACAGATATTGATAATGTCAAATGTGTGCACAACATTGTCAATAGTGAGATATATATTTTTTGAATTGTAATCAGAGGGATCGTAGAGACAGAGACAAATCTGTTGGGGGTTAAAGGTCTACACAGAAAGAAAGAAGGGAAACAGATGCTTGTGAAAGAATAAGGCATGAATAAGATTGTTTGATGTCCAGCCTAGAAAACAATTAATTTCAAACGACTATTGATAATCTACACTTTTATAAAATGTGCGTGGATGATGCCTTTATTATCTGTGACAATAGATATAGTGTGAATCATCCTCTGAAGACATTTAATAACTTCTACCCGGCAATAAATTTCACACGAAGTTGAAAACAAATAAAATGTTCTCTTCCTTGATGTAGAGATGACACGAAAACATGACAAAACTCTGAGATCTATCTACAAGAAACTCTTGTGGAACAGCCAGCTTTCAAGTTTTCACAGCGACTTTACGAATAGTGTCCTCCAGCCGATCAATTCTCATCAATAATCTTAAGAATAAATGATTTCATTTGACCGATTCTGTGTGTGTTTATCAGTTTATCTGTTCATATGGAGCTAGGTATATAGATTTTTCAATGAGTCTTTTATTCAAAAAAATCGAGAACATTAACCGGCTTGGCCGAAAAGAGGTGGAAATGGCTCAATATGAAGTCCAATAACCGGACATCTTGTGAACACAGGTCATCCACTCAAAGTGGATTTCACGTTCAAAGTCATCTACAAGGTAAATAGAAAGCTGCCAAAGGAAGTTATATTCCATCTTCCTAGTATTACTGAAGCACTTGTTAGACATCTAGAAAAAACAGAGTTAAGTGTCCGAAAGAAACTGATACAACTTATTCTTCTACTATGGTCTCAATCTCTTGTAAATCTTTTCTTTCTTGATACTTCTTTCACAGACATTTTATTCCTAAATGATTTGTCTCTTTGATCCCCCAGATTACAGTTCATCTCAATTTCAACATGTTATCTTATCACACCGATCCTTCCGTTCCCAATTATAATTTCATTATCTATCTTCATGCTCTCAATAACAAAATTATTCCTTGACTAATATTCTCCTAAAAGTATTTCTTACAGAAAAATGAGTGATTTATATGTTGGTTGGAATTATAATGAACATTTTGAACAAGAATTTTCAGTGTATACTCATACTAGTATAGGTAGTAACAAAATACCGGATCCTGTATGCAGTAATTTTAGATGTTTTAAATGTCAAGAAATCGTTTATTTGTACACGAATTGAGCGAAAGATGAAACTTTATTGATGCTAACGATTTTAAATTATTTCCGTACATGATAATGCGAAAATACTAAAATATACATCACTTGTTACGATATGCTGAACTTCTACTGTTTTGACATGAGTAGGGCAGCAACAGGTTTAAAATTATTTTTTGTCATCGTTCAGCTCTATACCGTATATTAACCAATTCATATTACTTATTCTTGATCCGGAAGTTCGGTAAGTAATTCGACATTCAGAGATAAGTTGTCTATGGTTCAGCTTGATGGATGATTTGGATAGGGCTTAGTAGTATTTCAATGAACCTACTGTAGAAAATATATTTGCTTTTACCCAGAACTACATTAAAAGTGAAGTTTATTGAACTAGAAATAGGAGTATCATAAGTCTTTTTTAGATGTACTGAAAGCACTGAAAAATATTACGAAATCGAAGACTAATACAGACAGTCATGACAAGTGTCACTAAGGTTACTAACTAATTAGGGTATCTTAACTAAGTCATTCCCTGATTCTGACTAACTACGTTTACTTTGATTTGACACTTCAAAATTGTCGAAATTAAACTTCCAAACACAAACTAGGGCATTTTGTCTTATCTTGTTGATTACTGATGTTAGTTTTAATCCCTAATTTACTTAGTTACTAACGCCCGTTACTCCCGATGGAGCATAGGCCACCGACCAGCATTCTCAAACACACTCTGTCACACTCTGAATTCCTTTCCAGTTCTATCCAACTTTTGTTCATTTTTCTCATGTCTGCCTTCATTTCTCCGCACAATGTGTTCTTTGGTCTTTCTCTTTTCCTTTGACCTTCAGGATTCCATGTGAGGGCTTGCCATGTGACGCAGTTCGGTGCTTTACTCAATGTGTGTGTGTGTGTCCTATCCACTTCTAGTGATTCTTCCTCCACTGGAATCTGGTTTGTTTTCTCCCACAATAGTTTGTTGCTGATAGTGTTTGTCTAACGGATTCAAAGTATTTTGCATAGAAAGCTGTTAATGAGCACTTGTATCTTCTGGATGATGGCTTTCGTAGTTCTCCAGGTTTCCACCTCATACCGTAGAACTATTTTGACATTTGTATTGAAGATTTTGACCTTGGTGTTGGTTGACAATCGTTTTGAGTTCGAGATGTTCTTCAGTCGTAAATATGCTACTCTTGCTTTGCCTATCTGTGCCTTCACATCGGCATCAGATCCACCGTGTTCATCAATCATGCTGCCCATCACACATGTAAAGGTTTTTACATCTTCCAAATGTTATCCGTCAAGTGTGATTGGATTGTTGCATGCTGAGTTGTATTGGAGATTCTTGCTTTTCCGTTTATGTATGTTGAGACCTACTTCTGCTTCTGCTGCTGCTGCTCCAGTGGCCGTCTTCTCCTGCCTTTGTTGTTGCGTGTGCGATAGAAGATCCAGATCATCTTTGAAATCTAGATCGTTCAGTTACATCCTAGCTGAACACTTTATCCCATGCTTCCCCTCAGATGTTGACGTCTTCATGATCCAGTCGATCACCAGGAGAAAGTAGAAAAGTGAGAGTAAGCAACCATGTCTGACACCGGTCTTTACCTCGAACGAGTTTGTCAAGTGTCCTCCATGCACAATTAGCTTTAATCCATAGAGTACTGTATTCTAATCTTCAATATTTACCTGAATTAAAATGTCACGTTTATAACTGGCTGTGCAAGACGCTCCAAAATACATGCGCTTTATATATTTTCTACCGGATTTCGTTTCGCATTAAAAATAGAGATTACATTCCAACTTCCAACTTATATATATCCCAAGATATTAATAAATCCGATTTTTCCTTTCCCGTTTACATGGTTTTAGGTAATGGTCTGGGGGCTAAGATCCAAAAAAAGCATAACTTACCTTGACATGTATTGTCAGGCATTAACTTCAAGCCCTGACCACATTCACATCTATAACTCGCGCCCTCTGGTCGACACACTTCACCATGACGATCACACGTTACACAGTCACAAGGACCTGAAATTGCATGAATAGAATTTTATAAAAAGTTTAAATAAAACTTATCTGGAAACACATTAAACGTCATAGAGAATCGCATCAAATTTAAACTAACGCAAGATGGATTAATTCAGCTTAGCGAGTCAAAATTAAATTACATTACTTTTATAATACGAACATGAGTTTTGATTCAACTGAACTTTTTCGAAAACCGATTTATTCATATAAATAACTGATAGAAAGGAACATCTTAAAATAAGTAGTTTTTCTACAGGGCAAACTGCTGCTTATTCTCAGAAACAAATGAGTTACAATTCCTTCAGTATTCCACCATCATAATTTACGATTCACTGCTGAATCCACACACTAATCAATGCTAGACCACTATTGAGACCTTGAGGCACTAGAAGGCCGCTTTATCCCTATAGTGGGGCTCCTCAGCAGCTCATATCCAATACCCTGAACTCGGAAGTCAAACCATGGACCCAGTGTCTTGCACAGACGCTTTACCTATAGACCACTGAGAATTCAGTGATATGATATGTAACAATCCATGAGCTTGGTCAAACCTTCATTCGTGCCTTGCGGTGGGTAATTACCTCACACCTGACACGGATTGAACTCTACCGATCCCAGCTTCTCACTAGAACTCCAAGAGTTACATAATGAAGTTAGTCACTAGTGAGCACATGATTGTGATTAGTATGGGGGGATTTGTGAAGAATGTAGTACTTTCACTCTTGAAATTACAAAATAATCTTAATTAGACTACCTTTAAAAATCGCGATTTCAAGAGTGAAAATACTGAAATATTCGCAAATCCCTTATACTGATATTCTAATCATACACTACCATCAGGAATCCATATAAATTTCCATATGTTCAAGGCTTCATCGAATTTCAAACCAATTTGATTGTAAGTCGGAGATGAGGTTTACATGCTATACAAATACATAGGGAATTACAAGCAAGGGATAGATAATGTACCAAAATTACTGAGAAAATAAATAAGTTTCAAGTATGATATGAGAGCAGGTGATAGACATCCATCTATCTATAAAGTTAAACATGTTTACAATTGATTAATTACTGAGTAGTGTTATATGTCATGCTTGTCCTGTCCACTACCTCCAATCATTTAACAGTCAAATATGTCACAGGGTTGCCATTTGTTCAGCCACTGTGGTATTGTATATAAACAGCATGGCAAACGTCTTTTGAAGCCATAGTTATACAAAAATTGAATCCACCTTGGATGTTCGGAAACTATTTATACTTACACCATACCCAGTTTGATTAGACTAGTTTAATTATGGTATCCAGAATTATATAATTAACGTCGTTTTTTCTTACTGTCATTGTTTATTTTTATGCTTCCACTTGCTTAGCTTCGTCTTTAGTTCTCATACAAGAATCTCAATAGGTTATTATATGATTAAACTGTAAGAAAAGTGTTGAGTTAATATATTTCATAGGTCTGTTAAGCTTCGTCTTCTCACTGTACAATATGGTTTAATCCAAGCGACTAATTGTTGTTAATCCCAGTAAACCTTTATTGACTATTTTTGTTGTGATATAATAATAACATTTGCCTAGTAAGCATTTATTCGATCTATTCAATGTCATTTATTTTCTAATTTTTATATAAATTTTGATCTAGATGAAGTTTATTAATAGGGTTCAAATGAAAATCTCAGATTTATGCTTTTATATCACATCACACAGAGACACTGGTAACATTGATGTATAATATCCATTTATGTTAGCGTAGATGTGAAATTACATCAGCTTATCAGTGGATAGATTTTTTTCCTGAAAATTTCATGACTATCTGTGATTAGATTTGTAAACGGTCACATCAGATATTATACTTTAAGTACTTGTAATGAAGTTGATGAAAGTGGACAGAAGTTAAATCACGAAGACTATGAAATTGTGCAAACATTTTTTTATAACACAACTAAAAATATATTAATTAAAACATACTTGCTTTAACAACGAATTTTATTTAAACTTACTTGGTTCTGTAGCTAATAATAAAGGTTCGTCTACACAGAACAAATTACATGTGCCATCTGGTGATGAACAATCCTCACTACAGTAACCACGATCTTTGAGACGAATATAATACGATTTATCCCTAGGTATAGAGCTGACTTGTTTGAGCAAGCAACTTTCTGACTCAGCAACAGCAGACCAGCGTACATTAATTTCTTCAGGAAAATTACTTATTTCATTTGAGTCACGATGCTCAACAATAAATTTAACAGTTTGCTCAGGAAATACAACACGTCCATGATCATCAATTTTATAATTAGCGTAATACGTTTTATCTGGCTTATCAGAAGCACTGTAAGCCTCTATATAAGACTGATCGAGTAGGTTTAAACTTTCTGTACTGAACGCCTCTAACTGTATTACACCACTGGCGTATGCTCCTGTTGTGAAATCGTGTAGCTCAAGTACGGCTTGAATTGTAAATTTCCCAACTCTTTCAATATCAAACTGGAATAACACTTTGAAAGGACGTTGTAATCCATTTCCTAACGTGAAAAGATTATAAACACGTTCACGTTTTGGAATATTTTCACAAGGACTAGAAACCATTGAATTTAAAATATGAAATACAGGTGTAATTAAACGCATAGTTGAATATATTCTGTCGTTTGTTCGGCCACCACGAATTCCGCTAGAACTGCGTCTTAGTGAACCATGTTGAATATCCAGATAGATAAGCAGAGGTGAACTGGTATTCTCAATACCAAAGCGTGTGGTTAGGGAACCAGAAAAAGAAAATTTATGATCATTGACTGAAATATAAAGAGCGAAGGAAACATATATTATACAGTGTACAAATATTTATCATGAATTTGTAATGTACAAAGCAAAACAAAATCTTGAAAGATTTTAGCTTTCATTTTCAATAAAAGCCTACGTATGTACGACATGAACATTACTTCATAATATATATTTACATATTTTGTCTTGCTAGTGTGTCTTTCTTTACGATTAGTTTACTACAAAATTTTCCTAGGTAACTAGATGAGTAATAAGGATACCATAATACAAACTACATTGTACAATAAAGACATGATGTAGGTTTTATGGTCGATAACTTAGTGTTAAGAGTTATTGATATACTCAGAAGTCTGATAAATCTAAACTACGACTGACCCATCCAAAGATCTTATACACATATAAATTTGAAACTAATCAAGTAGTAACTAAAAACAGCTTTCTAGTTAATTATTGTACGATAATATTCGGAATGCTAAACTTATATAACATTGTGGAAGTTTAATAAAGTCCAATTCTATGTCGATAGTAAACTTCTTTGACAAATCTATGTAAATTTTTAAATTTAAATGAAAGTCAACGGGAATAACTAGTAACTAGCATTCAGAAGAAATATTCATTTATACGCTAATATATAAAGAATACTGATAGGTTTACGTCATTTAATAAAACTGGTGAACACGTTCAGTTGCTTGACCAATAAACAGAAGTCTGGAGCTATTTCTAAAAGGCTAAGCAAAGAGGGAATAATTGAAATGACTATCAGTGTTAATTCATTCAACAAGTTCAAGAATACGCATGGTGTAGCTTCGATAGACCCACATTTACAATGATGGTGGAAACAAATACATTTTATTGTTACCGAAATCAGTGAGATATTATTCTTCAATTAACATTAATCTTAACTTCAGACATGCACTAGTTGTCCGAGAATTGTATATTCAAACTGAGCAATTTAGGCATATTCACTACTATCCACAAGTCAGAGGGTTCAAAAATGTAGACTATGATCAATTAGTCAAATAATAAAGCACTATATGAAACAATTTAAGCTAGTTAACTGAAAAACGTGATCCAGTAGGGTTGGATTGTAGTAACTGATTTCCTTGCATTTTTCATACATTATCAGAACTATTGATGTTAAGATCAATATAATTTACGAAAATATTTGCTAGTTTTTGTCACAGACACATCAAAGCATTGTAGAAATCTAGGGTAGTTAATTACATTCTGACTGTGTATCCTAATTTTTACGAGTAGTGATTTGCAATTCATTTGAGATCATATTTATTTAACCAAAATCTACTTCAGCTGTGTTAAGAGTTGGAAGTTTAAAGGGTGGTTACTTTAACGATGGACTTTTTCCTGACAGTTGTTAATTCGAAACCTCTTGGCTCAAAATTATTATAGTGTCATGAAAATAGACGTCAGAGAAGTTATAGGCTAAAGTAAAATAGTTGTGTGACGTGACGAATAGACAAAATTAAATTTTGTTACATTGTGAGTTTTGTTCAACATAGCATTTGTTTTTAAGTCAATATGATGATTATTCGTTTTACTGATAGGGTGATATTTTACCCACCATATGATAGATTTATTTCAATATGGTATTTATTCAACCGGGTCAGTTGTGAGATAGCAACTCATTGATGACAATGGTGTGTGTTGCTCAATTTCGTGGATTAATTGAAGTTAGAGATTGACACCGTTGGATGACGGCCAGCTCAGTCAATAAGCGCTCACGCGCGAGACTGATAGGTCCTGGGTTCGAATCCTGCGAGCGGTATCGTGGATACGCACTGCCGAGAAGTTTCACAATAGGACGAAACGGCCATCCAGTGCTTCCGGGTTTTCCATGGTGGTCTAGCTTCAATTGACTCGTGATTTCAACTATTGATATAAATGAATGTATTTCCGACTAGGGTTGTTGCGTTTTGAAGGGGTTAATTATTCACTCGTACCAGTCTTTTGTGTTCATATTTTACGTCTCGGGGATTTTAATGTTTCCTTATTTTCAAGCGTAATAGGGAGACGAGGGTATAAAAAATATCTTTCAATTTGTGCATGGTTTAATTACCTTTACAGCTGATGTCGGCTTAAGATTTAATGAAACACTATCATGTACATTTCATGAGGTCGCTTGAGTTTCCCAAATACGTATAAAAATTTTTAAACATAGATAGTCCAAGGAATAAAATTTATATCGAAAACCTACCAGTCAATCAATCATAAACCTCATCAATCTCGGGTAAGGAGTGAAGTACTTTGCCTTCAATATAGTTCTTAATGCGGTAAATCAAGTTATTTCATCACGTTCCGATAATACTTTCAGATTTTCACATTAGAAAACTACCTTACAGGTATTTTAATACAAAGATTTGAAAAAAGAGTCTAATTGGAAGACTAGTTCATTTATATTTGACTACCGAGTAATGATATGAATATCAGCGCAAATTTTGATCGCTACTTTGCTATTTCGAAAAATTATTAATATCACACAATCAGATTGAGTAGTATGTAAACTTAACATATAGTTATAATTACAGACCAAATTTGCATTACATAACAAAATGCACATATATATATATATATATATATATATATATATATATATATATTCAGTAACAAGTCTTTCTAACCTTCGGACCAACACTTGGCATCTCCTGCACCGTAAAATCCATCACTGCATACACAGCAGGCAGAGTTGTCAACTCGATAGCATTCTGTGTTATGACTATTACATTCACTAACGGCATCACATTTCACCAAACTATTTGAAAACGTTTCATTCACGGATTTGTACTCTCCCTTATTATCGATTATATCTTCTTCACCATCATCGTCATCACCCAACGGGTGTATAGTGACTGGTACAATAAGAGCTAATGTAAAATAAACCAATATGTCATGATATTATCAGAAACTCATCATTTATGAATAAACAAAAGCATTAGGTATTAGTTAGTGAATAAAGTAAACCATGTAGAAAATCAGTTTATAGCCGACGAAAGTAGAGACGCATCCTAGTATTAGAGATAATGAACACAGTACTTAGTAAATTATAATAAATTTGTCATAAAGTCAATCTCATAGGATTTTTGTGCACATCTATAAATGAACCAAAATGATTCAAATAGAATTATATTTCAAATGAATTTCCCTGCTTATATTTACAGTTGTTATGATGAATTAATTAGTTTAAATATACATTCACCATAACAAAATGATAAAGTTATAGCAACTATCCTACAACCAATTTCGATGATGGTTAATTTTGGTTAATCCCTTTTATTAACTTACTTAACAAATAACATCATTTGAACAGGAACAGTTCGCATATTTCCTTGTATCGTTATGATCACTAGAGCACATGACAGACTATCTAAAATGTTGATTGCTTAAGTATCACTCAATGATTCATCCTCCTCCTTACTTACTCACTTGCTTACTTACTTACGCCTGTTACTCCTCGTGAAGGAGCATAGGCCACTCACCAGCATTCTCCATCTAACCCTGTCCTGGGCAATCCTTTCTAGCTCCTTCTAGTTGTTATTCTTCCTTCTCATATCTGCTTCTATTTCCCGACTTAATGTGTTCTTTGGCCTTCCTCTTTTCCGCCTTCCTTCAGGATTCCAAGTTAGGGCTTGCCTCGTGATGCAGTTTGATGATTTGTGTAATTTATGTCTTATCCATTTCCATCATCTTTTCCTAATTTCCTCTTCAGCTGGAAGCTGGTTTGTTCTCTCCCACAAAAGGCTATTGCTGATGGTATCCGGCCAATGGATGTTGAGTATCTTGTGTAGACAGCTATTTATAAATACTTGTGTCTTCTTGATGGTGGTTGTTGTAGTTCTCCAAGTTTCAGCTCCATACAGTAGAACTGCCTTGACGTTGGCATAGAAGATTCTTACTTTGATATTGGTTGAAAGTTGTTTTGAGTTCCATATGTTCTCCAACTGTTCTTCAATTCATCCTCCTCTCTATGTATATCTGTACTCAAATCCTATTATTAGCCTTTGCCTTGCTGTGCCCTTAGTTAATTTGACCATAAATTTGCCAATGTGATTGCTCATATATACTTATTCACCTTTCCACTTCAAATTCGTTCGGTGTGCTTATAGCGTTGTGATATACGTTATCCCCTAATAAATAGTAGTTGCCGCTTCTTATTGCCTTCTGATTTTAATCACCGTTGAGATTTATATTATAACGGTTATCGAACTGATCGATTAACAAAGCAAAGCCACTACAAATTCGAATTCCAGCAATTTACATACATTAGTTGAGCATGACAAATCGAAATCCGTTTTTTTTTTAGATTTTACGCAATAAGTGGTGCTATGGATATCCGATTAGTATAATTTTTTTCATCATAATCATTTCTTCATTTCGTATTTGTGAATTATCAGCTATTTTCGGCGGCCTATTCTCCATTGGGGGTAACAGGCGTAAATAAATAATTTATTATCTTTTCATTAATGGTTATCATTGAAAAATCCCTATTTATAAAAAGATTTACAATAACCACTGAAATATTGTTCTTTTTAGAACAACAGTCTTTCTAATGAAACATAATGTGAGTTAATTTTGATAGTGTTGAGATTTTACTAGTATAAAATTTTGTAAAACTAGTAATTTGTTATTTCCGTTGAAAGAATACCGTTAAGTTGAACACAGATATGACGTAATTATATACGTTCTTATGTTATTTTGATTAATTTCTAGTCCTTTATCATATGTAGAATGAGAAGTGATTTCATCATTTGGTATATATCCTAGAAAAATATCTCCTAGTTATTTACGAAAGAGATTAGGGTTCCCAATTATAATAGACTTAGGAGTTTAAGAGAACAGATAAAATTGGTGCACATGTTGTTATAATGAAATTACAATATTTACTCACGTTCATGTATCTCCTGCCTTTCCTCATCTCCATCATACCGACCCAAAGGATAGTAAGTTTGTGTCGTAATTCTGTCTGTGGGTGTGTACTCTTTATTATCAACAACAAATTGATTACTCTCATGATAAAAATTATCCCCAGTTTCATTCTCTGGTAGAATATTCACTTCATTTTGATTAATCGGATCAACACCTGAGAATTCAGTTTCATCACTTAGGATATTCCATGCAGCTTTTGGTACATTTTCAGTCATTCCATAACTATAGTCATTTGATGAGACGTTAAGGTCATAATCATCAAAGCTTTCCAAAGCTCTTTTAAAACTCTGTGTTCTAGCAATCGTCTCTTCTGATGTATTGTCAATGTTTACATTTTTAATGACGACTGTATCAGATGGTGTTTCATTATTTGATTTATGTGAATGAAGTGAACCCTCACAAACACTTGTCAAAGATGTAACAAATTCACTGGCAACTGCACTTAAATTCTTAACATTTATTTTAGCTATATTTTCCGATTTGTATAAAGGAACAAGCCATTCTCCATGTAGGGCTATGTTTGTTTCACTATGATGAAAAAAAATAAGATAAAAGGTTAATAATTCTGTTTAGTGACACATGAATAATTTAAGATACATTTTTCATCAAAACTATTTCTGAAGTGTGGAATTAAAATATTGAAGATTAAATAGAAGAGTTAGTTTTCATTTAATAAACAAGGAAGTATACAACTGGGACCGAATAACCATCAAGCTCTTATTGTCTTCAATGTTTCTCCATCAGCTTATAGTATCAAACCACTCCACATAACAACAATAAAAAATTTCTTCATAGTTAGTATTTTGTCTAGCTAAGTGTTATTTTCAACATAAGTAATAAATTTTACAGAAAAATAACGATTTAAATAGAGCAAGAACAAAGATTGGTGCAGAATAATATGAATTCATTTTATTTCGTTAGGTTCTCATCAGCTGCTTACAACCTAAATTATTTGAAATTCAAATTATTACAGTTCAACGTTCAGTTTATAAGAAAGACACATGGAATGGTAGTTATCTTAATTTCAATAGCTTTTGTTCAATCAGTTACAAAAAGGCACTGGTCAAAACACTGTTTCACAGAACAGAAAGAATATGTACTTCCGATACACTAGAAGAGGAAGTTATGAATGTTAAAAAATGTTTAAAGAATAACGGATACCCACTGAAATTTATTGAGAAATACGGCAAATGTGAAGATAAAAAACCGAAAGAAATTACAGCAAATAAAAAGCCTATTTTTATTCAACTTCAATTCAAAGGTGACGATGTCACAGGATCAATCAATATGAGACTAAAAACTGCACTGACAAGAACTTATCGTGCAGCGAAATTGATTGTCCTGTCCAAAACAACATGTTCTTTGACACAATCAAAGGTCGAAAGGTATCCCTTTCATGTTACCACCAACTGTGTATACAAATTTACAAGTGCTTGCCAAAGAAGTTACATTGGTAGAACAGAAAGAAGAGCCTACGTCCGATTCAAAGAACACATTCCAAAAAGTTTAAGGTTAAATGGATTGAACGCATTCAACAGTGCTATCGCAAGACATCTCCTTGATGCAGGACATGAAGTTGATATACTGAAGTCCTTCAAGGTGATTAACAAACAATCAAACTCGAACCTTTTGAAATTCGCTGAAGCGTTAGCAATCAAACGTTTAAAATCAGATCTATGTATACAAAAAGAGACAGTAATAAATCTTTCTTTACCCTGGTAACAATAACCGCCACCCTTTCTATTCATTTGCTCCTATTTATTTATTTATTGCGTCATTATTGCAACTCTTTCTGAAGTTTAAATTACATCATACATAAATGATTGATTTCAATTCATATTTTCTTTATTACCATTAATCTATTTTCATGAGTTCTAATCACTATTTCAATGTTCCAGAATTTCCCCTCTCTAACTTTATTTATTTATTCGAATCAAACATTTTATGAGCTCATTAACTCTATCTGAATCTTTGCTACATCATCATACACATGTATTGACCCTTCATCACACTCTTATGTATAAATATGTCAATATCTGTAATAATTTTGAATTTCAAATAATTTAGATTGTAAGCAGCTGATGAGAACCTAACGAAATAAAATGAATTCATATTATTCTGCACCAATCTTTGTTCTTGCTCTATTTAAGATAATAAAGGGAACTATGTGTATGAAATAACGATTTACATAGTTTTGTAAATTTTCACACAAAAAGTGTATTAACCAGAATCGTACTTAAGTATTAACAAAATTTCCTAGTTATTAGGAAAATCCTTTAAACTATCCAGTTACTGAAGGACCTTAAAAATTATACATTTACTGTTAAATATTTTAATGTATTACTTACGTTAACCATATATTTGGTTCTACAGCTTGAGAACTTCTTGGCAACTGATAACCTCCAAAAGGTCTCATAAATATACCAGATTCAGGTGGTAAAGCTAGATTCTCTGCGACATCATTTTCATTCCACTCAATTTTTATGTATTGCATGAAAGCGTAAGAACGTATTCCATTAGAAATTATTATCATTCCATACGTATTAGCCTGTTAAGTTAAAAAAAAGCCATAACTCAAAGCTAATTCAATATCATTCAACTTTTTAAATACGATTACACAACTAGTGAAAATTGTTTATAAGAAGTAATAAATGGCTTTAAGATTAGTCATTTAACAACATCTCTATCTGTTTAAAGATATGAAATGGTAGGGACTTATTTTTATGTCACATGTACAAGTACAACTGACAGTGTATTTTATGCACAGCTTTTAAAGATTATTTTATTTTCTAAACGACATTATGTCATATCACATCAACAGAAAAAAGGTTTTAATGAAAGAGTACAAGCAGAAAACGTAGATATGTACCACACAAACAAATGTTTATGTACATTTAAAAGAAACTATATGGCTCTATAAATTTACTCTTGCTATTCTTACCATAAGTGTTTGGTATGTAGCACGGAAAAGTGTTATATGAACTAATTATGAATGTATTATGTGCCTAGAATCTATTAAGTTGATCAACTGTTAGAATATGTTTTCAATTTCAAATGAATTTATTAGGTATGTCTTGTTTTTTTAAGCTTCAATATAACTTCAATTATATCTTCGTAAATGATGTGATAATTTACTTCTATTCCACCTTCTATAGATCATTAGTTTTCTAATATTAATTGCTTTAAACCTATTTACGTGATCTAAAAACATTTCTAGATTCCAGTGATTTTGAGCGACTTTTTATAATTAAGCAAATGTCTTCGTTTAACTATTCTGTTTATGCTTTAATTGATCTCTTTTCACTTGGTTGGTAATTCAAATTTGTCAGCTTACTTGAACTAGCTATGATTCTTAATGAAAATTCGATAGTAGGAGCTCAACATTTGAAGATTTACTGTGCTAAAATTATATTTATATCAATAACATCTTGTTTGCGTCACTTAAAAATCGTACGTAGAAAAAGTATAAATGTTATTACACTTGAAATATACGGATTTTGTGCCAAAGTTTTTCAGTGGTCCTTAAACCATCAGACTTATATAACATTCTGTTATAATGAAAATTAAGATAGCTCTGGGGTTACAGATCTGTTTATTTTTTCAATGGTATCGTTATCTGACCTTCACATTGATGTTTGTGTGATGTGATATTTACGGTCAGTTAGAGATTTTTCATTTCGCACTATTATATTATTCCACGTTGTAAATGTTGTATGCAGTCAAGGTTTGCTGATCGGAGTACTTTTAAGGGCAATTTAATATAACTTCATCTAAAATAAACACTTAAAATATTACTATATTGATCAATATTGAATGAATTACCAGATATGGAGCAATTTGCGACACATTCACAGGGTTTCAAAATAGATACCTTTGAAATAATAGCAGAATCATTGTCTAATACACTGATGACGTTTTTGCTCAACAAGATTTTGGAAGTTTACTTACAATAATCTTTGAGAATGCTTTCTCTAGCTTAGAGTATCTATCTTCCCAAGCCCCTAGTGCATACAGTTTGTCGAGTCTTACAGATCTTTAGTAACAACACTGAACTCCCAATAGAGGACCTTCAAAGTCAGCATAAATTGTTTCGAAGTCATTAAAAAATTAATTGCTAATAAATAGAGTCACACTGAATGATACTAATTCATAAATAACTCATTAAAATAAAATCACAGAAAAAATTACTTTCTGGTTGATTAGGTAAGCGTTTGTCATGTTTTCCCACAGTATATGTACAATATACTGAGCTTTTAATTCAGATTCTTCGATATATGATAAATGTATAAACTTTATTAGACGATCTATTTGCATTCTCTCTACACATGGTAGTTTTGAAGGTGATAGTAAATCGATTTCCCTAAATACAAGAAGAAATATATTTTTATACGAAATAAAAGTTAATTTAAAATTTATAACATGCGTATAAATGTAGGACTGAATTGAAACAAACTAAAGTTTGAATTTTCTAATGTTTAAGGCTTCCAAAACTCCTATATTAGCCTCAAAAGCTACTCTAAGGGTAATCCTAATTGATATTTCAATCATTTGTTTTGCTAACAAAGAGCATGGTTTTTTTCTTCCTGCTTTTAACAGAGAATTTTATTGCCTGTTAATTCTAAAAGCATTTGGGTTCATGTTCTACCATAGTTGATCGGATTGTCCGATCACTTCCTGTTTATTTACTTCCATGCGCAAATTGGTTAATGTAATGTTATTTATGAAACTTCGAAGCCCAAGTGCGATCGCGAGCTTAGTTTTGGCAATGATAACCAGTTTAGAAGTATAGTGTGTCTTCCAGATAGCTGTTTTAAGTTGTTGTTACTAACTTCTACTGTTTGATTTTCCTCAGACTTGTAAAGTGATGTAAAACGTATTCATATAAGCGGAAGTAAGAAGGGCTTTAGATGTTAGACGAATTTTTATCTAATTTATAAACTTTTATGGATATCAGTTCAATCTAAGTTTTTTTGGCCACCATTTACTTATCTCTTTCAAGCATATCCTTAGTGGATTTTGTTTGGAAAGCACCTTACCAAGTGATGCTTACACTAACATGGACACAAACTGTAAACTTTTAAGGTGTGAGCGTTCCATATGTATTTCTTATAAACTGACAATGTTAGATGTCCTTATAATTTCGAACCAGAATATATCTTAATGACAGCTTGGATATTTAAACGGTTGAATACGTTATTTTTGAATCACAGTGCGCATTCAATACCGTATATCATCATTTTCATTAATAATAACTGAACTAAAACCACCTTCAACAGAACGTTTAGTACAGTTTAACTCAATTGCAAAGGTGATTTAGGTGTTAGTAAAAACAACTGCTAAAACTATAGCATATAGACATATACTTCCTATATTTAATATTTGAAAATTTAATTTAAAGCACTTACGTGACACTAATTCTTCCACATTTTCCATCATTCACTGAACTGAAAATGCTTAAATATCGTCCATCAAAATCTTGTAATCGTTGATTTGTGATACTCGTATTGACAGGATAATGTGATGGCAAATTATCATCAGAAATGCTATCTAGTGCTAGGAGACCATTTTTACGGATCTGGTAAAAGAATAATTAAGTATACAAATTCTAATAATTTAAATTTTCCAGTGTTTTTATGTATAACATTGCATCTTTTAATGTTTTGCTATCTTCTTTACAGATGTAAGAATAAGAGCCTGATTATTTGTCTAACATTAGTTTTCAATAACTGTCTATGTTGAAAGAATAAATAGTCACAGAATAATCAATGTACTTCATGTGATCACATTTTGATGGTGAGCAAAATGAAAAATTATTATTAAGTTTTGAAATACGAAAGTTTTGAAAGCTCATAAACATTGCTACTCAAAGATCTGTTGATGTCTAGTTACTCATTTGTTTCTAGACAAGGGATAATAAATTGAAGTAAAAATTAGTTCTGAAATTAAATCTCCGTTCTGCTTAATGTATCCTGTGAGCTGTTCAGCACAGTAAGACGAGTCTTCTGTTATGGTGTTTTGAGATCATATAGTTGAAACAGTGTCTACGTTTATGATGAGTCAAAACCAAAGTTTGTGAATAACGTATCCAACAGTGAAAAATATTTCTACATACGTATAAATATTTAAAATTATAGAGTCATTGAAACACTGTTAGCATTTTCGAATAAAGTTTATATCACTGATGTGTGAATATCGTTTAAGCACATTTCTGAATATTTCAGGGAGAGTTTTAAGTAATGAGATGGTGATCTTTATGCGTGACTGTAAGAACAATTAAAAAATATATATATAGTGGTGGTGAGGAAATATCGCTAGCCCTCACACATTTAATATTAATTAAATCACAACATATTAACTGGTATTCCATAGCTCAATTACACTGATTTAAACGTAGTATGTTGATCATTGTTTTTAATGCTTCTCTCATTCTGCTTCAAGGATTTCATAATCGAAACATCCGAAACAATCAACTTTCCCGAAATGTTTGCTCGAAAGTTTGCGACGATCGAACAATTCAAATTCTTCACTAAATTATCCAACATAAAACCAATTAACTTGAAAATATTTGTCAGGAATTTTCTTAATAAAATCAGAAATTTTCAAAGTTGCAAGGTGAGAAGCAATTATTCAGTCTTGGGATTGTATAAGAAAATAGTAATTTAATTGTACTTCCCACCATAGCTTTTAATTAAAATATATAATCTTGTCAAGGTAATCAGAACGGTCAGTATCATTTACAGAACATACTAACTTGTCATTTTCCCAAGTTCGCTTACACAAACTATGCAGTGAAAAGGTTATACCCATAATACACTTAAACAATGGAATCATTTCTACCTTCCCTTCAAAGATTTTCTCAATTGATTAACTTCAATACATTTGCATCTTGGATCTCCTCTATGATTCCAAACATTGTCGTCATACCGAATGTTTAGCTAATAAGTGGTATAAGAAATTCAACCATTAAACTTAACATCATTTTTCCCCGAGCAAGTCAAACATTTGCTTTTGGTACAGCCTTTAGCTAACCAGATGTAATTTTAAACAAATCAAGTTCAAAAGTCTAAATTATCCAAGCCACTTGAACTTAAGATGAGAAGCACTTCATAGTGTTTAGCAACAGAAAGAACTATGCGTTTGTTAATCAACAACTGTTGTGAACCGACTTTAAATTTCATTAGTTCCAAATGAAATACACCGATAGTGTTACGAATATATTAATTATCAGCGTTAGACTGTTGTACACAATTACACACATACTCGTGGAAGGTAAAAAGAAGTTTGAAATAGCTTATATTTTCAACTACGATTTATCATACGATAAGTCTTAAACACTGATTTGTAACATCATTATAGGTAATAATGAACCTCTTTTTTTCTTGTTATTCCGGCTTAAAATCTAATTTCCTTAGTGAAAAAAAAAGTAATTACAATGTCTTAGTTACTATTTCTACCCAATGTTGACCTTTTCTTACACATATATGTTTAAAAAGTCACCAATCTACTGTATTTTCACCATACTGTATTTTTTTGATTGACGTACCTATAAATCTTATATTTCGGTAACAGTTGTTTGAGCTACCGGAGAATTATCAAATAGATACTTTAGAATATTTTAGGATTTTAAGTTACATTTTCTTGTGAAAATGTTATTTAAAGGATTTTGGTGACGATATAGTGGAGAAAAAAAAACACTATGGAAAGTTTAATATGGGCAAAACGTACGGTGAATCTTTAATAAGTCAATATTTAAAATGAAGGGAAATATCATTTTTAAATTAAATAAATAAGCTACCATTCTGTTCTATCCGTTTATATTCAGAATTAAATTATTTAAAGGTTTTTTATTTTCTTTAAAGTGAAACTGATCTTATAAATTTGTAGTGACCTACTTTTATCAAGAGGACGCGATTGGTTTAATGGAAACAATTATTATTATAACCAATTGTACCAGTGATTGTTTTACTGTACTTGTTTGTTTAACTGTACTAAAGACATTCTTTCTTCCGTTGATTGTGACCTTGCACGGATTCGGTTACGCTCAGTAACCACACTTGTAACCTGGCACGATCTCGGTATTCGTTGGATACCACGAGATCACCAACGAATACATGTCCACTACAGCCATCAAATCCCTCCTGATATTTGACTTACAGGGGATCTTATCGGTTAACTGGCACGTAGTCTTCCTGCAGTGATCATAATTAACCGCGACTCGACCAGACGCTACAAACTAATAATGGTTAATGTTCAGTGTATAGTTTTTTCAGAGTTGTAAACTTCATAAAGAGCTTATGTAATCCGGAGCCTTTTGGACACTTCCATCCAAAATAATAAGACATCATAATTATTGTTGTATACTCGTATAAATATATATAGAAACTGTTTGTGTTTTCAAAAATAGTACACAATAATAAAGTGAACTTTGAATAGTGTTTAATTCATCTTGTTATTCTTATTGAGACTGTTACATACATTTTGGCTCACACTTAGTATAACAACAAATTGTGATTAGATTTTGTTATCCAGTTAAATATTTGTCCAGTGATATGGTCTTATTTACATACTTGTCTAATATTCCGATTGGAATCAATAATTATTATAACATTAGTTTAGTAAAAATATAGATGCCAGTTTTTATAGTAGACAAGCTCGTTTAAGATAAACTATATATCTTGACTACCTGTTTGCAAATGGGATCAATTGGTGTAGGACCCTAGTACTTTGACAGTTTAATACGTGCTGTCTAAGTAAATCATATCATCTTTTAAAATCACTTTACAAACAAGTGGTTTTTGTTCAGATGGCCATTTAATACTATGAGACATAAACTTTTAGCATAATTTATAATCATTTGTTTATAAGGTCAATATATATATATATCCATACTCGTTTTACCATTAATTACAAAGACTGATTCAACGTAAATTTATTAAATGAATCTAAGCAAGTTTTGTTGAATTTTAGGTAAGTGAGAGTTTTCATTAAAGTTCGTTTGCTGAAATCTAAATGTTATTGTAGCTCTTTTTTCCTAAATATTCAATCATTTAAGTTAGAGTTGCATTTTCTGCATCAATAAAAAAATATTACCAGTTTAGTTGTCGATTAAAAACTTTCTGTTATTAGCAAAACACATTAGATCATTTAGTAACAAGACAGAATACAGAAGAACTTTAGTATTACAGAAAATTAGACCCCAAAACTAATTAACTTTCTATATGAGTGATAATAGTTAACAAATAAATTAGTAAAGTGTACAAAACTGATTGTTTCATTACAATCAATGCTCAACTAAGTAGTAAAATTCAATAAAGCTACCATTTCAATTGCCATTTATAAGTCTCTCTTTTGAAAATATCAAATTGTTTAACATTAGATATATTATCAGAAGGGGTTTGTGGAGATTTTAGAAATTTTACAGATTGAAATCATGAGTCAATTGAAGCTAGACCACCATGGAAAACCTAGAAGAACTGGACGACCGTTTCGCCCTAGTGTGTGACTCCTCAGCGGTGCGCATCCACGACCCCGCCTCGTGGGATTCCAACCCAGGACCTATCCGTCTCGCGCCATGCGCTTAACCAACTAGACCACTGAGCCGGCATCCAACGGTGTTGATGTCTAACTTCAACCAATCCACGAAGTTGCGCCACCGTACACCATTGTCTTCAGTGAGCTGATATCTCACAACAGACCTGGTTGAACTCCACTGGTAACGGCTTCTCACTAGAACTCCAGGAGTATCTTTTGAAGTCAGTCACTAGTGAGCACATGATGATTATCATCAGGGGGTCTAGAGGTCTAAGCGTTCGCGCTGGGTTCGGATCTTGTGGGCCGGGATCACAGATGCACATTGCTGAGGAATCCCGTACTAGAACGAAACGGCCGTCCAGTGCTTCCAGGTTTTCCATGGTGGTTTGGCTTCAATCGACTCATGATTTCAATCTGTGAAATGAGATATACTCTCAAGAAAATTGAATTCAGGGTTATTATTTGTAATAACTACAAAACTGGAATTGAATTTTTCTTAACCATTTTTTTGACTCTTAATAATAAGATTCAATTACCAAACAATCATTTTTTCGGGTGATTGATTTCATTTAATGAAGAAAATAGATATTAATGAATGACATCAACTTTTGTATCCTTAACTATTTTGTACAATTTTTGTATCTAATGCTTCAAATTCATAATAAGTGAATAATTTTTTTTTAACTTAACAATCTGTAAAAGTAATTTGTATTCATGTTTATAATTATAAACGTGAAACCTAGAAATATACTTATTTTGATTGTTTTTCAGTAGTGTAACTACTAAGACAGATGTTAACACCTGTTATGTAAAAGCTTAATTAGTATTGTGATGGAGACAAGCAGTAATTACTCATTGTGTAAAATACTTGAAATAATCAATCTACAAGATGTGATGGTTACAAATAATTTGTCTATGACGAATGATTAAAGGTAATATTCAGATAAATAAAGTAGATAGGATATATCAGTTTCTTTTTATTTATGGTAAGTTTGCAAAAAAAACTATATTAGTGCTAAATGGAAATGAATGTACTTAGTATCCTGACGATATACTGAAAAACTATCTAATCATTTAGAAATGTATCTAGGACTTAATAGATTATATGTTCAGTATTCGAGGTAAAGAATAATTAAATCCTGAATAAACTAGAAACATTTATGGTTCTAATATGTTATAACATGTTAAACAAATTACTGTTAGAATACTGAGGAGTAATCTCTTACTTGCACGTCTAATATATCATACTTATCAGAATAGTCAAAAAAGCAATATATGCAGAGGGAAATAATCTTGTATGTCAATAGAATTAATTGGATGCAAACATTTTAACAAGGTAGTTCATCATATATTCCGGTGAGATGAATCGATGTGTTTAATTCTTTGAAACAATGAAAAATAACCATGATGATTTAACTAATAAACTTTTTTTACTTTCTATATTTGAATTGAATTTTGTTTATTATTTTCCTCTTAGTGTTGAGATGGTGTAAAAGATTTGTAGGTCAGATGGATGAGTTAGATGGAGTTTTGTTCTCCAAGCTGGACTGTTTAGTCATGGAATTATCACTGTTCTTCCGAACAACATCATCAGCACAAAATTCAAGTAGAAGCGAAGTGTTCGAATTTTTCCACATTTGGCTCACAGCTTTTTCTATCAACCTCGATCCATGTCTTGATTGGATCTCTTAAATTAAAGGTAGACAATGACAGGTTAAAGATCAACAATAACCAATCAGGTTCGAGGTAGACAGTACAAGCTATGAGTCATATGTGGAAATATTCGTACACTTCACTTCTACTTGGAGTTTGTGCTGATGATGTTGTTCAGATGAACAATGAATACTCCATGATCCAACATTTCAGCTCGGGGAACAAAACTCCACCTAAGCCTCTTAGTGTCTTTTGATATATTGTTTTAATGTAATATAGTCTGGAGAAATATGTATTCAGAAGTATTTCATTCGAAAACAAATTATTTTTAAGGACTATACCCTCATAAACAATATCGTGACAGCAAATTTGGTTGACCATTCATTATTGCATGTTTTGAAGAAGGTCTATCTCTGAAAGTTTAGTGCAGTTAAATATGTTTGAACAGTTTGCCATTAGTAATGCACAAATTTTAATAAATTCAAATAATTTAGCCAATCTGAGCGATATTAAATTTGAAATCTTTCTGAACTGCGTAATAAATGATCGCAATAAACCTAAAACTCTTTAGTATTTTTCTTTTTGATGAAATTCGCCTTTGTTACATATTAAACGATTCCGAAGTTCTTCACGTATTAAACTGGGCTTCGTATAAAAAAATATATATATAATTCAAACAACTAGCTTCTAAATTATCATGTGCCAATGTAATAAATAAAATGTTAGTAAAAGATAAAACAAAATCCTGCAATGAATAAATGAATCATAGATAACACTGGGATATAGGACGCGCGTCTCTTCCTACTTAGACCTCCTCATCTGGATATACTCACAGCCCGACGTTGATTTTCACGCAAAAACTGAAGCCTAGCACTTGGCATTTCAAACGCCCAAAGCATTGTCCTACGAACTAGATAGTTCAAATGGTCAGTAACTTGATAAACTGGTATGATATTTGTTAGATTGTTAGAAGTCAGGATTATTCCATAGTTACTAATCATGAAACTCGACCAGATGGTCAGAAGGGTCCACTCAGGATTCACATATATCAACAAAGACTGACCAAATTTGAATCAACAGTATCAACAATCGTATATTCCCAAACCTTTCTGGTAGCAACATAGTGCTAGACAGTTATTTCATTGAATTTATTAAGTGTTTTAAGCGTCACAATTCAAAACTTTGATTGAAATCATTATCGCTGGTGAGTGGATAATAATAAGAATTACTGTCAAATTAATAGCGTTTCCTACCTTAAGTTAGTCTACTAAACACTCAAAAGTAACCTTATATCATACCTTTAGTACTTATTACAAGATTAACAAACATGATGAGTTTTTTAGGAGATTTAAAATAGAAAAAATAATTATTATTAAACTGATATTCAAATATTATAGACATTGTCTTCTTTTCTAAAATGACAATGACTTACAGTGATTTTCTTAATTAGTGTTTCATATATTGGGATCGGATATTGTAATTCATAGGTGAAATGATCTTCATCAAATCCTTTTGAATAATCATATATTTTAGTATGTAAATTATCATTTTTTGGTATGAATTGAAAATATGGATTTAGTTGAGTTAACCCATTTTGAACATCAAATAATAATATTAACAGAATAATATATATACAATTTGTATGAATTTTTCCTATTAGGTTTTGCATTTCTGAAAATAAACTCAAAATAATCCGATAACGTAGATAAACTTTCAATAGACAATCATTCTAATAATGGTCAGTACTGTCTACCAATGCCTTTTGTGGTTATATATATTTGTGTTGCACAAAGCATGTGTAACTACACTTGTATCAATCTAAACATATAGACATGTATGTCTACAGCCAATGTATAACCTTTGTTAGTCTATAATTATGTGCACTAATGTAGTGAATGATTTTCCTCTCTGATGATTAGTTTACCTTATTCACATCTGGACACAACAAAAGTAATATTGTATACAATACAAATCTTATTTGATTTTACACAGAAATTTCTACCTTATAAAAAAAGGTCAAGTATAAAATAGGGTTATTTTTACATGTGAAAAAGCCCAAACTTACCTTTACCTAAGTGATTTTAAAAGTAAAACCAATTACTTTATACTATCTCACTGTTAAGAATAAGCCTTGTAGGTAATAAAGATTTTTCTTAATAGATTGTTACTTACTTACTTACTTACCTGCTTACTTACTTACGCCTGTTACTCCCAATGGAGCGTAGGCCGCCGACCAGCATTCTCAAACACACTCTGTCACACTCTGAATTCCTTTCTAGTTCTATCCAACTTTTGTTCATTTTTCTCATGTCTGCCTTCATTTCTCCGCACAATGTGTTCTTTGGTCCTCCTCTTTTCCTTTGACCTTCAGGATTACATGTGAGGGCTTGCCATGTGACGCAGTTCGGTGCTTTACTCAATGTGTGTGTGTGTGTCCTATCCACTTCTAGCGATTCTTCCTCCACTGGAATCTGGTTTGTTCTCTCCCACAATAGGTTGTTGCTGATAGTGTCTGGCTAACGGATTCGAAGTATTTTGCATAGAAAGCTGTTAATGAGCACTTGTATCTTCTGGATGATGGCTTTCGTAGTTCTCCAGGTTTCCACCTCATACAGTAGAACTATTTTGACATTTGTATTGAAGATTTTGACCTTGGTGTTGGTTGACAACTGTTTTGAGTTCGCGATGTTCTTCAGTTGTAAATATGCTACTCTTGCTTTGCCGATCCGTGCCTTCACATCTGCATCAGATCCACCGTGTTCATCAATCATGCTGCCCATCACATATGTAAAGGTTTTTACATCTTCCAAATGTTATCCATCAAGTGTGATTGGATTGTTGCATGCTGAGTTGTATTGGAGATTCTTGCTTTTCCGTTTGTGTATGTTGAGACCTACTTCTGCTTCTGCTGCTGCTGCTCTACTGGTCGTCTTCTCCTGCATTTGTTGTTGCGTGTGCGATAGAAGATCCAGATCGTCTGCTTATTCTAGATCGTTCAGTTGGATCCTAGCTGTCCACTTTATCCCATGCTTCCCTTCAGATGTTGATGTCTTCATCTGAGATTAATAGATAATATTACTTAGTAAAATAATCAAGTTGATTTCCGTATATCTATCGACTGGTTACTTTTCATTCTAGAAAAAACTTTCAATTGTTTATACTTTGTAGGTATACTTCAACAAAACTAAACAAACTATTGAACGATATGATACAATTTAGTTATCTTTATGTATATTGTTTATTTAAAGAAGAAATATGAATTATATTAAGAAGAAAACCATCTTTTGAATGATAGTGTATACCTAATGTCTTACTTTATTTGTTATGATCAGAAAAAAATTCATTTAAGTAACCAAAAAAAAGAAAACAATTACGAATTCACTAGTACGCTTATCAACTAAATAAGTCATTTATATGATGGATAAATTCAAGCAAAATCAATGTTTAGTTAGATGATTGTAACCAACAGAAAGCAATTATATTATAGAAATTCAATATAGAAAATGAAACTATTCTAAACAGTTTTCTTTTTTTCTTTTTTTTTCTACTTTTGTATAAAAATAGAACTAAGTAGATATTCATTTCTGATATTATATTCACTTACTTTAAATAAGAGAGTAAAATTCCCAAGATTAAGATAATCTAGGTGATAACATTGTTTGACATTCGGGTTTAGAGAGTGAATTTCATTTTCATATGAATATAACCTTCTTTTGTGAAGGGTATCAGGGAGTTTTAATGATGTTCATTACAGTGTAGTGTCGGTTATTATGTTAAGCCCATATACCTTATTCTAGCTTTCGGACAACCCATTCTATCAATCTTACTTGAGTCACATTCTGACTTTGTTACTTATTCGCTTATCAATCTTGATTGTTTTTATATGAGCGCGTAGGTGTCTTTATCCCATTACTCATCACGTGTCTGTAACTTACTTTTGTGTAACTATAAATATTGATTAACGCTTGGTTAAATGGGAGTTGGCTTACCTGCTTCGTTCTATTCCACTCGCTCTATTTACAAAACATATGTATTCACAAGTCTATTCTCGTTATTCGACTTATTTAATTCCGTTATTGACTAACGCGATTAAAGTCGATGATTATATACGAGGATAGACGATAACAAACATTCATACGATCACCTTGGAGTCAGACCTCGGGCCACTAATGTGGAGAGCCCGTCAACAAACATCGTCCGATCTAAATGACGACAAAATAAAGGGCCTCACAAAAACAGTTTGTGTTGGAATATAGAATGTTAAACTTTCATATCACAATTATTCTGTATATTTACAGTTTCACTTAGTCTTAGAAACTATACAAGAGTTATTGAAAATCATATGACAATGAACAATCTTACAAATACTACAACTTGTAAATCATTTTGAATATAACATATTATGTATTTTGATATCATAAGAACAGAGGCATACAAAGTTTCGCCTAAAAAATACATAGAATTTTAATATCAGAAGGGCTTTTTGTGTATTTTATAGTAATTTTAATAGTAGTACTGCTGAGGAGTTTCACAATGGGACGAAACGGCCGTTCAGTACTTCTACTTTTTCCATGGCGGTCTAGCTTCAATTGACTCATAATCTCAACTACAAAAATACACAGTATGTTGTTGGCGTAAATTTATCTACCAAAATATTTAAGTGTAAATTGTATTATTTCTCCAAGAGATGGGAAAACGATTTCTTTAATTGAATCTTAGTTGTTATAAATTTTTACTAGGAATCATTCAAAGGAAATCAGTTTTTCTACATTCCTTTCAGCCTTTTAAAATATCACATAGAAAGCTTACCGATATGAGACACACCAATGTTTATTTCTATTTATTTCAAAAAACTGAACAGTAAAAGGTTATTCTGGACCTCTCAATAGTGATTAGGTGGTTGAAACGTGGCTTTTAGGCGTCCCCATACCTAGGTTTCGTGCAATTTGCTGGTCATCAGGAATAGTTAACTGTAATCTTGGAGTAGCTTGTGATCCTTGATGGGTTTAATGTCAAACCATTCAGTTCCATTTTCTGAGACATTACCACTGAGCTACTCAAGCCTTGACTGACCTATGGGACTGATTAATCATTATCGATCAACACTAGAGGATTAATCAAAAATGGTGTTGGTCATTATTCAGTGATCGGTTTACTGGATTAACTGTTGATTGAATTACTTCAATGTGAATTTCTGTAACACATATTTTGCACACTATTATTGTAGTATGTGATGAATTCCTATCACTGATAATCGTTTTCTTTATAATTTTATATTCTTTTCTTCTAGCGACTTTATTTGACGCTCATCATTAGAAACACTACTTAATTGGTTAAAATTTACTGTAACCAATGGTCATTAGGAATTTTTAGATTTATTAGGTTACATTTTTCACCCATTTCAGACTTATTTATTACAATATAATAAAACCATTGTTGTTTATGCTTGAATCTAAGCATTATATTATTTTGTATCTAATTTTGATGAAACGTATCAAAAAACGATATTATTAGATTTGTAAATCGGTATACCATAACCACAGAAATAAAAAATATTGTTCAATGTAATTATCAGCTATAATTTTACTTAATCGCTCAAATATGGGTTTATGTATAGATTTATTTTATGAGCTACAACAGTTATTCCATTAAGTCCGATAATACAAAATACTTGAGAATTTATACGTTCTTCAAAACTGTACAGTAGATACCATCACAGTTTAAGTTTCAGTTTGTAAAGGATAGGGAGCTAAGTGGCCTGTGTTAGTCTTGGCAATGATAGTCTCTCAGTCGATCCAACTTTCTATTGAAAAAGTCGACAGATAGAAATTTAATCACGTGTTGAGTTAATGAATTACATTTAATGGGAAAGTCAATAATCAGCTTACAAGTAATTTCTCCTGGGCTTGTGAACTTTTTAGAGTGTCCTTGTAAATTTCCTGTTCTGGAAGACTAGAAAAACGAGGGCGTATAAGATGGAAATTTATCACTAAGTAATTTAAAAGCTGTGACCAAGTCGCCTCTGGTTCTTCAATATGAAATAGGTTTGCTTAGCCAGTCGAGCATCAGACGGGAGCTTTTTTATTACGGAAATCAGCTTAATTACGGTTCTTTCAACCTTTTCCAAACTCCCACTGTCTCTTTTTAGGCAGGTATTAGCCGCTTGTATCCAGCACCCCAGCTTAGGATGCACGAATACTGTATACAAAGTCAAAAATTGCTTAGCATAGACATGACAAATGGCCCTACGTATTGATCATAGGGTTCTAAAACCATTGGCGGCTATCGCACTGCAGTCTGCAGTAGTTTTTAAGTCTTTGCTAACGATGACTCTGAAGTCATTGTATGTCTGGACAACAGTGATAACTTCTGAAATTTAAATCTTTCAATAAATCATAATTTTTTAAGTTATTGAATTTTTCATACGACAAAACTTACTTATATCCTTACGCCTGTTACTCCTCGTGAAGGAGCATAGGCCGCTCACCAGCATTCTCCATCCAACCCTGTCTTGGGCAATCCTTTCTAGCTCCATCCAGTTGTAATTCATCATTTTCATATCTGGTTCTATTTCCCGACCTCATGTGTTCTTTGGCCTTCCTCTTTTGCGCTTCCCTTCAGGATTCCAAGTTAGGGCTTGCCTCGTGATGCAGTTTGACGATTTGCGTAATGTATGTCCTATCCATTTCCATCGTCTTTTCCTAATTTCTTCTTCAGTTGGAAGCTGCTTTGTTCTCTCCCACAAAAGGCTATT